CTTTATCCGTAGCGAGTCCTCCAGAACAATTTTCCACCTTGTACGATGGTTATTATTTCTTTACTTCTATTTTTCAAATTTGAGGTGGGATAATGGCGGCTTCTCAAGAACACCGATGTAGGCGATCTTTTGCACCAACGAACAGAAAACTGATGGCGAAAAATAACCAATCAGAACCTCCCAAAAAAAAGAATTTGCCTAAAAACGGAACTTCGTGGTTCTGCGCAGATTTACCAGTCAGACACGACATCTCAAGATGGAAAAAAACTCGCTGAAAGCGAATTTTAGCAATCAACACAACTTGACGTAGAGACATGATTGGCTAAAAAATACAACGGTTTTTGATACATCGGAAAATCAACCAAAAATCGGAGACTGGGCGAAACGCTCAAGGTCGCAGAGGTATAGGGAATCCCATTGCGAAAGCAACGGAACGATTGTAATATCATGGGGAACTCCGTTCCCATGACAAAAAAAAAATAATCTTGTTGAGGTCAAACCGATTGTGAGCTGAAGTTTTAAAAAATCGCAACTTTTTTGTCTACAAGATGGAAGAATCGGGACTGGAGGCATTTAAAAGGAACTTATTGTTTAAACTGAAGGTATACCAAAATAATAACTGGGGTGATGGAAGACTGCTGAGGGAAGAAGACAGGGAGGGGGGGCTGCAGGGCCGGATTAAGGGGGTGGCCACATAGGCCGCGGCGTCGCGGCCCATGGCGGCAAATCTAAGGGGCGGCAAAAATTTGCAATTTTTAAAGTGTTGGTATAAAAAAAATCGGATTTATAAAAACAAAATTACAAACGAGAAAAGGCGACAGAATATCTCATTTCCTGAGAGTACAGTAATTTCTAATTTTGCCGTCTCTTATACAAGAGACAGCACCCTCAATAAGTCGAATTACGAGAGAAACCAAACACGCAATTTGGCCGAGAACAGCGCGACTTAGAGAGTAATGATAATGAGGACTTGAGATGAAAAGGAGAAGCCCTCGGTGCGGCGATCGGCATGTAACACATATTAGCGCCTACAAGACTGTATGAATACTTCACGCATTGCATCAAACATAGTGAGGTCAGCGTGAAACGGATAGCGCCTACAAGGATGCATGAATACTTCACGCATTGCGTCAAACAGTTCAAACACAGTGCGGTCAGCGTGAGACGCATAGCGCCTATACGCGATTTTTACCTTTATTCCTAGATTTCACTTCCTATTTCCGGTTTTCACTTTCAACTCACGCTTGCGGTTTTCACGCAATATTGCAGTTATTTACTCTTCATTTTCGGTTTTCTCTTCCACCTCGGGAATTCTCTCAATAATTCCGGTTCACACTTTCCACTTCCAATTTTCACGCCCCAACCTCCGGTTTTCACCTTTCATTTCCCAGTTTTCACTTGCGACTTCCGGTTTGACTGCCTATTCTAGGCCTCACTAGGCGTGCCTTTATAACAGCCAATAGATGCTCTATGGCCTAATAAATCTTGTATACCTACTACTAATAAATTAAATTAGTCAAGTAAAATATTTTGCGGTTTTCGGTATACCGTCTATTTTATGACACCGCAGTAAACTCAGTACCTTGAAAGGCACTAGTGCAAAGCCATAGGCATAGTGCAGCTCCATATAGTTTTTTTTTTTTTTTTTTTTTTTTTTTTTTTTTTTTTTTTTTNTTTTTTTTTTTTTTTTTTTTTTTTTTTTTTTTTTTTTTTTTTTAACAAAATTTGAAAATTTGATTCTAGGTACTTTCTCTGCTATGCTACATTTCAAACTATTAGTCCTTGCAAAATAATTACCAGCTATATTGAAAGAAAATAAGGGAAGTAGCAGTGCTTCCCTTGCTTACATGGACGCCGCGCCACACGCCACTGTTTCATAGGCTCTACAAAATTATCTCACGTGCATAAATGAATTTTTTTGCCATCTCATGACTCAAAAGCATTCAAATGTCGCTGACCTTGCAAAAATAAACGATCATCTAAACTAGTTTCACCGCTACACCCAATAAACTATGAATTCAAGACGAAAATTACCGTCGCAAAGTTTACTTTTTGCAAAGGATGTACCCAAGTTGCACAATCCCAGCAACATTGAAATGCTCTTAGTTCCTTTTTGCAAAATGCAATCCAATCGGTTGTTGCTGCAAAAAAATAGTTTCCCACAACCTGCTGCACAATGCTCCAGTGACCATGTAAGTTGGCCCGAGCACTATAACTTTTCAGGAAGAAAGCCTTTCCCCTACCTGGTTTCTCACTTAATATCCGTCCGAGTTTCGCATATCTTCCGTTTCTCCTCATCGCAGCTTCCATCAAACCGCAATTGCCCGGAAACTAGGACCGCACATCTTATCTGATAAAATCGTTCGCCCTTTAGACCGATTCTGGGGGGTTAGGCTAGACTAGTCGATGAGTCAACTGTTGATCTAATTTCATTACGTGAACGTAGAAGAAAAACGGGGTAAAAAATCACTAATGTGTGATCAATTTTCAAGGACAATTCTGTAATTTCTCCTACGATTTTAAATAGATTAAAACGCGTAATATCCAAAATCTAAGCTCAGATTCGGATTCCTCGTGAAAAACTTATGCGATTTCATGCATCATATGTTAGAATAGCGTGAAGGAAAGAGGTTTAATGACGTAAAAAAAAACACTAATGTGTGATCAATTTTCAAGGACAATTCTGTAAATTCTCTTACGATTTTAAATAGATTAATAAAACGCGTAATATCCAAAATCTAAGCTCAGATTCGGATTCCTCGTGAAAAATTGATGAGATTTCATGTATCATATGTTAAAATAGCGTGAAGGAAAAAGGTTTAACGACGCGTATAGATTCTGTCGTACTTCCCCTTTGAACTACGCCGCCGCCTGTCGCCCGAGTGAAACCGAACGGGGAGGCGCCGACTTAGCGCCGGCTAAGCGTTCGGTTTCGTCCCGAGGAATTTCTCACGATAAATTCTTATTCTTCCTCCTCCGCTGACCCACTGAGCACTACCCATGTTGCCACTTTGGATTCATATGCTCGAATCAGTATGTCTACGTTACGTCTCTTTCCTTCACGTTATGCTCGGGTATGATACATGAAATTGTATCAATTTTTAACGAGAAATCCGAATCTGAACTTCGATTTTGGGTATCATGCGTTTTAGGTCAAATTTTCCGAATTCGAAAATCTGAAATGACTGACGTGGTTTAAAATGCCATCTCGGCTCCTGTTCGATGGATTTTCCTGAAATTCGGTGTCAGGGTATGATACATGAAATCGCATCGATTTTTTACGAGGAATCCGAATCTGAGCTTCGATTTTGGGGATCACGCGTTTTAAATTAAAATCTGTCAAAATTCAAAAAATTCAAAATTCGAAAATCCGAAATGGCTTAAAATGCTATCTCGGCCCCTGTTCGATGGATTTTTCTAACATTCGGTGGCAGGAGGTATTTTTCGACGGGAAACTCGAATTTTTAGTCCATTTTTTAAAATTCTCAAATTCAAGATGGCGGGCGTGGGCTAAAATGCTATCTCGGTTTCTGTTTGTTCGAGTCTTGTGAAACGTGGTATCACACGGTATTTTTCAACGGAAAACTCGAATTTTTTGTCAATTTTTCAAAATTCTCAACTCCAAAATGTTGGATGTGGCCTAAAATGAGCCCCGGTTCTGGCCTCCGTTTCTGTTCGTTAGAGCTTTGAGAACCGCGGGATCAGGGGTACTTTTCGACGGGAAACTCGAATTCTTAGTCGATTTTTTAAAATTATCAAATCCAAGATGGCGGACGTGGCCTAGAATGCTATGTCGGCTCCTGTTCGATGGATTTTTTTGAAACTCGGTGTCTGAGGGTATTTTTCGACCGAAAACTCGAATTTTTACTACATTCAAAAATTCTCAAATCCAAGATGGCGGACGTGGCCTAATATGCTATGTCGGCTCCTCCCCCTTACTACATGCCTACTCTTGTATTTCTGTACAGCCGCAAATTTAGGGTCAAGGGACGCCTGACCGTCTATAGACCAGGTGGAGTTTTTGCCCTGAAAATTTACCTTTAGACGGCAATTCTCTTTATATTTTGTCTATGGTTTTTATGCCCCCCCCCCTTTCTCGCGGACTCTCTTTTCACTTTTCTTGCCTCCTTTTCCCTTACATTTCCCCCCCTTCTTCCTTGCTTTCACTGCCCAACCTTGTTTCCTTTTCATTTTTTCCCCGTGTCCTTTCTTCCCTTTTTCCCCTTTTCCTTTCCCCCCTTTTTTCCCCTCTCTTCTTCTTTCGTGGCGCCCCCCAAAGGCTGGCGCCCGTGTGCGCCGCACGCCCTGCACACGCCCTAAGTCCGGGCCTGCTCATGAGCGTACCCATAAACTCTAAAGCCATGTATATACAACATACTAACTGGACGTTTTTAAATTTTTCTCGCATTTTGCTCATAAAAAAATCAGTAAAACGCCCGAGTTATGCTGGTAACAATAAACTTTTTTTTTTTTTTTTCCAAATAGCCTGGAAGGCTAATCTCATTCCATTCACATACCGTCCTCGTTTCTCCCCTATCTTAAGCAGTAGCGTGGCGTGAATTGCGATGTATCGATTGTTCTGCCATTTAAACCTATGGTAAAGAATCGATTATTAAGGTGTCCGCTGCGAACACCCTGTTTATCGATCCTTTTCCATAGGTTTGAATGGTATACCAATCGATATATCTCAAAGAACGTCACGTCACTGATCTTAAGCCCTCCCTGTCTTCTACCCTCAGCAGTCTTCCATCACCCCAGTTATTATTTTGGTATACCCTCACTTTAAACAATAAGTTCCTTTTCAATGCCTCCAGTCCCAATTTTTCCATCTTGTAGCACTTGAATTTGTTATGACTAATGACAGCTAATTAAACAGGTAATTGTAGAAGATAAGATAAGGTGAATCTCCTCACATGCTCCTCACTTACACTTCAAAGCAATGCAGATTGCCTACCCAGTAGGCGCCGATGCAACAGAAGTGCACAGTGAGCGAGTCTTTTGTTATCTCGGTCAGTCTCCTCACTACTCAGTCTCTCTGTCGTCATTCTAGCTGTTTTCTTGCAGACAGGCCATGACACAACAGTTTATAAATCTGGAATTTTATCAATAATTTTTTACTTTATCCACGAAATTAGCGAAAATGCCGGACGCCTTCGAGGTATGCTTACTGTAATTACTTTGCTCTCTCAATTTGATTTCTCTGCGGCCGAGTTAAAGTGATCTAATTCCGTTCTCCATAACCTCACTTTCTTATATTCAGTGTTTACTCTACACAAAAGGTTTCCTGATTTTTGTTTTTACCTTTATCATTTTCATTCTTTTTAGTTAAAGTTTCCGCACTTTCTGTGTGTCGGGTTGCTTTATCTTCCCCCCTGTCGATTTAGAACCAGGTTCGGCCAGCTGTCTAGAACTGTGGACTAATGCGCCTTCTTATCATACTCACTCTTCATCCTTCATATTTTCCTAAATCAGATAAGAACTGTGGAAAAGATCTCTTGGACATCGTCCAGATGCTCGAAAATTGTTCTAAATATTGCTCAACTAGCTTGGTATGCCAGATCTAACTCCGAAAGAATTAGCTTAATATATTGGTGTACTTAATTTGACAAACCATGAAGGAAAGTTTGACTATCCAGACCGCGCTCTCGTTATTCTGTAAACAGAGTAGAAACTTGCAACCACGTGCTTGTTGAAACCACTATATCATTTCCCAACTTTTACTTAGCCCTGCAACTTTGTGTGTTCCATCGCTTTTTTCTGTTGGCCTTGATCAAACATTTCTTTGTTCCACTAATGAGCTTAGTCTATAATCATGTGTGAGAATTACCCTGATTAAATATTTATTTTTCCCCTCAATCAGACTCTTTAGCCTCTTTTCCTTCCCCTTAAGTTGCTGAAAGAGCTTTTTGTAATATGCATATCAATTGAGCCTTTTCTCATTTTTCAGATGGAGGTTGACGAACCTAAGAAAGTCAAAGGAGATGGATTGAAGTTCTATTTTGTCACCAAAATCGAAGAGCTGGAGCTGATAGTAGCTGAAAAGAGTCAAAATCTGCGTCGGTTACAGGCTCAGCGTAATGAGTTGAATGCCAAAGGTAAGTAGTAGAGTATTTATCTTCAAGTAAAATTTCCAACTATGAGTGAAGTTCTCATATCAGAATTTTTTCAAATTTGAATTTCATCAAAAAGAAAAACTTATTGGCCAAATCAAAACTTTTAACATTGCTGACTAAAATGTAACATTCTTTAGAAATTGGACGCAGACAAGTATAAAGTTGTTTACTTTCTTCTTTCAAGTGTCTGCTCTGCTGTCATCCAATACTTATCCAGGATTGACTGAGAGCCCCATTACTTAAAAACATTCAATCAATTTTTGTGCATAAGCTAGTGGTACGGCTTGTTATAAAACAGTGATATACTTCGATTAGGTTGCTCTTGCGCGTCCAGTCTGTATGAGCTGCAAGTAAAAGCATCCCTGGTCAATGAGTGTGTCTGATAGGTTGCTGGGCCTATGAAATGAACATACATCACAATAGCTCGTTTTCTCCAGCTTCAACTTCCATGGCTGTCGTGCAGAAAATTCTTATTTTCTCTGCTTCATTGCAGAACTGTTTCGATAGCTCTCTGATAATCTATAGGACACCCATATTGTCACAGCCATAGCACTCATGAGATACAGAGTATATTGTGCATGTCATTAGCAAGTTAACAAGTGTCAACTTATCCGTAGCAAGTCCTACCTTTGAACCTAGTTGAAATAATAAAACTTCTAAATGAACTTTCATTCTAATTTCAGTTCGTCTTCTCCGGGAAGAGTTACAGTTACTGCAAGAACAAGGCTCCTATGTAGGAGAAGTCGTGAAACCTATGGACAAGAAGAAAGTTCTTGTCAAAGTACATCCTGAGGGAAAATTCGTCGTCGATATTGATAAGAATATTGATATCAACGATGTCACACCCAACTCTCGAGTTGCTCTGAGGAATGAGAGCTACACGCTTCACAAAATTCTTCCTAACAAGGTGAGTTTCATTGAAGTCACTAATATTTTTCTTCTTTTAATCAGGGTGTCGGAAAGGCCGGAAATAGCACTGATTTTTTAAGGGCGGTTCGGAAGCACTGAAAAAGTGCGGAAATTCCGTTAGAAGGTCCGGAATTTTTCATTTTTGTTGCAATTTGAGAGAGAAATTCAAATTTTTGAAATTTGTCGAATTTCTTCAAAGGGAGGTACTGAAAAAGTACTAAATTTCTCGGAAATGTACTGAAAAAGTACTGTAAACGTACTGATTTTTAGCCTGGCCTGTTTTAGTAGACACCCTGTTAATTATTCAAACACCAACCTTAGAATTACAGGATCCAATGATCTGTGGATCAGTGGTGGCCAGTGTAGGTTGTAAAATTTGGTGCTGACCCGAAGGTGCAAGGTGAGAACATTGAGAACATTGCAAATGATCATTAAGCATTTTTTTTTTATAATTATATCTCTGGAATGTAATTTCTCTTTTCAAAAGAAGAAGCTGTATTTAGTGGACAGATTTTACACTTTAGTCAGTACCTAATTTACTCTGACTACCAAATCAATTATTTTTGTTTAATCTTTTAAGTCAGATGTTTTTACCAACCTCCTTATTTTTGAGAAAACTCTTATGTAAGGGTATTGCAAAAATCAATTTAGCTTGAATATGAATCATGGTGGTGGTATTGGCCGAAAAAAATCTGCACCCCTGAATTCAAAGCTGGGTCTCTTTGCCTGCTATCTTTTCTCTTTTTTAAGCTCTTAGGTTTGATTGAAGTCTTCTTTCTTTCATTAGCAAGCTTCAATTCACACTTCTGTGTTTAGAGACAAGTTTTGGCACGATTTAAAATTATCTACATTTTTTCATCTATGCCAATACCAGTCGTCATAAGTTGAATATATCTGCAAAGGTATCTTCCAGTGGAAGCAAAAGGGAATTGCCAAGAGAACAGATGAAGTTCAGGACTTGAGCAGTCCATAGTTCTTTATTGTAGCTCTGCGAAAGCCCAAGGCTGACTGGGTATTGACCCTCGGTATCTCTGATCAGCGATTCTCAGAAATATGATTTTCCATTTTTTTATTTTCAAATATGTATTTCAACAGTATGCAAATATTTATGCATCCAAATTTAAACTCATGGATTGTTAACCTATGTATTTTTAGGTTCTGCATCATGAAATTTCGTACTCTTTTTTAGAGGCTTGTAATTAGATAAAGAATTAATTTGCTCTTCCGGCTTATCATTCCTCTTACTCCTCTTATGAATTGCTCCGTTCTATGTCTGTATCTATTTTCAGGTTGATCCTCTTGTTTCTCTCATGATGGTAGAAAAAGTTCCTGACTCGACGTATGAAATGGTTGGTGGTTTGGAACGACAAATTAGGGAAATTAAAGAAGTCATTGAACTGCCTGTGAAACACCCTGAATTGTTTGATGCCCTTGGTATCGCTCAGCCGAAAGGTGTTCTTCTCTATGGACCTCCTGGAACAGGTCAGATTTGAACTTTTATTTTAGATTTCTCCCATGTACAGTCCAGCTAGCCTAGATTGTTATTTTCTTAAAGAGGAATAAAGCTCCCAAGAATGGTGCATGAATTGCTGAAAATATTGTGTGCATTCATGATTTCATCGCCCGTATAACCTGCATTCTTTTTCATTTCAATTGCAATCATAGCAGAATCAAATTCTACCATCCTGGAGGGCTTTTAGTAGCCTCAAAACATTCTTCTTTTGTGGCTGTTCATAAAATCCATAACACTTTGAGAGAGGGGGGTCGAGCATACTGTTATGCCATTTTGTTTTTACATGTTAAAGGATAGGGACCTATGTCAGGCTAAGAAAATTCGAAATTTAGTGTTACGAATTGAAAGAACAGCCTCTACCGTGTCTTTGAGGTTTTCCTCTTTTTTTCTTGAAATCCATTAAATGTAGATGCATGCACCAAGGAGTGGAATTGTATGCATCTTTTGCTTTTTAAAACATGAAGGATATGATAACACAAACAGAGATAGGTGTCAATTGTTGATTTTAAGAGTCAATGCAAAGAAATCATTATCAATTTTTTTCTTGGTTTCCAAATTTTTACAGGTAAAACCCTTCTAGCAAGAGCTGTCGCTCATCATACAGAGTGTACTTTTATCCGAGTGTCAGGTTCTGAATTAGTACAAAAGTTCATCGGAGAAGGATCCAGAATGGTTAGAGAGCTCTTCGTCATGGCCAGGTGAGCTAATGGATAAATTATGTTAAATTTGTTTGATAAAATTTATTCTCTTGTCACTTAATGAACCTGCAAGCTAACATTTGAATCCTGGTAGGTAGGTTGTTTATTTGACAAAATGTTCAGACATTGCCTCGGTGATCTGAAATCATCTGATGAGCAAAAACATTCCAATAATGGATTTATCAGAAGAATTGGATGTATGCTTTACACCTCATAATTGCATGGTAGATAGGTGTGAACTGTGAAACACTAGTCTGTGACAGAAAATTTTGCAGTTGTCTAAAGATTGTTTTTATGCAACTTCTTAGGATTTAGCATGAAGTGTTTTCTAAGTATAATCCGCCTGAGAAATAAAATTGAAATTGAAAGTCGAATATATGAAAATATGTCTAAGTTTACATTGTATCAATATATGAATATTTTTTTGACAATTTCAGAGAGCATGCACCAAGTATTATCTTCATGGACGAAATCGATTCTATTGGGTCATCCAGGATAGAATCAGGAAGTGGTGGTGACTCAGAAGTGCAGCGTACTATGTTGGAATTGTTGAATCAGCTTGATGGTTTTGAAGCTACTAAAAATATTAAGGTATTAACAGCTTTTTTATATCTATCGTAATTAAAGCCTAAGAGAGCATAATCTTTATAATTAACAACAATCGGATCATTTAGACAATACATTATGGCTACAGAGACTGAGCAACAGAATACATTCGGTATGTAGCAACAGAGCTACGCATGTTTGCAGTTTCACCATTGATTTTTCCACAAATTAACAGCTTCATTGCAAACAATTCTGTTGAATGGATGAATTTTTTCCCAGCTAAGTATTCACCTTTTTGTCAAGGAGTCTCCACGGTATGTAAATGAGTTTAAAGGTCTTGAGTGTCCACAACTCAAATTTACAACTGTCCACTTGCTACCTGTCCACTTGCTACCTGTCCTCCTTGCTAACAATCTGTGTTCTGTTAAAGCCCGGCTCTGAAGTTCAAGAGCTTTCTTAATGATAAAAGCTTTCCAAAAAGTTGTTGATTTAAACACAGATGATCTACAAGATGATTTTCACAACCTGATTTTTTTAAAAAATAATTTAATGGCCTGTCAATTCAAAGTTGAACTTCTTTGCATCACTGTATTCAAAATTTTCTGTGCAACTTACCCCTTGGAATTTAAAACTCAGATCAAAGCCAATGCTTAAGAATCTCATGTCAGAAACAGATTTTTTCCTCCTTGACTTACGCACTGAAGAACTACAGTTGAGCTCTCTATTTCAAAATGAAGATGGCATGGCAACTTTTTTAATGTTAAATATCATTTTACCGGTACATATTCTTTGACCTAAATTGCAGATGCTGGTTTATTAATATCTGCACTGATGTAAGTCCAACAGGATGACAGGAAAAAAACAACTAAAAAGTGATCCAAACTGTAAGAAACAGAATGGTAGAATAGTGCTGGGTCCACCGTATTCTGCCAAGAATAGAAGGCAAAAAATTCCAAAAGTTCGGTTTAAAAATTAGAACTCTAATGAGTATCAGCACAAGATTAAGGAGGGTAAACATTCAGCTCAGACAGATGCATTGGAATGTTAAGTTGGGGTCAAACCTAGAGACCTATATAGACTTAGGTGTAGTGATCTTTATGATGTATCAATTGACCTGCCATTTAAACCTATAGAAAAGAATCGATAAACAGGATGTTGCCAATGGACTCCTAAATAATTTATTCTTTCCCATAGCTTTAAATGGGAAATATCGATAATCAATGGTTCAGGCCTCGCCACTGTTTTAAACCTCATTAGTAGAAACCTAACTCTTTAGTGAGTCCAGCTTAGCATCTTGCGAAATCCAAAACAGTATCAGAACTTCGCCATGAACATGATGCGAGGCACAACACTTGAATGTAATCCTCGCGCTATATTCTGTCGCTGCTGAACAACTCTTCAGACGAAATCAGGAAAACCCGGAAAAAACTTTTTGATTATGCAGTTGGAGGTAGGAATGCTTTAAGACACAACCGTCCGCTGATGAGGTCTAAGAAGACCCAAGTTGATATTGATCTCCCGGTATGACCCCAGTTTAACATGTCAAGCATCTGCCTGAACTAAACACTCTATCTCTTCAATCTTTCACCGATATTCATCAGAGTTCAAATCTTGAATCTAATGTAAATTTTTAGAATTTTTAGCCCTGTTTTCCCTGCAGAATAGTGTGGATCCAGCAATAATCTACTGTCCTGTTCCAACAGGATGTAAACCGTATTTTGTATGTTTGATTGCATTTAATAGAGTGTTGTTTTTCAATAATTTTCAGGTCATCATGGCAACAAACCGTATTGATATCCTAGATCCAGCTCTACTACGCCCTGGGCGTATCGACCGCAAGATCGAATTCCCGCCACCAAATGAGGAAGCCCGTTTGGATATTCTACGTATTCACTCACGGAAGATGAACCTTACTCGTGGTATACAATTAAGAAAAATTGCTGTGTTGATGCCTGGAGCCTCTGGTGCTGAAGTTAAGGTATGTGTAATTTCTTGCACCGTCTATTCCATTCACTGATTAATAATAATTACCACAACAGATCTTTCAGCATCTTTTAAGAATCAGAGCGTTTTCATTGTCACCACTTAGCGCTGTTACATGGACGATGTCTTTGAGGAAAGATAATTATCAGAGGTATACTTAGAGTTGATAAAAGAAAAAAACCATTACTATTTAGAGGCATGAATACTGAGCTGCCATGATACTTATACTTGATACTTTGAAAATATATTGCCAATATAGTCCAAAAATTATGTGAACGGACAGCGCTTATTTTATTTTGAGTCCAAGAGAGGTGTCAAGAAGAAATCTCTCTCTTGGGAGCGATGAAGAAAAGTCCATTTCTCTAATTTTTTTTTTATGAACTCTCAAATTTGGTGTCTCATCACTTAGTATTCATGCCGCAATCTGTCACGGTCTAGTCTTTTACTTGAGGTTTTAGATTACGATAAGCCTAACTTCTCAAAAACAACGACCGTTTAGTATAGTGGTTTTGTCCCCAAATGGTTTTTGTCCGAGAGAGGAGTGGCTAATGCAAGTTGTCCTGCAAAATCGTCAGTTTGCAGGTAGGCCGTATTGTTCCTTAGCCATTGATATGATTATAACTAAATTGCTTTAATAACCTGAAGCAACCTGATGGATAAGGCAATACTACAGATTCAACCTACTATTTTCAGACTGAATTTTTGGAATTATGGTTCCACGACGAAAATGATCCTTTGGAATTTGGTAATGAACGTTTTTGTCCTGTTTTATTAAGATTTGTAGCACTAGATTTTTTTGAGCCTCTCTTTTTAATGCTTTTATGTCTTTGCTTACCAGGGTGTTTGTACGGAAGCTGGAATGTACGCCCTAAGAGAAAGACGTATTCATGTTACACAAGAAGATTTTGAAATGGCAGTTGCAAAGGTCATGCAGAAAGACTCTGAGAAGAACATGTCTATCAAGAAACTATGGAAGTAAATTGCGGAGCCTGTTCACTACACTGCCTCTCAAAACTGTACTCAGGCAGGAAAGCTATCGAATGAATTACTGCATAGTGAACTAATAATTGTTTTTTGTCTTTTTCCAATTACTAAATTTAGGATAATAAGCTATGTTAAAATGTAACTTGTGTTTTTTCTAATTTTATTTTTTAATGTAAATAAATTTCTATGGATTAAAGAAATTGGCATTACTTTTATTTTATAATCTCATTTTTTCCTGCTCTTTTGGTGGGTATAATAATTTGGCTGGAGTCATGTTCATACAAGCCAATAGACTGATTTGATGGCTACATCGTTGTTGCCATTTTTGACTTCTTGATTTGTAATAGTTTGGATTTACTGCAAAATTGATTTGTAATGGTTACAGCCAAAAGAAGCAAACATAACCTGATATCCAAATTTTGTGGGGGTTAATTTTGTTATTTCATTAAAATTTTCGCCATTTACAAGTCATATATCAATTAATGACTCGTTAAACAAGAGATATTTTGATCGCAAGAAACCCCTGGACGCATTTCATTACCATGATGAGTTTATAAAAAAGGTACGTGTCCGCCTACATTTGAGAAATCGAAACTGCAATATAAAACTGTTACGTAGCGGCTAGATCAGTCTATGAGACCATGACAGGTTCATCCTTGAGTAACAGCATGTGATTTTATTGATTTTGTCTAGGTAGTTGCATTGTTTCTCAGATCGTAGGATATAACACACTGNNGGGGGGGGGGGGGGGGGGGGGTGCTGCTGCTGTTTGAACTTGTATGGTTTAACTAGGAAATCAATTAAAACAATTTCTTTGGAACTTTTTTTTTATTAATCAGTTTAATATACACATACATAATTACAAAACACAGCACTGATAAATTAACCTAAGTTAAGAGCAATGAAAATTCTCTGACTTACTAATGCAAGTGAACTCTGTATGTTGCAAGATACGTTTCGCCAGCGAGTCAGACTTTATTACCCACCCCGCTCAATAATAAAAAAAAAAAAAAAAAAAAAAAAAAAATATTGATCCTATAGTTTACGTGGGGATTGTTTCAGAATGATTGGAAATAGTCTCAAAATAATCTATGGATGAACTCGAGACAGGTGCAGAAAATTGAATGTGTACATTAAAAGCTTATTTTGTATTAGGTGATGGGTGTAGTGATTTTCTGTGGAACACTGTTAATTTTAAACCAATTCTACCTAAGGGCCTGCGGAGGGAAAAATTTACCACCCATACATAGGGAGCGGCAACTTCAATATTTTTACTACCAAAATGTGAAAAAATGATCTGTAGTGCATTACTGAATTCAAGGATTCAAGAAAATAATTGGATTTTTCACTTTTTATTTAAACTTAAATTATTTTTGGACCAAACATTTACCAAGAGCCTTTAACATCCTATGCATTGGACTTTTTCTTCATTCACAAAAAGATAGTAAGGTCAGAAAACAAACGTAATGTCCAACATTTTTTAGCTTTCATGTAATGGTGAAAATGGGATGGATTCCACATGCATGTTAGGTTTATGTCCTTAAAAACAGCTGAGATAGATGAGATCTGGAGAAACATACCGTTGAAGTTGTTGAACAGAAGCTTTTTACAAGAAACTTCAGCACTAACTGAGAGGACAATGTGGAGGTATATATTGAAAGCTCATTTTTCTTGTTCCAGAGAAGTTTTTTGGAAATAAAAAATGGATACCTACCATCAAGTAGACTGTTCTGATACTTAGATAAAATGAAAAGAATTTACGTAGGAATGCCTAGAGTTTTCCTAACTATTCGTTGGGCTATTTTATTAAATTCTTCTCTATTTTCACGCCACATTTTTGCTGCATCTACATTTGCACCACTCTCATCATTCGGTTCTGTAACAAAGATGAGAAATAAATTATAGAGATAAAATTGTGTTGGTAATTTAATTTTAAGGAAAGCAAAATTGTTTGTATTGGTATCTTCTACCTATTAGTAATCTTAAAAAGATTGATGTTGTTATAACTTTGGAGGTCCTTCGAAGGTTTCAAAAAGTTATGTCCTCTTGTAAACTTCTTTCAATGTTTTCAAAGTTCTTTTCCCTTTGAACCTATATAAGCACTTAACCTCTACTTTTTGTGGTAGAGATTAGAAGATTTTCAGAGGTAAAGTGAAATGCCTAGTATTTTGAGAGTCTTAGATTTTTCATAAAAGTATTCTGCGTACTATGGAAATTAAACTTTAAATCTTAGTGAGTCTGTCAGATTTCAGTTCTGAACAAAAATGCAGGGGTCTAATCGACATTTAATTTTAAAAGCCCACATTAGAGAGAAACCTCCACAAATTTTAGGTCAAGTTGAATTCTTGTACAGTGTATCTATAAAACCGTATCACAAACAAGTTTTTGATCACAGAATATTACGCTTAGATTTAACTAAATTCTAGGGTGGGATCGTCGTAGCAATACATTTGTGGGTATTTCGCAAGATAGTTAATTGATAGCAAATCGATTTCTCAAGATTGAATGAGGAAAAAAGGAGCACTAACCTGCTAACATACTAACAACGGACAATAATATTTTTTCGACACTCTGCACCGGACTCCACCTTTCAGCACTCGATTCGTAACCCATTGGGTCATCTCCAGCAGCATGCAGAATTGATATGCAAACTTTTCCATCTGTGTAAACTAGAAACATATCACAGATTCCAGGTCTTAGAAAGAGCAAACTAACTGAAAATGAAAATTTTAAACATATTTCTCTCCTCTTCAAGCTACCTACTGCATGCTCTTGTGCCACCTACATCAGTGTGCATTTACATGCTGGCGAGTTTATAAACTGTGGTAATAAGTAGTGACTCTTTCACGATTTAACATTAAATCGGTGCAGTGAGTCTGATTGCTCCTAACGACTAATATATATGATTATGTCAATACATAGCTAGAATTAGGAATAATTTTAATTACCTATTTCTATAAATCAAAAATCAAATTAAAAAAAAATGAAGTTGTTAAAACTTTAAATGTATAGAAAAATATGCATAAGAGACAGATCATTGCTTAATATGATTTATAGGAGATCAATATATTTCCTGTGCACACTTCATCCAACATTTACAGGCTCAACAACTTCTTTTTTGGTGAAAAACTACAAAAGAGCGTTCAGGATACAATGATATTCCAATTTCCAGAAAATGGTCAAAATGAATCCCACTTTGAGCCATCAACCAATTAATTGTGCGTTAAAGCTTTTTCCAATTATGTTTTGATTGTGCAAAAATACGATAAAATAATTTGATTTTACTTAAAGCAAATTAGCTGTGAGAGGAGAATACTTGAACTGATAGCAGAAATAATGTTGGTGTCAACTTACTATTTGGATGAAACATTTCACATGTAAATTGCATTTTTGGAGGGCTCAGAGGATAGTCAGATGGGAACACTAATTTTGCTGGAAAAACTCCACCTTCAAAACAGGTACCATCTGGGCCTCTAAAAAAAAAACGTAAATGTTGTTCTTGTGAATCATAATAATGAGTACAGTCATTAAATTTTGTGAAAATGAGTATTCTGTGAAAAAGGGAAACAGGGGGAAAAATTATATCAAAGAAAGTTTTCTTTCTATTACGGACTTATGAGGTTTATACTCAAGAATGTGGGGTTAAAGGCAGGCCAAGTTACTAAAAGAGCTGGTAAAATTTCTGAATTTTTTAGGTAAAAAAAGTAAGTGGACGGACAAACAATTTTTCTATGAATAAAAACTAGATTGCAAGAAGAAAAACAATTAATCTAAAAAAATGTTTTTTGAAGCGTTTTTGTGGTAGCTTTTAGTACTTATGTGGTCCGTTTTCTGACTGGAAAAAAACTGCGATTCTTACTTAAAGTCCTACTTTCAGTTAAATTTCTACAAGTAGATTGACTCACGTGATAAGAGCTTCCCACTCAAAAAAGTTTTCTTCGTTAATAGGACCAGCAATGATACCTTCTGGTGGATTTAACGTCAGCTCTGCAAAATAAAGGGAAAACTAATTAAAGCTGTTTGTTCATAAAAGTAACCTCACAAGTATTCTCAATGAGAAAATGACATTGCATTTTCCCAAAACACTTGAATGCATTTTCCAAATTTTTAGATTATTCACCAATTGCTCCAAGTTCAATGGGTCTGATTGTGCAAATTCGTAAGTATTAATTCTGCCTGTGTTTATATTGCGATTCTTCTTACAAGATCTTAACAATGAGTTTTGAAATCCAAATGGAGCTCTTATGTAAATCACATTCACTGCCAATGTACAGCCCTGATAGTTTTATTTTCCCGCGGGTTAGTTGGGTTTTCCTAATAGCAGTAGATCAGTTGTCAGTCTTTACTTTGGTATGCAATGATTCGAGTCGCTAATCAGATTGAAAAGCGGTTGTACGCATCTTTGACACAAGTCTGCTAAAATCTAACAATGAGAGCAATGACACACACATTGTTCAAAAATTAAAAGAAAAGTCATCTTATTGAATTCAGAAGCTTTAAAAGAAGACTTCAATTATTTTTACTGCTCCAAAAATTTCAAGTATCAAATACTACTCCTTGCACCTAATTGCTCGAGGTCCCCTGTTGTGACTTGGAATCAGAGAATAAAATAATTCTGGGATAGTTTGAATGGGTACAGGTAAGAATGGAAAAATGACAAATAAGTTAAAATAATACAAATTGTAGTCTGAGAAAGAGATTTCTCGGAAACTTTGAGACCCCGCTGAAATCTGAATTTACAGCCAGGGCACGGAACTCACGCTTGTATTCGGCCATTAATCTTCTTAAAGCTGAACCTGACATCTTTAGTGGCGAGATTAAATAATTCTAAAAGAGTAGATTATTAAAAATTTAAAAATTTGATAAAACCAGGAAATTCACGGATTGTGATGATGAAATCATCATAACTGTAATCAGTAATCATGGATAGATCAGCTGATTAAATCATAAACAAACCTGTTGCTAGCGCTACCTAGCCGAGGAAAAGTGAAACAGCATAACAACAAACATTTCCCGCGATCCGTCAAATCAAAATTCAAATCAAAACAACGGCCTAGCATGGCTGTAACTTTTGCTGCTTTTTAAGTTTCGAGGAAATCATTATCAGTTTACTTTTCAACTTCCATTGTCACGACTCATATCAATCTGGGTTCAGTGGTGGCTTTCATCATCAAAATTTCCGGTAAGATAGTCTTCTATCCTCATGGTCATAGACTGAGTGCTCAGTGTCAGTTACTTTTCACAGAGGATTCCCATGTATCACAAGCTAATGTTCGGAAAATTTTGAGCCTGAAAGTTTTATGACAAGAATTTTATTGCAGTATTTATAATGCACCAAATTCTTGAAAATTTTGCAGCAGCATCCATCACAAATCACATGAGACCGAGTTGGAATTAGTTGAGCGTTCAACCGGTTCTGAGTGCGGCAGAAGATCTGCTGTCTATATTGATACATCAACATAAATGTAAGAATCAAGATGGCAAAACCTTTGCCTCACTCGCCAGACTGGTCAACTGCTTTGGAAGAATTTGAAAGTATTCCATTCTCTCAGATCATTAGAAATAACTGTAACCCTGTCTTCGCTTCTGTAGATCGCTGCTCATGCTGTATTACGAAGCACCATTACTCTTTGACAAATAACTTATGGACAGTGAAACTTTTAAACTATGTACATTGCAACATTGCTGACTTTCTGCCGAATTTAATTTTTTAAATGGAGAAGAACTCAACATCAATGCTTAAAAACTTCTATGAATTTCTCTATGTGAGAAAAATTCTGAAAAAACTTCAAGAAATTATTTTGATTTTGTCTACGATTCTTAACTTTTCTTTTTTTCCAGTATTCATAAAGCCCATGAGTTCATCCTGGATTCAGAGCAATTCCCTTCAACTTTTAAATATCTTACTTCAATCTCTTTAACTAACACTAAATTTTAATTACTAAACTTGCAGCTGATAGCTACATAGATTATAGCCAGCCAATCATGTGTAGGCTTGTTGTCTCACCACCTGTGACGTCAGCAAGTCTATATAAGCGTGCGCTGCTCCAAAATCTAGGTTCTTCTTCATCTCAAAATTTTGTATATTTAATTCTTTTCCTCGTAGTTAGTTGTTTCTATGTTGACAAAGAACAACTGGTGCCGAACGGTTTTTCTCCAACTTTAATTCGAACTCCCATGTTCAACTCTTATTTATAACAGATTTGTTCCCTAAAAAAAAAGATAGGGAGGAAGATTTTTAAACACAGCAAATGGGATACGTGGTTCGGGAGTTTCATCGTAAATATCTGCATGTGTTGGTTTCCTACTTTAATTTTTTTCGGTTTTTTCCAGGGTCAAAAGAACATAACATATAATGCCACCTATATCAGGGAAAATGAACGCTCTTCAGCAAGATTGGTTGGTGAAGATTTCCAAAGACGATTTTGAATCCATCGCCAAAGATATACAGGTCCGTAACCTAAGTCAATTTCATTAATATACTTTGAAAAACAAAAGCTTTTCATAATCATTTCATATGCTAAAAAACAGTATGCAAGCGTCTATGTAAAAACGAAGATATTTTTCTATGGTGACTCCAAGGGAGCCCTGGATTTCAATAACAGAGTTTCAGAAACTCTGCTCTCACTTACATATTTTTTTGAAATTGAAACAAATTTTTATTTTTGCTTTTATATTTTAGAGAATAAGTAATTCAAGAATCAAAAATAGTCAATACTTTTTTATTGTAATTAAATGGAACAGAGAGTTTGTAACAACATTAATGAACAAACAGAACTTAGAGAACTTTATCCCTCCTATTGCTGGAATTTAATTACATGCTGCTCATGATGTTTTTATCCTAAATTTATTTCCAAGATAAGAGCTGTTAGTATTGTTTTCTCAACTAGTACAAAACGTATTTATTCAAAGAGCCTCTTTTCTTTATATTTTCTTGCTTACCTGTCAAATGAATAATTGCACAGCAAAATTTTCAACAAATCATTGCTTACATTTTTTGAGAAGGCACCATTTTAATCTAGACCTTATTCCAGCATCAAGCCTTGTCCTGTTTCTACTAGTGCCTTTTTTCCTGCAAATCTTGATCTTATTCTGACAAGTGCCTCCACATCAATTGAGTCAGTGTGATTCAGTACCATTTCTGAACTGGGACCACCATTGATATTCTTTTCATAAGCTATATCATAGAGAAATTTTCTGAAATTTTGAAGTCTCTCTACCTCATGACTTTCAACATAAAAGTTCAAAAAAATTATGAAACCTTAATCTTCAAATAAGTGAGTTCATGTGAGTCCTGTCCACACATGTTTTTCCTCCACCAAGATCCACAATATCTGCACCTGTATCATTGCTTTTTTCCAAACCTATGGAAAAAACGTACAGTGCTAAATTTTCTGATGTGATGTAATTTTTTTGACCTAAAAACTTAATTGTTTCCAGAATTTTGTGAAAAAGAAGGAAAATCAAGCATTTGCTTGCAAGTGCCTTCTTACTTGTAGCAAACTAGCCTTCAATGAGAAGTGCTCGTCCCCAGATGCTTTGTTCACTGTGACAAAAGCTTGTTGTGACGCTATAGTTCTTGATACAACGGATCAACAGAAGTTAATAAATGCTCTTTATCACATCACCAAATATCTTTTAGTGGAGGTAAGTTTGCAATGTGCAAGGAATGCTGAAAATTTTTCCCCCTTATTTTTGTGAGATCCTGAAGAGAAGCTTTCAAATTTCTTGAGCCTGACATATAATACAATGACTGAAAATTGCAGAGGATTCCTGAAAATTTAAAAGCATGTCTTAACTTTTAAGGAAAAGACTTCCATGAGACTTGTGTTTACCTATTTTCAGTTCAGTGCAGAAAATTTTCCTCTCAAATTTGCTACATTTTTTTCTCTTAAAGTATACTAAAGCAACCAATAGTAATATTGGATTATTGATGAGGTTTGTAGCCTTTTTATGCACTCATGGCAATACCTCTTTCTTGAGGGTAGATTAGACCTTGTATCATGCACTCCTTCTGTGATTTATGTAATCGACAGGAAGTGAAATATGTTAGCAAATGCAGAATGCAGTAAAAAAAATATTAACATTTATGTTCATTCATTGTAAACCCTCATACTTTTTTATTTTCTTTTCCAGAACTTATTGGAGGAAGCTATGTTAATCAGTGAAAATGTTATCAAAGTATGGAAAACAAAAGCAAATGGCTGGTCTAGTAGTGAAGAAAATACAGTGATGGCTTTTCTTCATAGTTTTTCTAAGCATTTGATGAACATAAATATCACGCAAGATCTTGACACACTGGTCAGCCTCAAAAATAAGGCTTCAGCTCTGAATCTGTGGTCGCACGTATTAACTCTTTGCCTCAGTCTGAACAGAAAACCTCTCGCAGATATGCTGGTTATTTTGGTCAATTTAGCCATAAAATTCCACAATTTAGAGAAGGAAAAAACATCTGCTTTTCTCCTTGCTTGTCTACAAAGTCTTTTGACTTTATCTGAAAATATCTCTGCTGAAAAGATAAAATTAGACGAACTTGTCCTGAGTCGCATTTTACAGGTTTATCGGCGAATCGTTATTAATTATATGTCAATTGAAAATGGGTCCAAGCTTAGAGAATCGGTACTGAGTGTGCTAGATAAGCTAAAAAAAGTATTCGTTTGTGGTGCAGAGCAAGTGAGCTACATTCAGTTTTGTGAAAAAATCGTACAGTTTGTGAACCGATCCATGCTTGATCTAAGTTTAGATGCAAAGTTACTGAAAGACTGTCAAACCATGATGAATAAGTGGAGCAATGAATCTAAATTATCCTATGATTCGTCTTATTTCATGAATGGAATCTTGTTGAAAGTGGGATCATCATGGACTAAGAGGGAACCTAAACTTCCAGGAGCCCTCTTCTCGCCACTGATTAAGCTCGTCTTGAAAAGTCACATGTTTCTGGATGGCAATCGCATGGAGATATGCTCTGAAAAGTGTGCTATGAACTGCGATGAATCAACAATCCTGCAAAGTAAATGCCTTCCTCTCAACTGGCTGATGATTTTTTACAATCAGAATCCAGACAAAAATGAAACGTCTATAAAATTCTGGACAAGTATCTACAAAGATCTTGAAACTCTACTTGCAGAAACTCAAGATTTTATTCTCAAGCTATCTGAAGCGAATTGTCCTAGATTGTCAAAGCTTTTCCAGTATGCTTTACCGTACTTTTTAAATGGTATCAGCGGGTTTGCCCGGTCAGCCCAGTACCAAAGTGCATATACCTTAACTGTTTCAATGTTGCAAAATTTTGTTAAGCTACCATCAATATTTTTGGAGGAAAACTTCACTGGAAAATTATTTGTCAAAGCACTAAGCCTTATAAATTGTTGTTGTTATAATTTAGGACAGTATGCAACTCCTTTAAGCATAATATCTGCATGGGCTCTCATTTTACCAAGTCAGAGAAAAACACTGTTTAGACTATGGACTAATTTTAAATTGGATGTTTTTCGGTCCAAGGAAAAGAAACTTGAAGCGTCTGTTTGGCATGTTTTGACTTTCAATGCAAGTAGTATCAAAAAGCTTTGGAATGCACCCGACTTATCTCCTGAATGTGCAGGTTCATTATTAATAGAGGAAATGAAAGCTTACTGTAAACATAATTTACCGTATTGTGAACCTTTCTTTGCTGTTTTTGAAGCATGTCGGAAACTCAAATTATCACCTCATCAGGAAGCCATCATTCTTTGCCTTTTGGTCCGTGCTCTTGCTCATGATGTATCCTCCATAAAGAAACTAGCACCCATCTTGGACAAAGTGAAAGAAATAGAGACCCAGTTATGTGGGCTCAAGAAGAAATCAGAAACTAAAGAAAAATTGAAAATCAACATTCTTCTCGGCTGTTTAATTGTAGCCAGGTCCTGTTGCTTAATTCTGAAGATTCGCAGTCAAAATGAAGGAGAACTCAACAGTCAATGCATGGTGGTAGAGCAACCAAAAAGTGATGAACCAGGCACAGAAGTGAATCCAAACGATTCCTGCGCCGTAACCCCATCATTGTCTTTTATGAAAATAGATAGCCACCAGCAGCTTTTCGATTTGCTTGATGAAGGCGTGAAGTACCTCAGCACTGCAGCAAGCACTAAAGTTTTAGAAAGTATTTCATTCGACAGTTGTTTATATTTTGACAGCTTAGTTGATGCTGCTCATATCTATAAGATTTATGGTTATGAAATTTCGGAATACACCACCTGGGAGCTAGGGTTCAAAGTTTGCAGCACCTTAAAGCAAAACGAGGGCACAATCATAAGTATGGCAAATATTCTTGGCTTAAGGTCAACTGTTAGTGCTAAGTGGTTGGCTTACACGGAAACGCTGGTGCAAGCCCTTGATGAGAACGAAACTGCCCTGAAATATCAATACTTCCTAGCCTGCATCAGGAATAATTTCTTGAAGCAAGAGTATGATACAGTCAATGATTTGTTCCAACGTGTTGACACTAAAGAGCTCAAGAAAGCTCACAAACTACTCTACGCTGAATATTATATCCTTCTTAGCAAGTGTTTTTTCAACCCAGATATTTCACCTATCAACTGCGCCGTAGAAGCTTACATATGTCTGGCAGCTCATGTGAAAAAGAAAGATTGGAGTAAGTATTGGTGAATGCATTATGATTACTTTTCCTGAGTATTTGTTGAAAATACTCTATTCTCTATTGTTTAAATTTCAGTTTGCCTCAACAAGCGAGGCATTCACTCAGTCTGTGGAATGTTGCTTTGGATGAAAATGTATCCCTCTAGTAACTTGACCAATTCCCAAACTAGGGATGGTCGAATATTTAGATATTCGAAAATTCGAATATTCGATATTCGAATCATCGGCACCGAGGTAATTGCGTCACATTCGAATATTCGCTTCCGAAGTGTTCGAAATCGCAAATTCGAAAAATCCGAATATTCGAATAATCGCATTCAAAAGTGTCAAATGTGTCATTTTATCTCTCACAGTTTATAAAAAATCAAAAATCGAAGCAATAATCGAAAATATTCGAATATTCGCATCCGAACTATTCGCAATCGCAAGATTCGAATTCTCAAATATTCGCAATAATCGCATTCGAAAAGTTTTGAATATTCGAACATTGGAATTCGATATTCGTCCATCCCTATCCCAAACGTCTAACGAACTAAGCGACCATAGTTTTTCTCCTCTGTAAAATTGTTTCACCCCTCTTCTTTCTATTCCAGGTAATTTCACAGAAAGCTGTAAGTTGAACTCTTTGCTGTTTGAGGCCACTCTAAATATCGGTGACAACTTTTTGGATCTTATGCTCCCCCGGGAGACGCGCTCTTGTTTGAAAGCACAACTGAGACTTGCTCAAAAACTTGCTTTACCACTAAGGTAAGGAATCAATAACAATTTTTCTTTTCAGATCTTTTAATGTGTGAAAAAATGTAAAGTTAAATTAGCATGTGCAATTGCTTTATCTCTAATATTTGCAGTTCTAAGAAAGCAGCAAATTAAGCCTGTTTTTAAATTGCATGATAAATTCAAAAATTAACAGTCCTAGTGAATGTTTAGAAAAGTAAGTACTCTGTAACCCCGAGAATCAATTGGTATTCTTCTAGCCTACAGTTTTCGTTTTCGATGCCTCTGAATGCTGCAGTTCTTCCTCTTGTATTTTCTGTTAGTTTTAGAGAAATTCTAAGAAATTCAATTTGAAAATTTTTCAAACTTTTAGATCAATGCTACAATTCAAAAACATTTCATAGCAATCGTAATAAGTGGATTACTTTATTGGTCACAGGTTAGCCCAGGTTCTAGTCCAGCTAACATGGGTGGATATAATGTGCTGCAACAAAAACGATGCAAAATTGAAGATTCAAACTTTGGAAGAAATCCTGCTGCTGCCTATGCGTGTTTCCAACTTAGTTCCTGTAAAGACGGGATCTCGGCGCACCAAGTTAATCAAAGTAGAGCAGCCTGATTTTCTGAAACATGAAAATTGCCAGTGCTTTGTGTGTGCCTCGTCACTATGCCAGCATGTCATCTTAGAAACTATACGTCTGCAAGCTGCCTTTACCAACTTAAACCCTGAGTTTCGGAACTACTGCATGGATTTCTTGAAATGTAAGTACACATTTTTGGAGGGAAGCAGAACGAATCAGTTGCACTTGTCACATAATTGTATTTGGTTAATCCACGCTTATAGATTAGCAAAATATGATGAGATCTGTCCTGGTGTGTAGTTTCTACTTCTGGTATTAACTTTGGTATCTACCTTTGAAAAATTCAACGGATGATGTCATTCACACTTTAGCGAGAGCCTTAGTTTCTTCTACTCTGGTCTTCTGGTTTAAAAGTCGAATAACATTTGCATTAGTTACTCAATGCACATCCTTGATAAGATTAAGATGGAAGTAATTGCTGTTAATTTTACTAATAAAAATTGTGAATGGCACCATCCAGTGAGTTTTTTACTCTTTATTGCTCCAATGTTGGTCTCAAGTAACGATCAAGGGTTGGAAAAGATTTTCTACTTATCGATTTAACAAAAAAAGTATATTAGTTTATTCTGAAGTTAGTTTTTTACAGGGTGAGGCATACCCAATTACTTCACATCGCTATTTTTATAAATACTAAATTTTAAATTTCAATTAATTCATAATATCAGATAACGAAGGATGGAAATTTTCTTTTAACTCTTCATTTTCAACTACAACTAGTTTAACATCAATGATAAAGTTATTTGAGCTTGTTATCTTTAAGTCAAAATTTCTTACAAGAGCATATTAGGCTGATTTCAGATGAAATGATCAAAAATTCAATTGAGTTCCAAATTTTTGTGTGTTAAATTATTAGATGAAATTTTTTGTCATGTCCAGCTAGTACACATGAACTTTTAATATTTAACTGGTCTGACCTAGGTGACCACCGTTTTTCAAAGTTTACGTGTCAATTTCTTTAACTCATTTGGACCATATTTTGCAATAATTAACCATCATTCATGGAAGCATCTACCTACATTAGGACGCTAGTTGAACATATGTCGTCATCGAAATGAGTCAGAAATAGTTCCAAAACGCAGTCCATTTGGAAATTGCCGTACTCAAAGTGAGTATTCTCTCCTTGTTATGTACTAAGCAGTTATCTACTATTAAAATGCCTTTTTCTTTGCATACCCTAATCAAGTATTATTTTTCAGGTGCTCAAAACATGTTATCCAAAATCTGTCGGAATAGGAAAGAAGAATGGATGCAACTTAGTGAAATCAAGCTTTTCATTCAGTATATCGATTACCTGACTCTCATCAAGAGCTTTAAAGAGGCGACCAAGATATGTGAGAAAATATCTGTGTTTGTCTCCTCGTTCCCTGATGCTCACCCTTGCAATAAAATTCTGAAGCAGGACATGTTTGAGCAAATGGTCAGTCTGAACAGAGCTGAAACAGAGCAGTTGAAAACTGTCTAGTGCCATGTGTATCGGTCTATTTAAAATAAGACACTCATTATCGTGTAACAACTGTAAGTTGAAATTCGTTTGTATTGTAAATTTTTAATCACCATGCAAGCGTCCATGTCATACGGTTTTTTAAACTAAGCCTACAAGAAAAAGGTGCTTTCTTAAATTCAAACTATTTGGTGTGAAAATCTCGTTTCAACCAAACTTATTATTTGATGGACTCTCTTGAAAACGCTTAAAATTCAGTAATTGCAAGAGCATGAGGCACAAAAATTGAGTTAGGAGCTGTTTTGAGTAAATTTTTATCAGAACACTCTGCGTCTGAAAATAGTTAAAACCTTTAATCTTAATCTCTGGCTTTGGCTGGTTTGCTGATCTGAATGTACCTGAATTTTAGTCTCTAAGAATTATACAGATGAAAAGAACAACAATGATTCAAAACATACTTTAGTACGGACCTTACTTATATACATAAGATACTATTACAATACTGAAATAAAATATCTTTGTAATAATATTTTTCAAAACAAATTTTCAACGGTTTTAAGGAGAGATTTCTCTGCAGTGATTGCTTTTAAAATACTTATTTTTACAAATCGATGTATTCAAAGCATCATAGTTTTTGAAGTACAATACCTAAGATTTTTTTTATACAGTATTTTACAATTGGTTTTTGATGACCATATTTGTGATTTTAGACAGATATATTTTTAGAGTTAAAAATTGAAGAAGGTGTAACTGCAGGAGCGTTTATATTGTTTGCGGAGTTTTAAAATCTCCGCTCCAATTTATTTTATCCAAGTACTAACCAACACTATTGCCCGAAATTTTTACAGAATATCTTTAATACGTAGAAGAAAAACAGAGGGAAGTTTTCAAGAAATGACACTAAGTATATTTTAATAAAAAAATAAAGTAAGACAGAAAGCCTGGAATGTGACAAATTGAGATACTGATTCCTTCAGTTTCACCATCGAAATGTGGCAAAATTTTTAAATTCTTCTTTTTATTATTAATTCTTTCTCTATTAAGTTTTAATTATTTGATCTACATTTTTCTCAGAGTTTCAAGAAGCATGAATCCTGCAAAAAGCTTTCGATATAAACTACCAATTGCTTGCTATTGTAATAGATATTGAGAATTACTTGTACTCTGTGAATACCTTAAATTAAGTATTTCAAAGTTTCTGCTTGAAATGAAATGAAGCACTCACTAATTGATAAGGTATAATAATCATTATTCATGAAAACTGCGCTCTTAGTTTTTACAGATATGATCTTATTGTACTTAGGTATGGAATCTTTGATCCAATGTAGCCCGGTCATGCTCAGCTCAACTTTCCTCAGGTCTCAATGAATACCATTTAGCTTTTAAGTTTTTTACATCTGTTTTTGTTTGGAAAGCATGATGATCTCAAAAATTTGTTCTTTGTTTGGAAAGCTGTATTCGAAAAAAGCTTTTTCTGAACCGTAATTTTGTACTTTTTAAAATTACCAAGGTTTTTGCTTTTAAATAGAAAAAAATTGTCAAAATCACAAGAGTTTTTATTTGGTCCTGATTGTGTAAATTATAATGAGATTTTCTGAATTATAAAAACTTTCCATCCAAATGTGATCCATAAAAACTGAAGAAATCAATTTCAGAAGAAATCCTGTAACAATTTCTTGTCTTTTTTGAGGGCAAGGAGGGAATTTGAGGGTAGCTGAATGAAAGTCATCATCAATAATTGGCCATTCTATTATCTACAAAACTGTGATAGAATTTAAAATTTAATTATGTGAAACTTCATTTTAAATCAATCTTAGATGAGCAGATGCAGAATTGGTAGACAGCACAGGCAGATGTAAGAGTAGCAACAAGACTTGCGTAATTCACCCTCTCTAACATCAACATGTATCCTAGCAACCATTCATTGCCTCGTCATAGCACTCCCTGAGTTATTTGAACTTTAATTGTTCATCAAACGAGATAACAGCAACAGTCTGAATACATCAGTACCCCATTAGTATTCCTATATATAGGTGAAAGAACAAAATAGCCGCGTATAATAGTTTAGGACACAAACCTATCGTTAATTTTGAATGCAAATCAAGTAATAAGTATAAGAGACTCCAAAAAATTGAACTTTAACTTTACTCAATGCCTTTAACACTGAATGACAAGAATGAGTCCAGAAGAAATTCAAGGACTGAAAATCGAGAGGTGTATAACTCATCTGATTTGTTATCGAAACCTTTTCTAAGTAATGATTGTCAATTACCGGAAAATATTATCGAACTTCAGTATCCTTTCAAAGCAATATCAATTCCACTCTTCCTTCGAACCTACTCTCCATTCAAATTTCTCTATTCTCTCAGATTCATATGGAATTTAAGAATTACCGATTGTAAATTATTAAAAAATACGATTTTCTTATTTCATGACCTCGCTTTTGGCTTTCTCAGTTTGACCATGAACTTATTTTCCTGAGCATATTTTACAGCCACTCATTCGGATATGACTGCCGCTTGCATTTCAATCTAGAGGTAGCCGATGAGAACACACTTCTATTCATTTCTGGCAATCTGATCCATATTTTCAATGTCCAGACAAGAGAGATGAAGTTCCGACGCTCAGCAGGAGGAGGTGGTCTGGGACACATTTCGGTAATGTAAAATTTGTTCCATCTATACAATAGAGAATTCGCTGGTGCCTGAAATTTGATGAATTTCGTATTTAAGTGGAAACTACTAATTGAACTGAATACGAGGATACCCTTGGTTCATGAATTGAACAATTATTGGAGAAGATATACCAAAATGATTTAATCTGCTAAAATATGTATGTTCAAATGGGAAATGCTGACCGATGACGTCACGAGGTGGTGCATTTTCTCACTTTTAAATATATTTTTAAACTAATTCCCATACCAGAAAAAAATTTTAAAAAATACTGTGAAATCAGCTCTTTCAGCACTTTCAGATGAAGCAGTAAAAAATTTGCACGCCAAGTCTCCATTATTTCAGCAAGCACCTAACAGTAAATAAAGTGCTTATTTAATTCAATTTACCTTTTGAGTTGCCTTACCAACTATTTCTCCTTTCACGTTTCAGAGCAACAAGAATGAAAAATACTCGGATCACATTGCTGTCGCAGAGAAGGGAGTTTCTCCTTTAATTATAATTTATCGATGGCCTCATTGGGATGTTATCTCTGTTTTGAAAGGAGGAGCACTCAGAGAGTATACTTGTCTCGATTTCAAGTGAGTTACTTAAATTGTTTTAAAATGAGGATTTTGAAGTACGAGTGAATCAGCGATTTTCCTAATTCGACGGCTTAAGTCAGCAATCACATAACTCGGTTTGCGACGTCGCAGACTTCCTGTCATACTTAATTTTTATAACTAAACTACTCAACGGCAATTCTTTAAAACTGCCGTGATTTTTCTTCTCTGTGCGAAGAAAATTCTGCATAAACTTCAAGGAATGATGTCAATTTGTTCTCCTTTAAAAAAATAACACACCTAAAGGCAGTGATTTTCAGACACCACAAACGAGATGTGTGATTGCGGACTTCAGGCCGTCGAATTGCATTTTTAGCTTTGATTTTGATGCGAAAGAATTTTGTTCAATAATTTTTTCGTGTAATTTCTTTGCTTTGACACACATTTTTTCTTCTTCTTTAAACCAGTCCAGATGGAACATTGCTAGCCTCTCAAGGTGGATCTCCTGATTACCTGCTCACCATTTGGGACTGGAAAAATAGCAGTATTATTTTATCAGTTAAATCGCATGATGATCCTGTATTCAATGTGAAATTTTCTCATTACGTTCCTGGCGAACTTGTCACTAGCGGTAAGTTACTTTTTTAAATACTATTCCAATTAGTAAGGATGCCTTTAGGCGTTTTTTATGATGTCTTACAAAAAAAGGGAGTATGATGTCATGCCAATTTTTGAACTCGGATGGAAAATATTTGGAGAAGACCAAACTCTGGTAAAAATTGGCTATCAGAGCTGTGTTACAAAATACTGTAAAAATTATTATAGCTGGCTATATAAAGCAATAGGAAACTGTAGAAAATCATACAGCTGGACTATACAAAGCGATAAAAAATTATATAGCCGAGTTATAGTTCCTATTGCCGGGCTACATAGTTTATCGCTTGGCTATAGCTCTTATAGCTGTTGGCTACTTCCTTATTGCCATCGGCTATGAAAGGCTGTAAGAAATCTCATAGCCAGCCATAGGTCTATGGTATTTTAAAACACAGATCCTATAGCCAATTTGTACATGGGAAAGGATATGATCAATAAGCTAGTTAGCAATGATGTTGATGATAAGGCCTTCTCTACTTGTTCTCTCAGAACTGAGCCCTCTCCATCTGCGACTCAAGCATTTATTTACAGTTTTGAGAAGTGTGCTTACAGCGACTTTAATGGAAGAAGGCACTTCATAGAAAGAACAGTGTATTACCAAATTTTCACTTGCATTTTTCCTCCTTTTTCGAAACAACTGCACCGATAGATCCGCTTGAAACTTTTGAAAAATAATCTCGACCGAGAAAAAAAATTATTTGAAAAATGCACACATCTGAGGAGACTGATTGTTTTTGGTATCACACTTCTCTTCTTTTTTAAATGTCAAATCTAATTTTTTAAATGTAAAAACGAAGTTTTGATTAATTGCAAGGTGCGGGACACGTCAAATTTTGGAAAATGTTGCGTACCTTCAGCGGTCTAAAGATCATTGGGAAGCTTGGCAGATTCGGAAAAACAGAGACCTCTGATATTATCGGAGTCTATCCAATGCCCAACAATTATGTAAGTCAAGTTTATGTTTTCAAACATTAGATTTTTAGGAGGGTATAAAAAATTTTTTCGTTGCAGTTACAGAGAATTTCAAGAGAAGGTCTGGTCTTTTTGTCTATTTTCAAAAGGCTCTATGTTGGTAAACATTAGGCATTTGCCAAAATATTTGACAAATGCATTATACTTTGATTATTCAGTACAGTTATAAACCTTCAAATTTAAAAATTTATGATTACTCTAAAATTTCGAAGGCACATGTATTTTTTGTGAAATTATAATATATTCGGAGTGGAAAAGTTACCGCAGATGTTGACAGATTGTTTTCAACGAATGTTATCTATGTTCCAGATGGGTAACTTTTTCTCACCTACTTTCTTAATTGATGTTAAGGTTATTTGATGACAATTTTAGGTTGAGCATATTAAACATTGAATGTTGTTCAGTCTCAAGTACTTAAATGAACATACCCTTGAGTTTAACCTGTTTCCACCTGTAAGTTCAAAATTTATTCTTGAGTTATGGGCGAAAACTGCTAAGAGCCTCAATAAAGGTTTTTTCAAATCATAGGTAGCCTTTACCTTGAATCTATGATCAGGGATTGACTTTATACTTACTTTTTGAATCACCATCATTGATTTATAATAAGCAAAGTAAAATTTACTCTTCATGCACATCGCACAAGTTGGTACTACCAAAATTGTCAGGTAAAAAAAGTATGATCTGTCAATAAAATCTGGCAGAAGCCCCTCTCAGAATCTAAATTTCTAATGTTTTGAAAAGACACTAACAGGTTGTAGCTGGGGTAATATGCTTTTATGGGAAGATGATGTCATCAAACTGGAAATCACAAGGAAGGGGAGGAAACCATGTCACTCTGGTCCAATTGTTCAGTTCAGATACTATCATGAGTCAAGAGAGCTGACATCTATCAGTAAGTTTTTCTTTTTTGGTGCAACTTTGTTTTCTTTGAACTTTTATCCGACCTTTTTAGTTGCGTATGTTCACGCATTGGACTCTGTCTTCGGAAAGTAATGAGCGAAGTGGCTTTAATTTCTCCTCATCCCAAAGTTTTTGATACGACTAAAGGATATCCTATCAGCAACATGCAGTTTCCAGTATTATCAGAATCATAATTTGCAACTTCATCTCTTGTTGAGCTTTCAAGTTGTAGAGTATAAATAATTGCGGACCACCAGATACTTCCTTTATTCTGCCGTGCCAAGGAAAAACGCCGTGTGAGCCTTTAGGCGTTGCCAAATTTCCTTTGATAAATCACGAATTTTCGGGAATATTTAAAACGTTTTTCTTTCGATTTTTCTGGGAATTTCGTTCGTAGTTTGACCTAAATAGACTACAAATTTCAAAGATAAATATTGATAACTTTTCTCAAAAATAAGCATTTTTTCGGAGGAAATTTGGCAACTCTCGAATGCTCATACGGCGTTCTCCCTTAGCATGGCAGTTTTATGAGCTCATTTTTTCCTTTGTAATTTCTTTCTGGCTGACCCTCAAATTACTATTACAGGTATTGGCGATTTTATAAAGGTTTGGAACTTCACTGCTGTTGAGTCATTTTATCCGGCAGAGGATGAAAAATTTATGGAGATGAAGCCTATTTATGAGATTCAAATCAAAGACAAATTCTCTGTTGCGCATTTCTACTCAATGGCCAAGAGGAGCGGAAAGGAAAACCGAAAAATTCAAAACTGGTTCGGTCAGGTAAATATCGGATTTTGTGGCTTAAAACAAATTCCTGCTCTAACCTCATTTAAAAATCTTGGAATTTCAGTCTAGCTAACTGTCATCAAGGTACCGTTATTCAGACGCAGTAAAATGGTGACACTCAGGAGTAACTTAGGCAGACTCAAAAATTTCAAGTTCAAAGAAATTTAAATAAGTTGAAAGTCTTCTAATGAAAGGAACCATGTTTACGCTATAAGTTTATAAAATTGCCGAGCATGTCCAGAACTTGATGAATTCCTTCCTACATTGTTGAAGCCTCAGTCCAATGGTCAACGAATGAAAAGCATTCATTCATCAAAAATAGAGGTGTTTGCCCCTCGCCACGATTTATTTTAATACGTCAATTGAAGGAGTGAAAGTCTGAAGGGCTCAGTTTCATTGCTGCATCAAAAATTTCTTCTTGACAGTTAACAAATTGCTCAAGAAGCATTGCAACATTTCCTTTTAAAATCCCTGTGGATTCTCTCTGTGATTTGAAAAACACTTCCTGAAAATTTCAATTCCAAACATGCATTCGTCAATGAATGAAAACTAATTTGTCCAATAAAACTTTGCATAATCACAGTGCAACTGAGCCCCTTTGACTCTCAGTCTTTCAATAAAAAGCAAAATTACTAGATTTTAAATACTCATTATGTTATTAAATTCAGAAAAGTAGTTGTTTTCTTTTAAAGAATTGTTTGTGCCAAACTCTCAACATATTTAAGAGTGTAGGTTATGACTTCACAATGTTGTTATTTATTCCATTATTTCAGCACAATTCAAGACTACTGCAGCAAAGCTGATTTAGGCAGTTAACACAAACTTCAACAAGATAGATAGTAGTCTCACAAAATGCCTTACTGAGCATTGAAAAAAAATTTCTTTGAACTAAGCCTCTATAATTTTAAATTTTGCTTTTATTGGTCGTCAATAACTGCACATTCCAAATAACATGACAAATGCATATCAGTCCAGGTATCACTAAAAAGCTGTGGAATTACCAAAAATGTGTTAAAATTTGTTTTAGGATTTAAATGGAGGTATTTGGGATGTTGATATTTCTATTTCTAGAAATGTCAAAGATCCAAAAAAACTCTACTGGTGTCATGCGAAATCAGTGTCCGATATTGCAGCATCTCCTCATGGTTATTATCTTGCGAGTTTGGGAGAAGATGGTCGACTTTACATTTATGATGTCCAAGCTAAGAAAGTAATTATCATCAAGCATTTTCCTACACCAGGTTACTGTCTCAATTGGCTACCTCTACACGTAAGTTTCATGTTAAAATCAACCCTAGCAGTTAAATCAGCAATTGATACACTTCTGGTGTTCAATAACTTAATTCGAATGTTGACCAAATTGGAAGTGCTTTCCATCTTTGACTCATTGAATGCAAGTAGAAGAGGCGGTTGGACCGAGTCTAATAGGAATGCTTCAAGTTTGAACTCGGGAAAAGAGGTTTGAAGTTTTATTCCTTCTTAAGACCTAAAGTTGAGAACAAAGTTTAACGACTATTCTTATGCTCAAAATTTTTTTTTTTACTTTGAATTTTTGACAGGAGAAAATGTAAGACTAATTGAATTCAAAACTACTCTCGGCTCATTTTTTTTCAAAATTGTGACTTTTTGAAAATGCGCCGTTCTGTTAATTTCGGTCCAATCTAAGTGTTTGCTGGCTGTTACTTGGTCACAGAGTCTTAAAAAATACACGGTTCAGGATCCTGCTAATGACTAATTTCAGCTATTGTCCGTAAGCAGTTTCAAAAACATACGAGTTTCCCAAACATTGCAAACATGTTTGTGTTGATTGGTTTATAGGGTTACTAAATTCCATTTGATGATACTTATCAGCAAAAGTATCAAGAAGAACGCCTTGAAGGTAACACGTAAAATGAAATAAACACTGTTTTATCATTAGTCACTCATATTTTTTAATAAGATCATTTCTGTGTAGTCATCACACCGGGAAAAACGTAGGCACTGATTTCTGTATTTCGGGGCTCTCTTGCAAATTGAACTGTCATAATTCGAATAGCCAAATAAAAAACAAGAGCTGAAATTTGAATTGCGGGCCGAGTGGCACCCCCTACTTTTACAAGTTGTCTATGATTGGTTGACCCGCTTGTTGCCCACTTTTTGGAGCCTTTATATAACAGGGATTTAATTTTTCATTGAAAATATCTCGAAAACAAGGACACACTTATATGTCGTACGTTTCGAAGAAATCGAAACTTTTTTCAACGAACGATTAAAAAAATCGAAACTTTTTGATTGTAATTTCTATAATGACTCTCTACAATTTTTTTCCTGTCTTAGGTGGCCAAGAGCGGATCCATTATTGTGGCAGGATTTGGTGATGGCTCTTTGAAAGTTTTGATTGCCAACATTCAAAAGCAAATAATCTGTGAGGAGGACAACAATTTTGACTGGATAACAGTAATACAGGTAAATCATTCCTGATGTCAGCTCTCTAACTCCCCAAATTTTCAAGTTTTGTCATGATATTCTCAGAGGTCCATCAGGTCGGTTTCCATGATTTTTTTTATTATTGGCAGGTAAGAAGAGCTTGCTGCTTTTAAATTTTCAAATATGATTCATGTTTTTATTGCCGCCAAAGAAGCTCTCCGAGGGATTGGAGTGCCTTTCAGGATTTGAGTTAGATGATTTTCATAATCATAATCTTGCTATCCTATCTTGAGTATTTAGTTAAGTGGACCTGGTGAAATAGATGGAGCATAAATTGAAGCATAAGTAATACTTACATAAAGAGTTTCTACAGTTAACTCATGCAGTAGATATTATTATACCTGTTCAACTGATTCAGGTCATTTCTCCTACTTCCTTAAAATAATTCAAATTCACCATGATGAATTAATCAATGAATCTTACTGTCTCAGATGAGTAAACCACACCTAAGCACTGTTTCCAAAATCGCTCTCAATTCAAGCGGAACTCTGCTAGTGAGTGGCAGTCGAGACTCAACAATATTCATTTTTGAAGTTTTAAGAGATGAACACGTCGATGTGACTCTACAACCCGTTGGTTTTGTAGCAATTCCTGAGCCTGTGACCTCCCTGAGTGTAAATCCTATGCAAGTAAGTGAATAAGTTCACCTAAGTTGCATAATTTGTAGAGAATGTTGAGAAAAGCGAAAGAGTATATTATACAGTATATAAAGAGTTAGGTAAGTCAGTAGTAACTCAAAACTATTTTTTACCACTGCAGACTTCAGTCAGACAGAATTCTAGAATTTTGTGCAGTTTTTGTGCTAAAATTTTTGTAAGATGCTCCTCCAAATGATGGCACTAGAATCTCATTTGTTGATTTTTTGGTAAAATTGTCCATTTTTCCATCGATTTGTTTGAAAATAGTGGTGGAGCAGAAAAATCAAAGTAACATGAATAACGTGGAAAAAAGAAATTTATCTAATTAACTTGCAGAATGTTAGACATTGTGTGATATCTCTGATATGTTGACATGAATGGCTGCCAGTGTAACATTCTCGCAACATTCAATTAATAACTGGAACATTGGGTTCATCTCAACATTTTAAGAGTTCTCTTGCATATTTCAACATCCAAGATGTTAGTTCAACAAATCCGTCTTTTCTGCGAAGAATTTCTGTGCATCTCAGTACGACAGTAATTTTTCATATGTTTTCGCAGAAATAATATAAAAAGCCTTTAATTAAGTCTGGTAATAAAATTCAGAATATGACAGTGCCAACAGCTCAAAAGCATTTGATCGTATCCAAATGTATAAATTGTAAACAAGTATGAATTTATTGTAAATTTTTAAAATCGAATTTAATGTTCTTTTTATTCAAATGTACAGGATAATGTAATTTTGGTCGGTTGCGAGAGGCAGAGGCTACTAGAGGTTGAACTCCCCAAGAAAACCCAAGAGTGTGATACTCAAGAATCTTATAAACTGGAATGTTATATTGAAGACCTCACCGCTAATTTTCCAACAGCAGGTAATCTTCCTGTTTTATGTGAGACTTATTTTTTTAAAACGAACTTATATTCCAAATATTAATTGTCCCTCAATTTGATCTTGTTTATTTGCATAGTGATTGCTTTATATTGACTATTGAAACAAAAAAATAAGAACATAAAAAATCCAGCAAAGGTTTCCTCGTATATTGCATGTTAATGTACACACTAACTTAGCACAGCCATTTTTCATTTTTACCTCCAAGTATTCCTGAGACCTTGAAGCCTCATCAAAAACTGAGTTTTTTAACGTACAGCAAACTAAAATGGAAATAATTATTCCTCCTCAGAGGTTTGTAGAATGGAACCGAATTTTCCTCTTGTGATTTAATGCAAAGAATAATGCACAAATTTAAAAGTTTCTGAGTTCATTTTCAAGCAAAGTAAACGTAGGTATCTTGAGTTTACATTCTTCATTGTAATTTGTTGAGTGACATTTAGTCTGTAATTCAGCATTTGATAGATGCAACGCGCCTATTGTTTAATATATTAGTCGAAAATTTTTCTTCTAATTTTCAAAGTGTTTTATGTAATTTCCCAAGGAATTTAAAAAGATTGCATAGGAATGTATATTTTAATCATTTTTCCTTAAATTTCCTTGTAAAAAGCGGTTCAGAATTAACAGAATTAGTCATTTAAAGTTTGTCAACATCTAGAGGGAGCTGAAAGTGAAAGCACCCATATTGAAACTAAACCAGAGATTGCATTTAACAGCTCTGACCTAAATTTTCCACCTCTTCAAATCAAATTTCCTTTTAATTTTCATTTTAAACTTCTTCATTTCTAGAAACAAACAGGAAAGACGAAAAATTCAAGGTCGTAAATGCTTCTTACAAGAGATCAGGAACTATCTGGTTCTGTCTGGAAAAGAGCGACCCTTGTTGCATTTTTGAATTCAAGAAAGACACCACCGAATCCTTTAATACCATTCTGATTCCTGACACAAAAGCTGCCAGTCTATCCTGTTTTCAACTTTTGTATGCTTTCATTTTATTCTTATTGTTTTATATTCTCAACAGTGTGAAACTTGGAACTCAAAAATTAGAAATCTGTGCTTTGATCAGGAATTTTTCTGGCACAAACAATATTTAATGATCACAAGAAGCAGATTTTAAACAATAAGCTTAGAATGTCAGGCTCTCGTTAAATTGTTTTTAATAGACTTTATCTATAAATAAAATTTGCTTTACATTAACTGAATAGTGGCAAGCAAAAGAACTTATCGATTGTAAGATTCTCGAATAGAGACACGTATATTCCAAGCAGTTCACAGTGAGTAACACGTGTTTAATGAGAGCGTCAATGATGCATCGCAGAATCTCCTGTAGGTAATGTTTTTTTTTCGCTATATTTTGTAATGCTTAATTTTCTCCATGCTTCCTGTTTAACCTTGAAAAAGCGGAGTAAATTCTCTCAAAGCTAAGTTTGACAAACCAATGTTCTCAGTTGCCCAATTTATATTCTAGGAACTCAGAAGAATTGTTATTTTTTGCCTTCAACAATGGGAAAATTCGAGTGACGGAAACAGATGTTGACCAGAGCGATTTCTCAAAATTCTGGGAACTTTCAATGCATGACAACTTCAATGGACTGATTCCAAAGCTTTGCTTGAGTCACGACCAGCGATTTCTCTTCAGTTGTGGGAGCGATGGCAACATATTTGCTTACACATTGAATTGTTGCAGTGAATATTTCACAGAATACAAGCCTCTTCCCTCCACTTACATTGAGGTAGGAGTTTCTTTTGTTGAATACTTTAAGTATACAAATGACATCATTTGTTTGTCTAATGCGGAACAAGTGTCTGTTTGAATCCCCACCAAGATTTGAGATTTTGCCCACGGTTTTCGAGAAACAATTTTGTTATTCAGTACCAAGAGGCTCAATTTGAACTGTGAAAAAACTTTGATTATTCAAACATGGCATTAAATGGATCAATTTTTCCAAGTATTCTCTTACGAACATTTAGCATCAAGCCACAAGTTTTGCCAACTTAACTCATCTAAATAAGCGTAAGGTCTGTAATAATGAAAAACAAGCAGTGAACTCCAACACAATGTGTTGATAAGGCGCGTCATTAACTCGCACATATCAACCCCTTTAGTTTTCATTTACAGAGATTTCAAAAAAGGCAAGCAGCACAACAAGAGAATTCACGATCCAACACTGCAAGGTCAACGACGCACCTTCACGAGACCGTGTATTGTGAATCTAGAAAGCTATTCGAACAAATTTAAGTTTTTTGATCTGCCTCAAGCAAAATCTTTTCAGATTCTTGAAGAAAAGTGCTACGGAAAAATTTAAGCGAAGAAAGGAAAAATTCTGTCGAACTCCTAGAAGATAAAGTCGATTTAAAGGTATTTTGGGGCTAAAATACCCAAATCACCGGTATTATAAATCCCGTTATATTATTGAAAAGAAATTGACTCGATATAAATGCAATTGTCTTAAATATGTCTTGATTTTGTTATTTTAAACGTCTTTTCATGCAAAGAAGCTCAACCATGTCCATGCTTTATTCATTCATGAATTGAAAGTAAGCAATCCACATCCCGAAAATCTACCGATTTGCCGTAAAAAATCGCAGAGACTTGATATACCAGGTCGATGTACCCACTCTTTGAATTTACCAATCAATTTAGTGAGTGCACGTATGTGAAAGTCAAAATGCTATAGTCATTTTGGGTGCATTCATTTTTCATGAAACAATTGTAAGTAATTTCAATCCCGAAAAACCATAAATTTTCCGTATAAAATAAAAAAAATCAAAATATGTCGACTCCCTGACGTGAAAATTAAATTCTACGTGTGAAAATACTTATGTATCGATATGCTGAACAGAATGCCCGCCTCTCCTCGTAATTTACAAACCGTTCCTATACTCATCTCAAAATTTTTCTCAGAGCTTTGTGTTATTATCAGCTTCCATTTAAACCCCGGTTTGATGGCCGAATCGGCTGCCCAAAAAGCAAGCCATTTTTGAAGGGCTCTATGAGAAATTCGTGATATTATCAGCTCTCAGGAAATCACCCCATGGGTAAAATTGCTGGTATAAATTTTCGAGTGCTTAAAATAATCGTATTCAAGAAACTAAGGCATTAAACTATGGAGTCAATTTCGTTTTAATAATATAACGGGATTTACTTGTCTTCAGGTCAAAACTCATACAAGAAAGCCCCTTGCAAGAGGCTAATTTTTTGTAATTTCACTCAATTTTTTCTCATTTTTATAATTGAATTGCTTGTCACATTCTGAGGTCAATCATATTAAATTGTAATTTATACATTTCTTTTTTTCCCCCTTCATTTTATTTTTTGTTTGGAGAAGTTTTGTTGATTTCTTCGGATTTCGAATACTGTAACTTCTCTTCTATTTGGCCGATTTTTATGAATGAGACCTCTTTTAATTCGTGTTTTAACGGAAAGTAAGGAAAAAATTGCTAAAAACTCGCGAAACAATTTTTTTTTTAAAATTGGACGAATCCTAGCGTGACGGTGAAATGGTTAATGAAGCGTAAGTAATTGGGCGAGGGGCTGAGGATCCCGGCCTCGCTTGGCGACCGTCATTAGCTATTGTTCGTCGAGACGCCGACGCAGTGATCAGGAGCGTGGGGAAGAGAGGGGTAAGTGGATTCCTGTATGAGCCACGTTTAGCTAATGGTCTAATGAGTCTCGAGGCTCATCACAGATTGCACTATCATGAGTGGCGGTAGCCACCACCGGGCAAGTAACCTATCCTCCAACAATTGGCAACACAGCACAGCCCGGTCGAGGCAACGACACCATAGTTACACGAACTTGGCTTATTTGGGTTTTTCAGAGCACGGGTACCAACTTTTGAAAAGTATAACCGAGGTTACAGATCTGTCAAAGCAACGTTTTGAACAAAACGGAGGAGTTAGATTCTCATTCCGAGAGTGCCGACCTGCTCAGCCATCCTCGAATCAATTCGCTTGATTCTGCTTATATATGCATATTTTAAATCAGCGCGTCGCATTCTTAGGCTTTTTTTAAAAAAACCAAGTAACTTAGACTCTTGGTATTCACTGCACATAAACTAGCGACCCCCAGAATGAGAAACAACTTTAAATCATAATTATTGATGGATAAATAAACTTTTTACACGCTTTGGAAAATCTCAGAAGTTCGCGGTAGTCACTTTTCGGTAAGGAACTAAGGGACTCGGTTATTGTATCGAGCAGGGTTCGAAACGATCGCAAAGGCGGTATACTACGTATACGCGCCAAAATTACCTTCTTATGCCTAAAATTTTCAGAAAAAGTGAGATTGATGGACGACTATAATGCAGCTTCAAGCCCTTTATTTGCATAAATATGAGCTTAACTGCTAATGACTTATTTTGTGTTTTATATATTTGTTAAAGTCTCAAAATCTGATATTCCAACCCAACTTGCTCACCTAAACATTTAGCTCCATGGACTTAGGTCTCTTTTCCTGTGGAAGGTCAGATTCTATCAAAGTTGCATTTGTTCTGACTTGTCTTTAGCCTCTATTCACCGCAATAGATGAGTATGAAGATTTAATATACAGCTTAGAGGAGAGAAAGCAGAATTTAAAACAAGATAAAATACTAGAAGCAATCAACAAGAGAAAAGCAGATACTCGTAAGACTCTTGCCAATCTGAAATTGCAGTATGAAGACCTTCTTAAACGGTAATCTTTACTTCCAAGTTAAGAGTCCAGATTTTTTTACTCCAGCAGCGTTCAGCTCACGCAGTCTGCGCTACTCATACATGTATTTTTAAAAAAGGTTGTAAACCTTGAGCTTGAAAGTATTGGAAATTCTGTTTAAGCAGGATTTTCTTGGATAAACGGATGCGATTCATTTAATCGCATCCGTTTATCCGTTACTTCTCATTTAGAAGTCCAATTTTTCAGTGAACTTTTTAGCAAAAAAGCGACATTATTCCTTCTTAATTTTGAGCAAGACCAATCCACACAGGTCAATCATACCCATGAATGAGTTTTGAGACCCTATTGCGCATTGTGACAGGAACTTAAATGCACTGCGTTTTTTATGGGAGAAGCCAATACTACGTCAAACTGGCGGCGGACTCCTAGTTTGAAATTGTGATTTTCTCATTCACAAATGGCCTTTAGATGATTTTTTGAGAGACTGTCGAGTCAAATCTATTTGGTCACTTGATATAGCCAAAAAATTCAAGTCTACTGCCCAAGTAGCAGTGATCGCGATAAATAGCGATTTTATCGGTTGATTATCGCGATTATATCGGTGGCAATTTATCGCAATATTATCGAATGAAAAATTGCGATTTATGGCGATTAAATTGCTATGCATCGCAATTTTTTAGTCGATAAAATCGCGATCAATTTTCGTCGATATAATCGCGATTAAATCTCCATTTATTGCGATTTTTGTTTCGGTAATATCACAATAAATTGCCAGGCAATAAAATCGCGATTATATTGCAACAAGATCGAGGATACTCTTTCAGATGTTGATGATCCTAGCGATTTTATCGCCGATAAAAGCGCAATACATCGCGATTTTTCTGTTGAAAAAAGCTACTTGGGTGATCAGTCAAACCACATCATCTAAAAATTCCTCAAATTTGTGATGGCTGATTTTTTTTTTTCATGAGCAGAACTGATTTTTACCAGGACCTAACCCATTTTCAATCATGGCTTAACTAAGACCCATTTCCAAATTTGTTTTAGGAATTCCAAACTATCTGACTCTCACCAACTTCCACGTCCTGTTCTTGAGTTAGATGAAAGGATCACCAACTATATCCAGTTGAAAATCCAAAATGAAATGAATTTACTGAATGAGAAAATGGCGTATGATATTGAGAGGAGCCAGCTTGGTCTTAAAAAAGTTCGAGATTATTTCATAGATCCAGTTCAGCACTTCCTCATCACCATTTCAGCATTGAGGTCAGAAAATTTAAGAACTCTGCCGTTTTAATTGCGTTAGGGACTACTAAAATTACTGAGACTAAATTCAAAGGAGCCAAAATTTAGAACCTGTAGAAGACTTCACTCGCCTCTTCATTTATTCATTTAAATTTTTCAAGAGCTAAATGACGTAAGGTCAGCAGATACCTAATCCAGTTTTGAAGTTTAAGGCAAAGAGGTTGGCTCACATTCATTTAACATTTATGTTGGAGAGAAAATGTAAAAGTTATTTATCTGAAAAAAGTTTTTATATAAACTCCAGGAACTTACAGTATTGTATTTATTCTTGTTTTTTTTTCAGAATTGACCAAACAATAATGACTTTTTCTCTGAGAAAATTAGGCTCTGATTTTGAGAAACTTTATCAAGAAGTGAAAATACAGCGAGGTGAAGAAATTCACGTTCAAATGTAAGACATTTTTCACTTATCCCTAGAAATGAATAAAATACAGTGGAGTATCTTCGTTTTTTATGTTATCCTTTGTGATCCAGAAATAAATGCACTATCTATTTCACAGAAATCACTATTTTTATTAATTGATAAACTTTCTATCATTGATTAAATTTTTCAATTTTTGCAGGGAGAGAGATTTCAGAATGGACCAGATGATTATGTAAGTATAGAAAATAATATTGTTATGAAAATATCGGTAAGGAAAGAGCTTCAATAGTACTGAAGTCACTCAGTTTTTTTCTAGCCATTGCTAGACTTCATTCACTCAGAATTGTGTTCTATTTTGCTCCATTTTATCTCGAAATTACTTTGTTTGAATGTCCATCCTAAAAGAGCAACATTCGTTGAGAAAAAACCAGAAATGAATTTCAACGAACGAGAATTGAAACTAGTGTCTCGAGTAAATGATCCATCTTATCTTCCTTTCTAATTTTTTGTCATCAATTTTTGTGCAAATGAAATCATATGATTGTATAAACTAATGAAGTCAGTGATACTCTAATCCGCTTTATTTTGTAGATTATAAAGCTTCATGGCAGATCAAAATTTAAAATTCCATAGACGAAAATCGCAATTATGAGGCTGAATCTTTTTATTAATAAAGTTTTCTTCATTTCGCTGCAGGTCCTGCTTTGTCCATACATTTTATTGTATCGTACTTTATACTTACTATCTTTTTTTTCTTATCTATTCTTTTTAATGCAAAAATATAGGCGAAAGCAGGCGTCATTCAAATTTGAGCAGATGGATGTTGATTTGCAGCCAAAATTGGTAGCTGTTGAATCATTTTTGAAAGATGTGGAGCAATTGTTAGTCAAGTTACCTTTGAAAACACGAAGACTACTGGATCGGTATCAACGCAAGAAATCCGAAAGAGAATCACGTGAAAAAAAGGTAAGTTTAAAAATTCTAAATTGATATTATTTTCTGTTAACATTTTAGTGGCCACTCTTGTTCCATGCACTACTGCGAAAGTTTAAATGAAACTCTTACTTTAAAATGTGCTTAGAATCACCCCCTCCGTTCATCAAGTATTTTATAATTTTAGGAGATAACTCGAAACATGAAAATTGTTTGACCATAGAATTACATAAAAGACAGGAATTTTCATGAGGCAAAGGGTAGGACCATTGGCAGAAAAGTTTTTTTCTCTCGACCTTCATTTTTAAAAATCTCTACAATTTCAACGATAAAATATCTTGATGTAACTCAGAGTATATGATCTTTCAAACATAGTTACCATTTTTTTTTATCAATTACTCTATGTAGCGAAACAGTATTTGTTAACTACAACAACTCATTGTGAGTTGCCAGTTGTATTTTCTCCAAAGTTTCTGAGTGGTTGAACGATTTTATATAATTTTAGTGGCACAAGCTGTTACGAGACAAACCAGATGGAAGCTCACTTGATCCGAAGGACGTTGCCTTGTTGGAAGAAGCTGGAAAAAAAATTGGAGACTACAAACTCAAAACTGCCAAAGATTACGAAGTTCCAAGGCAATTTTGCAAGACAGTACTGCAGCAGTTTTTAATGGTGCTTGAATGCAAATTGGAGGTGAGCCTTTGAGAATTTAATGGCACTCGTGTTTTTTCTCTAAGAATTTTGCCTTGGAAGATAATATATTAATGAGAAATTAGAAGCAACATTAGAAAATGCATCCCTTAGCAGCTAATAAACTGCGACGTAAATAGCATGGTTAAGATTAATATACAAATGAATCGGTTTGTTTGAAAACGTTGTACGACCTAATCTAGTTCCTGATGATGAACCTGATCATGATGTTGGTCGCAAAACTTTTTCACAAAATTGCCATCGCAAAATCTTCTTGCAATATTTTGGAACACCGTCGTTGTTTCTAAGTCATCTTATCTTGTGTAATTTTGGTCACAAAATTGGTAAAAAAGAACAAATTAAGACTTTCCTACCGTAACCTGCTTTTTTCTTAATGCCTGCAAGTCATTTTGTGAGCATTTTAATGTGCTCATTGACTTCACTGCATTTTAAACTAATAGAAAATAGCTTTTTTCAGGATATTTATTTTCCTTGTAACATTGATATTTTCTAAAGTAAATTGAAACTTCATACATTGGGTTCTCTTCACTCACAAAATCACCGCTCTGCAAGGCGAGTGTAAGTTTTAAGATCTTTAAAGCTGCTCTAATTTTATTCGAAAGTTCTTTATTCTCAAAAGTAAAAAAAAACTTGTCAATGTTTACACGGTTTATCATTTGTCATCAGATTTTTAGATTGAAAAATGATTTCAACACAAGTGTTTTAGCTCTTAGAAGAGAAAAATTGCAGTGCATCACAGCATTATGGAAGTATCATAAAAAATTGACAAAACTGAATGAAGAGCTACCTCCTGAGTATGAGAAGATTCTATCGCCTGTGCCAGAAATCAATGTTTCTCTGGAATACCCAGACAGAGATTTTCAGGTGAGAGGTGGAAAAAACTTTTAAGTCCTTGAGGTAGAAAATTGATATATTTTACTCTTTAGAACAGGCCATCTGCAGATCGAGAAATGGACCTTTTTACAGGATGCTCCTTAGTGCAAAATGTAATCGGAATGTATTCTCATCGAAATCTCATGTAAGACACGATTTATGCAAAAAAAATGATTAATGTAACTCTCTATCAAGATATTTATGTTTTCCAATGCATACAATCAAACTTTCTGCTAATGAAGAACCCATAATCTACTTAAGTTAAATCGCACACCAAACATTACCAGTATAAAAAGTCTCTGCAAAATAAAATCATGGCAACCTCAATTTTGGGGCTGCGGCTCAGCTGTTTCACGTTGCTAACACTCTGAACATCACAGGATGAAAAGGGAACACTGTTCGATGAAGGAGACTGTTAAAACTGTTGTAGAGCGCAATTTGTTTAATGTAAACTCTGATTTTTAATGTGAAAGGAAAATCCAAATGCTCTGTAACTGGTGCTATTTAAAAACGTTAATATCTTAGTTAAGTGTTACTTTCAGTAATTTTCGTGGCAAAAATTGTGCTCTATGTGAAATTTTGAAAGGAAAAGATACTTATATCAGAATGATTTAATTCCGTACCTTGTCTAATGGTCTTTTGTTCAATTGCCAAAAAATATGAGCGTTTGTTGACACATTGTCTAATTGATCTTTTCTTTCTTAGAATAGATGCTGCTTAGTTTTTGTTAGATGAGGTCAACATCGTCTAATTGGTCTTTTCTGTCTTAGAATAGATACTGCTTAGTTTTTGTTAGATGAGGTCAACATTGTCTAATTGGTCTTTTCTTTCAACATTTATATCAATTTCGGATTCCAAGTTCCATTCGTTAAACCATCCATCAAATAAAATATTGTTGAACAGCCAGTCATCCGCTATGACTAGGGCTTTTATATATTTTATTATTTTTTTAGGAGGATCCCCAGGAACTTTTTTCCCCGGACCCTGAGTCCTATGTTGTGTCCTCTTCGTCTGATGAAGAGTTTGTAGCTGAAGAGTCAATTACCGGTCAAGGGCCTGCTAGCAAGGATAAGACTCCGCTTGTGTGGCAAGATCATATCTCATCTAAATTGCCAAAAAATTATGCAGATGTAATGAATGATGAATTCTATCCAAATTTGGACCCCAAAAATGAAACTTTGGTCAGGTACATATTGCAAGACTTACATAATCGACTTCGTATTTAGCCGTAAAACCAGTATATGATCAGTATTAGTGTGATGAGGCTCAATGTACTTTCTTTCATAAATTAGTTAGAAAGTATGTACCAATCGAGCTCCATAATTACTACTCAGAAATGTGAAGATTAAATAATGCGTTTTTCAAAAACGCTAATAATTTAAAAAAAAATAATTAAAAAAAAAAAAAAAAAAAAAAAAAAAAAAAAAAAAAAAAAAAAAAAAATATGACAACGTATCCTGTTGATGCCAATTAGGTGATAAGTTACACGTGGGAACTTCAATCACTGAATAAAAGATAATCCGATCTTACTTGCTTTTTTTCAATTAGGCTCCTAAAGAAGCAGGCAACTCTTATGAAGAAATCAGAGCAGGTTATCTCAAAATTTGATGGAAAGTTAGAGAGCCTAGCTGAAGAAAGAGTAAAGCTCTCCGTGGACATCATTTTCAAGGAGCTTTACCTACTCACCTTGAATCAAGAATTAATCATCATCAAGAAATACGAAAACCGAGAAAATGAAGGTCTTGCAGATGTCGTGCGCAAGTTAGAAGAAAAAAGCAAGGAACAAGATCTTGTAAGAACTCAGTATGATACGATTTGTTGCAAACAAAAGCTATGAAAGGATTAAATGGGCGGATAAGTGGAATCAGCCGAACTGTATTTCACGTCACCTAATTTTCTTTTGTGTTTATTTTTTCAACAGAAAATTAAACCACTTAACACTTCTAAGCCTCCTGCAAATGAGCCAGTTGCGCCGGTCACAGAATCAAGTTTTGATGCTTGAGTCTTATGGATTAGCTAAAAATAATAAGATCTGTCTAAACAGCAATTTTCTACATTTAATATTAGCCGAGATATTGCCCTTTGAAAAGTCGGGTTTTTAACATCATCCTCCGTGGTAATGACACCCTTAGTGTCTTTCATCTTGCTTTCATCCGAGTTTCACATTGAACAACCAGTGCAAAAGTGCGTCACACTGACTGATGAAAGCAAGATGGAAGAAACCAAGGGTGTCACTACCGCGGTGGATGACGTCAAAACCTCGACTTTTCAAAGGGCGATAGCTCCGTTAATATTGAACACAGAAAGTTGCTGTTTGGATGGATCTTATTATTTTTAGCTCATCTACAAGAATCAAGCATCAAAACATGATTATGGGATCAGCACAACTGACCCATTTACCCCAGATTATGAAAAAATTCACTCACAAAATTTCAAGTTTCACAGTGGCTCAGTTTTATGGTCAAAAAGTGAAACATCAAGAAAATTTGGCAACGTCTGATGTCGTCAGGCTAATTCCAGTTGAAGCCTTTGAAATTTACCTAATTTACCTTTGTCAAGCGCACCTTGCTTCTCTAGTCCTGTTCTTCCGACAATAATTTTTGCAAAAACTATTCACAAAAATTTTGTTCACATCGGTAAACACTCCTTTTTTCTCTCTAGCCTTAAAGCACTTTTAAAGAGCTTATTTGCATGTTTTATAAGTGTTCTGTTCATTGTGATCCCTGTATTTCGCCTCAATCATTTTATTCCTGAATTCATTACCCATTCATTATTTTACTTTGTTTATCCAGTTCTTTGTTCACCATCTTTGTTTCAAAAGTGAATAAAATAAAAATAATAAAATAATGACTCGCATGTTGATTCACAGATAGAAGAACTTTGTCTGCGGATTGAGGATAAACTCCAAGAACTCAAGTCAATGCAAGATGATGGTCTGAGAATGACGAAAACTTTCTATGAAACCATTGAAGACGCCAAACACGCCAAGTATCTTAAGAGAATTTTCTCCAAAAAACATGCCTCCAGAAAAGCATCTAGCGAAGGAGGTGTGCTCTTTATGCAATGAGTAATGCTGTCAAATTCAAATTTTGTCTTGTATTATACATGTCTCGTAAAATTTGACTGTTCAAAAATTTATACAGTCCAATCGTAATTTGATCATTTTAAAGACCCAAGTAACAGATGAAACCACTATCATTTTGAGTGAAAAATTGAAGACAGATTCCTTTTCCGAGCATTACCTCGCTACCGACTTCGGGAGTTTTGCTTGAAAAAGACAGTTTAAATAGATTAGATTGAAAAAACTTTTTTAGTGATCTCAATTTTATTTTGAAAAACTTTTGGAGGGAGGGCAGCTGATTAAATTTAAAAATTTGCTGCAAAAAGGCTCTATGTTAGTGCTTGCTTTCCTTAGATTTTCTGTAAGTTTCCTTACAATAGTAACCTAATAGGAATAATATGTTTCAGGAATTCTAAGGGATAGTCTACTTTCATCTTCATCTGGGAGTTCAGAATCTGAGTTAGAATTTGATTTCCCAGCTTCATCGAGTAGAAGCCTCAGCTGCTACAGCACGGGTAAAAACTGTCCTGCAAGCTGCGAGTTGGAACTGTACCAACTAGCCCATTCCTCTCATTTAAAACGGTAATTACTCAATTTATTGTCAACAGCAGCTAGACTTTAATAAAAATATGACAAAATGGCAATGCCCAATTTACCCTGTGAATCAGCTTGATTGATGAATAAAGGTCAAATAAGTAGGTAAGCTACATCAAAAAGTATAAATCATAAGTTCGATTTTCACTGTCATTCATAAGAAATGCAATTTTTCTGAGGTATCAGCCATGGATTTTTATGTATGGATTTTCCCATACGAGAGAGTAACTCATTGGAGGAGAGCAGGGTGAAGTTAAAGAATACTAAATAATAGAAATAATAAAGAATACTAAATAATAGGTGAGTGTGACTCATTGCTACTGTACAGACTATTTACTAATCTTGTGTTGTACGAGGAATTGTGAAACAACAAAAATGATGTGCTCTGTGAATTTCAGACGTGAAATTAAACATTCCATGAAGAAGAAAAAAGAAGAAATTGATTCAATGAAGATAAAATTAGAAAGCCTTGAGAACAAAGTGCGCCTTATTGAAAATGAATTACAGCTTAATGAAAATAAATTGAAAGATGTTCGGGTAAGTTCCTTGCGCAATTTGTATGAGATGCAGAGGCATTTTAATCACCTAAGGAAATATCTGCATTGATTGCAGTACACTGCGAAGATAAAAAGTGAAGAGAAATGTCAATTCCTAAAAACCCAAGTTTAATGAGTTTGCAAGTCCTTCCAGCAATCAATAAAAATTTAGAAAAATCGCAGACTTCACAGAGTTATAAATAAAAAATAATATCCTCAAGTAATGATCTACTAGTACCTAATTTAGTCAGAATAGCAAGGAACATTTTGAAGAGGAACAAGAGGATTCAATCCCAGAGTTTATTTCTGTCTAGACTTTTTTTTGGCAGAACTTTTCGTTTGAAAATCCATCCCCTTTTTCTGAAAATCTGAAGTTTTTTAATGACATCTAAGCTTCTGCTTCATGGATATTTATCCTGACTTCGTAAAATTATTAAATTTGCCTTTGAATATTTGTTTTTCTTCTTTTTTCCCCATTCTTAGCGAGAGAAGCAAAAAGAGTTAAATCAAGTTGAAACAGTAGTGGTTCTAAATTTAGATCAACTGTGTCACTTTCGATCTTCAGCTGAGTTGGAGGATCTTGCGAACACTGTATTGTTTCCACGGACCGAGTGGGAAAGGTTGCATTCAAGATTGAACGAACTGAAAGACGAGACTGAAAACATCAATGTGGAGGGAAGGTGAGCCTAAGCGTCCAGCACTTTTTTTCTTTTCCTTGCATCTTCCTAAAATTTTTGCAGCTGTATGGAGTCGGTAACAAGTCCGTCAGAATAATTTGTAAAAAATAAATGGATTGGTATTGGTCTGGTATTGAATTTGAGGGTCTGTATTACTATCTTTGTATTTATATAATGAAACTTCCTCTGGTTATTGCTTCTATACACTTGAAGATATGATAGAGGTTGTCTAATTACGAAAATGTACCTCTTAATTTTTCAACTTAAAAGCAAAAATATTTCAGGAGAAAGCAAACACATCTGCACAGACTGAACCTAGATTGCAAGAAAATGAAGGAAGAAATTGCTGAACTAACCGCAAAAATTTCCGAGACGATCATAACCAAGTTTGGACAGGCAGTAGACGTGGACTCTTTAGAAGAGATAGTTCTGCGAAGGCTTTTGGGTGAAATTAGATCCACTCTACCAGAGGTGGAAGAGGAGATGTGGAAAGAAAAAGAACTGAAATTGGTAAGACGCAAACATTCTCTTGAAGTTTTAGTGGCCAGATTTCATGACATTCCAAGCCCTCTCACTTTAGATTATGAGAGAATGCTCTCTAAATTCAAGTAATTGGTTGTTCGCTCAGAACAATCATAGATAACTACATGATATTTTTCACCATAATCTTGCTGTTGACGAGGTGGCCACAGTAGGTTTGAATTAGAATTATCTAAACTTTTTAAATTGTGCAAGCGATGATGAATTTAAGTTTTTCATTGATACAATATGCCGAGAAACACTTTTAAAGAGTAGCTTTTAACCAATTGTAAGAAAAGCCTCTCATCATGGGCATGGGAAAGTACTTTTAAATTCTTAACCCTCTTTGTATGACTAGGATAATCTAAGAAGGAAGGAGGAGTTGTTGACGGCTTTGACCAAGAAAAACACGGAGAAAGCGGAACTACTTACTACTCTAGAGGAGGAATATGGAAAACTGAAACATACGATTGATAAACAAGAATACTTGAAGGTAAGATAATCCTCACGGCGCTCTTTGTGCAACTGATCATTCCCGTAAATTTGATCTATTAAGAGGAGCAACAACTGGACAGATGGTTTGAACTTGGGGCAGTGGGTGCAAGAGGGGTACTCACACGAGTATCTGCTAATATTTCATTCATTTTAAGGCAAGTGAGTGCACAAGTTTAATTGGAATTTTTAGTGGATATATTTTTCACGGTTCATTAATGTTTTATGGACAAAATTCTGAGAAAATCACTTATTAGATACTTCTTTAAGACATAAATTAGTGACGGAGATCTTGAAACACCGTAACTGAGAAGTACCCATCTTTCACCTAGCGCCTCAACTCTAATACCATTCCAAATATAATAGATCTTGCTCATTCTGAACAGCTGAGAGATTATTCACTTAGACAATTGGATGTCCTCTAGCAAATACGATCCATCTATATTTTTATGCAATTCAAAGATTGGAAGAGAATGTGATGAGATGAGTTTTGCTACAGGACCTCTTATTAAACTTACAATTACACTCTGTTCACGAATTCGTTAGTTTCATGATGCGAAAAACGCTTTAGAGCTCATCATATATAGTGGAAAAATTAAACTCTGCAAGACCTTTATCAAAATGGTCAAAACTAACTAACATTCAGAAGAAATTAGTCAGAGCTAATTTGACAAATTTAACTAAAACAATCTAACTACATTTCAGATTTCTTTAAAAATCAAGGCAGAATTAAATCTCTTGAAGTTTCACTTAGAGCCATAATGATAATCAAAATTAGAGAAGCAATCATAGTAATAAAACGACTAAGTTAAGATGACTGAAAGTTACTCGGCTCAAAATTGTCATCTTAACTGGAAAGGAAACTTCAAACTGAGGGGTGTGCGAAGTGAGCAGAATGAGCAAAAATGGATTTTTTCCAAGCAGCTATCACATGAATAGTCCAAGTGTACGCATGCGCACACTGTCAATGTCAGATTGTGCAGTCGGGACTGCTTGTGTAATAGCAGCTTAAGAGGTGTCACTTATTAAAATACAAATGTAACATTTCCATCAAAAATGTTGATGTATCACTTTTTATTTGTTTTATTTCATATCAATATGACCAAAACGTTTTCCTCATTCATTTTTTCTAGAACACCAAGAGTGTGAAAATTGGAGACGAGTGGCGAGATGACATCAATAAACTGATGAAAATAAGAAACCATTTAAATCTAAAGCAAGAAATTCTCCAAAACGAGATCAGGAGCTTGAGTTTCAAGGGTCGACCACTTCCTCCAATCGTTAGTCCTCCTCCACCTAAAATCGAAGATTCGGACGATGGTCTGTCCAAGGCGATTCCTAGCTCTCTTCCCTGCATTGATAGAACACTGAAGAAACAATCCAAAAAAGTCTTACTGCCGACAAATATGGAGGACAATCTTCAGGAGTGGCTCCTTGACAAAATCGAAGCGATAATCGCACTTTTGGACTCGCCCTCCTCTTTCAAGGACCTGGTCATCAAGCAGCTTATTGATGATTTGGCCAGTGCGATTGAAAGTAGCAGTGTAAAAGAGGACTTCGTTTTGCTGTCGAAAGAAACACTAGAAACAATTCTGGAGATGATTCAGGTGGAGATTGCCCCTCAGACGCCTTCTAGAGCATCAATGGAGAAGCTCATCAAAGAGACCCTTCAATCGCTGTATAGGTCAAAAATTGCCGTTGTCAAAAAAGTGCCTCTGGGATCTGAGGAGCTGAAATACGAAGAAGAGCTGGACAGAACATCTGCAGCAATTGTGGAGTCCACACTTAAAAGCGTCTTGGAACGCATGAGGAGAAACTCAGCTCCTCCAAGCCTTGATTCAACAAGTTGAGTGGAAAGTTGTTGCCAAAAGTGCTCAGTTAGATGAGCTGCTTATTGAGCTCTTAACGCTCCTTCATCAAATGACTTTCATTGATGACTTCTAGGTTAAAAAAGCTGGTAATAACCAAATACCGATCCCTTCTCCAAAAAGAAAAAAAGAATCAAGAGACAGAAATAACTTGTGAAAAGATGATGAATTCAATGAGTCAAATTAAATTCTTTTTAAAAGTTTTATATTATTTTTTTAACGCCTTTCTTAATATGATACAATTACTGTACAATTTTACAATCTTTTAGATAATAATCTAAATAATGACTATTCACAAAACAAAAAATATAAGGTACCAGTTGAAATAAAGCCAGAGCTTTGGAGGATATTTGCGTTGAGGAGAACTATTCCTACTTCCTTTCTAGTCCAAGAAGAATTGCTCCGCTTCAATTTCTTATTGAAACAGAGCAAAGCATGCACCTACATTTTCCTCTTGGGAGATGAAGACAAAATACTTAAGCCATATATTTATTCCAAATACCACATTCATATATGAAGGGTATAGTATTTTCTCAGAACTTTCAATTGAGGCTATTCGTTTTGTAAGATACTTAAACAAAGAGGAAAATCAACAGTAGGTTGATCTAAAAGACAGTGAGAACTCTTGGGTTAAATTTTGAACACCAAAAGCAAAAAGCAAATAAATATAAGCAGCATCCCCATTTGCAAACTAGACTTCATCAAATTATTGTATTTCAGTTACATTAACTCTTTTAAATAAAATATAAAATGGAGAAACTGATCAGTAATCATTTCAATCACACTAATCACTAGAGAGAATAGATAACTACCCCTAATAATAATCTTCCCTCTACTCCTTTGATAGCACAAATGATTCTTATGGATAAGACTTAACAAATGCGACTTCAACAGAAAGAAATTTTGTTCCATAACTAAGCTTCTATCAGTACTGATATACGAACACTGGTTTGCAAAAATCGTTGGGAATTAAAATTTCATTTTTTTGGTCTTACGTAAACGGGCAGAGCGATAAAAGGCGTGGAATAGTAGCACACCACACTTATCTTGACCCAATAAAATTTCGGAGAACCGCACAAGAAACAGATCATAAAAACACTTAAAGTCATTTGCGCCTACAATTTTATGTGCCAGTGACTTCAAGTGTTTTTATCATTTTCTGTGATCCATCATGGAACCTTTGCCTTTGGTATCAAATCATATTGTTAATGAGATGGAATGTGAAGATCGCGTTTGGATTACTGGAGTTCAGTAACAGGGTAACAAATGGTTACGAATCAAGATTTGCTTGAAAAGTAAATGTCATCTGAAGAATCATCAACAGATGCATAGTCTAAAATATTACCGGTGAGACCTCATCAGGTAAATACTGCTTGTAAATAAAAATGACATGTTAAGAAGCAGTCAAGGATAGCTACTTAAGATTTCAGATTAAAACCAAATAAAAGACTTTTTTGTAATTTTCTAGTTAAGTCGGGTCTAAGAATGATGCTAACTGTGCAAAGGCTGCATGGAATTTAAAAGCCACCTCTGAATTTTTTGCATTGCAAAAGTGAAATGAATGATTATGCCTTGGACTGATATTTTGAAAATAAGCGGAAAGATGCTCGTAATTTTCATTTGCTGATTCTATCGGATACGTTAACTTCAATAGTAAGTGAGCACCCCGAAAAAGTGACCTAATATTCAGTTCATTTAGAATACTGACATACTCATTTAAAAAGTACTCTTTCTAACAGTTAATGCTAAAAAAAAAAAAAAAAAAAAAAAAATTATAAAACTGTGAGAGAGAAAAAATTAAAACTATTAAAAACGAAAAAATAATGAGTTATTACATTTACTGTCAAATTAGTTTGGTGTGTATTTTATTCTCCCAGGCCACAGAATTTTGAAAAAAAAAATGTGTCACGGTAAAATTGTGTTGTGCCGAAACCATTAAAGTCCACTTTTCCATCTTTCAGTTTTTTGTGTTCAGAATCTTTCTCAAAAGCCAATGCAATTGTGAAAGTGGTGTAAGGACTTGCTTTGGAATTAAGGTAACCTTAAATTGAGTCTTTACACCGCCTCTATGGGTTTAATTGACTTAAAAAAACTATTTTCAACATTTCAACCCAAAAAAAAACTCAAGAGCTGAGATATGGACATTGGTGGTTTTTGCAGGACGCGATTCAAATGAAAATACAGTCTGATTGTGACAGAATAGAGAACCAGTACTATTGCTACTGACGGACATGTTATGGCACTAATAGAGCTAAAATTTCAGGGGATAGTGCTTTTTGCATAGCTTTACTAATGAAGAAAATAAGTCAAGTGAGTGTCATTTGATCAGCTATCATTCATCAAATATGAGCTTGTCAAAAGGACTGGCATGGTGGATAATTTGTTGAAGAACCAATAAATTACCGATAAAAATGACATTCTCTAAAAAAATGAAAAGTGCAGAAGCACCAGGTGCGTTTTCCGATTCTTTAACTTAGATAAAGCATCTGACTTCCAACAGTTTACCTTTAAAGCTTCTGATAAATCCTGGCTCTTGGAAGATATTTTGCCTCCGCCTCAAGCAAGAGTCGACAGACAGGAGATCATTGGATTACTTGAGCACTAATCTTGCTGGTTTATTTTTTGAAACTTTTCAGTATTGGATAAATGTTATCAAAAGCCTCATAGATTTCTTGTCTAACTTTGGCACCTGTGAACAAAAGAAAAGATGCTATCAACCCTTTAACATGAGTTTTTTTTTTTTTTTTTTTTTTTTTTTTTTTTGTCATCTGCGCCGAGCTTTTTGATTTAATTTGGCTAAAATTAGAAATTTTGGATATTTGTGGATAGTCTTCAGGCTCATCGAATGATACTGAAAATTGAGATATTGAGCATGCACACCACATCCTGTCAGAAAACAACAAGCGAACTGCTACCTAAAACTTTTAAATCATCTATTTGTGACTATCAAAATCACAAAAAAAATGAGGTTGGGTGAAGTTTCAATGTATACATGAAAACAAAATTATAATAGGAAAGAAAAAATAATGTTGAATTGGCATTGCTTTGATTTCAAGAACAAGCATATTATTCAATCTATTGGAAAGACAGAAAAATAATGCAATAAAAAGTTTTTTAAGTCGTCAATGAGTGACGCTCATCATCGCATTTGTTGCCCTGCAGAGCAATGACCAGTGGCACTCATCTAATCAAGTTAGTGCGTTAAATTCATAAATTTTGTTGGATAAATTATGTACTTAGAAAAAATTCAAATTATTTGCATTTTTCTTTGGGATTTATAACTTTCCGAATGTACATTGCACTCTAGTATCTTTCCATAGGTACAATGGCTTTGTTGCACGCAAGTGGTACGTCAATTAAATATACTACTTACAGGTTAAATCACACAAAAATCATGTTGGACACATCAAAAAAGTCTGTAATCCATTTCTCAGCGCACAATCTGCTAACTCTAGTTTGTAACAAGCTTTCTAAAATTTCCTGCATCTCCTGGTAGTTTTTCTCAGTCACCGCCAACCAGGTAGGCACAGGCAGAGAAGCAAGAAAAACTGACCTGAGTAAACAAACGATTTCATTAACTTTTCCTAACGTATGATTCCGATCTTTTGCTTCCTTTGTCTTTCTATATTCTGCAAAAACAAAAGCTTTGAACCAATCAAAATCTAACACGAAAAGAATTTATAACAGTTTGCGAGATTGTTTGTTTAATTAGGTGAGGTTTCTCTCCAGTCAAACATGACTGCTGACCACCAAAAAAAAACTGCTCGCATACGCGATAAATTTGAAAAAGAGTGTTACAAACTACGCAGATTATGCACTAAGAATTGAAGTTCAGACTTTTTTGATGTGCCCAACATGATTGTCAAGTGAATTTACTCTTAAAAAGCTTACACAGTTGGCTGGATCTCTTGCGTACAACAGACCCATTTCAGCCAAGAAAAGGATTACCAGCAAGAGCACTTTCATGCACGACTTTGCATTGTAACACAAAAGTATTCATTTAAAATGCACTTCTTCCTTGTGCACGATTGCAGTTTTAGAGGGGAAAAAATCTTACCTGTCAGCACAACCTTGCCCGAGACAAAGATCAGAAGGACAATTCTCGGTTTAACCATCCTATAAATTAAGCCAGGAAACAACTCTGGTTCGTAGCTGGAAGTAAATTGAAAACACATTAGTTTTAATTCATACATGCATTAACTAAAAAAGAAATAAAGAGACCAATTTATTATTTTGCAGATAATTTAGACTTATTGACACCATACTGATTATATTTTCTTTCGATTGTTCACATTTGTTGACACATTCTGTTGTTGAGCAAAAGAACTACTTATCATTTATGTGGTACAAATTTATTGAGGCTCTGCTTGCTTATTTATCACCATCAATGATATTGAGTTTGTTACTTAAAAATACCCCCCCCCCCTCGTAAGAGTTGACACGCAGCACAAGTATCTTTGCAGGGAATAACTAGGAACATTAAGTTGGCGCTTTAATTACCAAATTACATAGCGGATATCATATTGCATGAAAGAAACGTTATTGAAGCAGCTTGTCCACTTTTGTTGGGTCAGATTCGGTTGGTTGAATTGGTAGTACCTCATCCATGATTGAAGAGCAAATGGATAGAGACACATTAGGTAGCATATTTCTGTATGAGAATTTTAATTTTTATCTGTGAAATTGTATTTTGAAGCTGAAATTATCTCATGAGATCCTACGTTCCAGTTTTAAAGAGGTGAGAAATGTCATATTTTTACCTAGGATTTGGTTGAAAAAAAAAAATTATGAATTATTTCTTATTTATAAAACTATGATTCCCTCACACTATACTTACATTTCAAATAGGACCAAGATAAAGTAAATAGGTGAATTAGACATTATTTTAAACAGTGATTTGAAAATTTGTCTAGAATCTGTAGCACTGAGGGCAGTTATGTAACAAATGCAAGTGCACTGGGCATGCGAGGTGTCAATGGAGAATTACGTCAACATCTCAGACTTTCTTCAATTAAACTACAATCAAAAGATTACTTGGGGTAACTCCTTAGGCTATCTTGAGAGAGGCGCAAAAATAAACTGAAGCAATTCTGAAAAATGCAATGGAGATCAAGTATCACATAGCTAGTCAAACTCACCTACTAAACTGCCCATGCGTTAAAACTAAACCTTCCAGCCTTATGGGGAATTTAACATCACAGCTACCAACCATATTCTGGATTTTAAAATCTAAAAATTTTGCCTAGAAAAAAGAAGAAAAAAAAACACAGATTAAAAACTAAGATTATCAAAGTTTGCAGAATGTGTATGAACATTTAAATGTTAAGTTAACTTCTGCTGGCTACAGTATAACTCTAGGGATGATTTGCAATATCAGTTAAACTTCCTTTTACTGAGTGAATATGAAATTTTATTGCCTCATAGAATAATTCTAGCACTTAAAATAGCGATATTGCAGACACAATTTCACTTACTCAAGATTTTTCTGGCATTAAAAATGGTATTCTGCCTCTCAACCCAAACTTAGGATCTACCATTTATTAGGAAGCTCAGTAATGAGAGCCAAATGGATTTTTTAGGTCAGTTTGCCAGCTTGTCCTTCAAAATTTTAAGCCTGATACATCTTTGGCACAGCTATGCAACAAAAAACAAAAATGCTCTAATTCCATACTATATTTTGATTTCTTTTAAACACTAAATGTTTGGTCCATAATGAGAATGTTTGGTTACATTTGTTCTTCAAAATGCTCAGGATGAAACTGCAATGGTATGAATTATTAGCATTCAAAAAATATAAAGTATGAATGCAAGTTTGCCTGAATTGGTGCTCTTTTGCCGAAAAAACTGAAAAACCCAGTATACCTTTTTGTTTCTCACCACAGAGCAGACAGCTATCTACTTTGTACCTGTTGTTTTGTAAATTCCTTGATTACTTATCTATTACTCTAGAATAAGAATAAAAAATTGACACCTCTCTGAATCATGACTTACTTGGAATCCTAATTTTTGGATGATACGAGCATATTTCCTTGCTGCAAGTCTTGAATCTTCCTCACTTTTTGCTCCAGTGCAGACCATTTTGCCCGAACTGAAAATTAAAGCAGTGGTCCGTGGCTCTCTTATTCTCATGATAACAGCAGCGAAACGCTTCGGATTGAACTCAGCATTACGTGCATGTAAAGCTATACGTTTTAGGTCTAATTTACAGCCTAAGTTTACAGTTGATACAATATTCCTGTGAATGAGGAGGAAAAAAAACAATTAAAGACACCATTTCTAAGACAGAGGGAAGAGAGTTTGTAATAAATTATGCCTATTTCCATGTTGACATGACTGCTATTCTTGAAAAAGCTGGAGCTTTTTACACGTTACTTTGGCATGAACGTCAGCTCCTCGCTCCCGTACCATGTAGGTATGTTAATGAGATGTTGAATGTCATGCGCCACAGAAAGAGACAGTTCCTTTGCAATGGACAAGGTTTATCTAGTCCAGCGCTAATAAAACAGGGAAAAGAACTGAATGGTTTTACTGAAATTCTCATGTAAAACGCATTGTAATAAATTGCAGTTACATGGTAAAATGATTTTTACCGCATCGTTAAGTTGTGTATATTGCCTATCTTCTACTTGAAGAGGCTCCTTATATTTCAGTTAAGCTTACGATGAAATTGAAATCAGTTGCGATATGTTTTAGTCTTACAAACAGCATATCTTTGTAATGGATGGAACTCATCTGACTGATTGTTTAAAATCAGCATTATTGACCAGATCATGTAAAAATATTGCAATTAAATTGCAACTTCATTTCCAAATTTTTTTCTCATTGTGCTGCTTAGGCTTATGATCTATCGTAACATTCTAACAATCATTAGAGTTTCAGTTTTTAAAAAAACTATGAATTTTATATTCAATTATTATTATAATTATTATTTTTTGTTGACCTCCTATGGTGTAGTGGTTGTATCGCTAGCTCTATGATCGGGAGGTCCCGTGTTCAATTCTCGGCCAGGCGACCCGAGTTAGATGGTCTCAAACAATGGTGGCCTGGGACTGGTTGTAGGGACGGAGGGGGGACGGGACTAAAGCGCGGGATTAGCCCTTGTGGGCTAAGAATTTGAAGTAATAAAAAAAATTAAAAAAAAAAAAAAATTAGTCATTGCTCTTATTAAATTCATTGAAAACTTAAAATGGGTTACTTGCACGAGTCACAGAATCATGTTTAGTGGTTTACGCTCATAAATTAGGGCTTATAAATTCAGGGGTAGAAAAGGGGTAAGAAAGGGCTGAAGCAACTTACTGAAGTTGGGGTAATGTGCCAGGGTCAGCAGATGCGGGAGTCATGGGTGTCATGGGTTGCGCAGGTGTTGCAGGGCCCATACTTTGATTACTGTTTACCATCTGGTGCTAGAAACATAGACAAGTTAAGGTGAATAGTAAGTTACTGATATTACAAATACAAGATACTGCAGATGACTTCATCTGATCTGAGATAAGTAGAAATCGAAGATGAATTTCTTTACCTGTTATTTTACCAGAGATAGAAATTAAGAGTTCATCTTATCTTTCAGAAGAAAAATTTGAGAGACTTTATCGAGATCAGTAAAACACTCGCACACATAATCAATAACAATAACTGTTTGATATTAATCAGGGTTTCGTTGAATGCAGATTCTGCTCTGTATTGGATTGATTGAGCAAAAAAAATTCCAGAAACAATGAATTTAGAATCTGAAAAAGTCTATGGAATAGAATTTACTCCCTCATAAAGAGAACATGGAAATATTATAGATCAAGGGACTGATAAGGCAGCCCGTTCTGTTCCTGATAAGTACAGCCATAGAATAGCCATCATTCTGGAATTATTCGTTGATGCGATTCTCTAGCAATTTGAATACTGCTCCGGAAAAACTAACAGTGGTAATTTTGAATCCATGATATCGTAAAAACTGATAAAAAAAATGTACGTACAGGTGTTTGAGGCTGCATTAAGCTTTGAGGTGTTGTGAATCCCGAAGGCATGAACGTAGGTGTTTTATTCGGCTGCATTATAGACTGGTTGGACAGCGGTACGAGGGATGGCATTTGAATTGGTTGCTGATGCTGCTGCTGCTGTTGTGCATGAGGAAGGATTTGCTGATCTTCTTCGGGCTGATGGAGTGGAGTACCGATACTGGGTATGCTGAACCCGGGACTCGGTAACATTTGATCCATGTTGGAATTAATGTGTATTTAGAGCTTGTTGGAGTGTGGAAAAAAAGTTTAAAAGGGATAAAACAAACCGTGAAGGTACGAGTCTAAGTATTCACATATTTACTGTGTTCAAATTCGTGGCGATTTCACGGAAAACACACGACGCGGCGATACAGGCGAGTGTTTTTCACTGAAAAGAGAACTTGAGGACGTTGTGACACCTGACACGAAACACTGATATTAAAAGTGGAAATATTTTAAAAATGTAAGGGTGGGAAAAATTCAAGATTTCGTATTAGATATAGTTAATTGAAAAATTAAAAACGCAAGGGGTGCCAATGCTAGAGATATCATGGAATCCATAACCTCAAAATAATTGTTGTTGTTGACGTTCGTAATAAACCGTCTTTTTGCACTTCTAGAACACTGTTACCAAATTGAAAATTCATTCGCATTAAAAGCCATGTCGGCCCTATGTCGGCCTTACTGAAATTTCGAAAGTTTCACGATTGAATTGTAAATCAGTAGAAATTTTCTTTAATCATTTTTCGCGGGTAGAAAAAATTAATTTTTAGAGCTTTCAAAATAATTACTTGGTGTAGTCATTCAACAGTCTTCAATTTGGCAACACAGCGATAGAAATAGTGAAGAAAGTTTTCTTGTCAATGTGATGTGTAAAACAAATTGTATTTCTTGTGAAATGCAGGCGTTTTTTTGCTCATTCTCCTCTCCGTAACATATTCATCTATGCCATAACTTTATGATTCTTCTGAACTATTCAAATTGCACTTTACTGAGAGGACAGCGTTAATAAAGGGGCAATTTTGCTGGTAGCATTTTGCTCTGCAAATAATTCTGTACTTATCAATTGGAGCAAAGAACACTGATGGCTAAAGTTGAAAAATGTGTTGCGACGAGCTTTAAGTCCACCCTCATATGTATTCACTATTTAAAGGATAAAATTGAATTTTCTGCATTCATTTTAGAAAATTCATATAAATAAATTGCAAAGCAACATTTTGATAAGTTTTTCTTGAAGAAAATGAAACAAGATCAGAGATTTTCAAATCATGTAATTGAGGTACCTATTGACATTCCATCAAAAGCTCTGAACATCCAACAATTAAAAAAATTAACCCTTTGCAAAAATGTCAAAGTTTGAGAGTAATAAATCAGGGATTTAAGTAAAACTTGGTTCAAGTTTGCTGGCTCTGTTGACAATTAATTTCGAAATGATTCATTTTGAACATTAATGACATTCCGATTGTTAAAAATTATGGCTCGAAATTTTATTCCAAAATTCTTGTAAGTATTCAAATGAGTTCAGCGCTAAAAACTGAAAATTGACAATTTTGATCCAAAATCTGTTTTCCTGCTGTACTGGACAATTTGAATTTTCGCCCTCAACCCATGTTATGCCTGGCTTCATCACATTTGAAACTTGAGTATTCTATGCAGGATGATGAAAAATCAGTAAAAATTCTAAGAGATAATAATGTTCATCTGTTTCCCTATTATATAATGTTAAAAGCTACTAGAAACCTGCAACCTACTGGAGAAGAATTTTAGTGTTTTTTGATCCACCGCATCAACACAGGTTCTGATTCACAATCAAATCAAAAATAGACTGAGGGGTCATAAATGTCATTTCTACCTCTCCCTTGCCTAATATACGATTTCTGATCATTCATACATCTTCAGTTAGTTCCTAAGTTGGAAGGGTTATCATTATTGATGCATGCAATTCATGACTGTCTATTGGAACACAGATTTTAGTCCACGGAAGCAATTAAAGGGCCCTGCCCAGGAAACCAAAGGATTTGCACCAGCTAAATTTCATTATATTTGACACAAAGTTCTTTCCACCTTCTTCCATGGCACCACAATCCTTCTTCCCATAGACAATTACATGTATGTGCTTTTAAAGTTAAATAAGATAATAAATGTGAAGAGATTTAAGAAGTTTTGAATATTTATTAACATCAGAGTGCTGCGTTTTCTCTCCAAAATATATACACTTAATTTAAGAAATACTAAGGTATTAAAAAGATATTTAGACAAGCAATTTATCCTTTAAATCAAAATAACACAAGCTTTATCACAGATCTTGGCTACACTTAAAAAAAAAAGACTTAATTTAAATTTAAGAGATACAAGGCACATCTAACATAAAACAGAGTGGATGCTGAAGTCTCAGATAATAAATTATTAAATTAAAATAGATGTTCTTGTATAAGTTTCAATTATAAATCAAAATTAGAGGCTAATTTTTGAAGTCTCTATTGTTTCTTTACTGAGTCAGTAAATTATCATCAGCGTTTGAAAAATCCTTTCTGATAAGAAATTTTCATACTTGATCAGATGCAACAAGTTTCAATACAATCCGAGTACCAACTGATACAAAAATATTGAACTTTTTCAAGGAAATTTACATGCTAAGATGAAACGGCAAACGGTAAAATTTAAAGAATTCTGATCTCCATATCTTTTAAGCTGCGTTTCTTGATTTTTATTCTTGAAGGGAAAGCTAATACTATTAAGTGTTATTTCTTGAACTTTGTGATTTTTCTTTTTGTATTTGCCTCTTTGTGCTCTTCTCCACAAGGTTGAGAAAAGGGAATTGAGATGAAACAAAATTCGGTGGGCAACGACAAAAGTTGAATTAGAGTGAAAAACGAAAGAATTATACACATTAGAGTACCATTGTGCTCATGGCTGCCACTACTGAAGAATCTGGATGGGTAGAATCGATAAACACCAAACAATTTCTATTGGATAAAAACGAAGGATAGCATTTGAATTTAAATGGTAAAATACATGCATCCTATTGACATATGATAGATCTGTGATTTTTAGAAAATTCTACTTGGATTATAGTTTGTTTTAAACTAACATGAGACGAGAAAACCTAATTACAATTTTGGGAAAGAGATAAAAGGGAGCTCTTAATATCTATTTCTTAATGAGATAACAGGATTAGCTTACACAGTAACAAATAAAATCCGTTATCAGTACTGCAGGCAAACAAATAATGTGCCCAAGAAAATCGGATTTTGTGAAATATTTATATATACATAAAAATAACAAGATGTGGTCGAAACAAAAACCCAGTTCCTTGCTATGGAATAGGAGTCGCTTTAACTCAAGAAGAAATCTTGTGACCAGCAGCCTCTCGCTACTGGCACACTACGAGAATCACGGAGTGGAACTTTGAGGGCGATCATAGACGGCTGCCACGAGTGAGGTTGGATGAGGCAATGTGGATTCTGCAAACCGGTCAAAACGATCAAATCCACGCTGACCCCTGAGTTCTTCTGCAATAACCCGGTGAATTTTAGAGCGGACACTCAGCTTAGCTAGCGGTGACAACTGTTTCAAAAATGGCACCAAGGACTTGACAAAATGCATATCATCATCAAGGTCCATCATCTCTTTAGCAGTCCTTAAAAATTCTAACTTTTCTTGCTCTATGGCTAAAAACCTTTCATAGAGGTCCTCTTCCTCCGCATTTTTGCGGCGTTTCCGAGACAGCTGAGGTGGGGCGCTGTCCAGAGTTGGCACGAATGTATCGAAGTTGAGGTCAGGGACTGAAGTGTCTGCATGGTACAACTGTGGTGGAGGAGGTTGCCGCGTCCTTTCATCTTCCTGCTGAAAACCCATGATGAATATTCAAATTAATTTTTGCTCCAGAAAAGATAAAAGAGGTGAACATACAGTGAGCTTCGCTGAAACTTGGTATTATTCAGTGGTAGCTACAGGCTTTTAAGACAAACATTTTGGGACAAGCCTTTGAACAGAGCAAGTTTAATCGAAGTGTATTATGGATGATCTGTCTAATAAAGCAGGCTGGTCAAAAATAAGTACTTTTACAGTACTTTTTCAGTACATTCTCAAAAATTCTGTACCTCCTCCAACAGAAAAATTCTGTGATTTTTCAGTACCTTCATTTGACGGAATTAGAAAAATTTCAAAAATTTGAAATTGCGACAAAAATGACAAAAAATTAAAAAAATTCTGGACCTTTTTGCGGAATTTCCGCACTTTTTCAGTACTTCCGGACCTTTTTGCAGAATTTCCGCACTTTTTCAGTACTTCACAGACTCTTCAACAATGAATTTTTTATAAGTTTATAAGGGCTATGTTCTGACTCCTTCTACACCCAAGATGTGCAGTTATAGTGCTGCTTTCCGGGCCTGTTGAGACCTCATTGATCATTGTCATCTTACAGCATAAAAGGCCACATTCTTACATAAAAATTCTTTTTAAAAGAAGGTTCAATTTATTCTTTATGGGGGGTTTTACTTGGACGTATTTCTATCAAACAGAACTACATGCAGAGGGAAAGATAGGGTGTGCTCGTTCGTGCTCGGGCCATAAGAATGAATGGGAAATATAAAGCGCCAGTAACAAATCCGCCGCTCCAGTTGCCCACTTAGTCCGCTCACAGTTCCATTTGCTGAATTGGAGAAGCGGGATTTCACGTTCTGTCAAACAGAACTGTATGCAGACTCCATGAGCCGTGGGCATGTATCTAGAGCCTTGTGGACAGGGCTCATGAGTTAAAGCAGAAGCCTGGCACCTGGAGCGGCGGATTCATTACTGGCGCTTTATATTTTCCATTCATTCTTATGGCCCGAGCACGAACAAGCACGCCCCATCTTTCCGTCTGCACATAGTTCTGTTTGATAGAAATACGTCCACTTTTGTTTTAAAAATTTCTTGCTATTGCTAAGACCACTGACAGTTTTTGAAATTTTCAGTTCAAGAAGTTTCACCTTAGATAAATATGCTGGTATAATTACCTGTGGCGATCGGTAAAAATCATCATGGGTTTCATTACTATCATCTTCAAGCTCAGCAAGTCTTTCTTTGTCTTTGAGAAAGAGCATCTCCCGAAAGTAAGGCCACTTGCCACGATATGCAATGCCAGCATCTTCCATCGTTTGAGCATTCGAGGACAGGATCTTCTTGAACTCTTTGTTGAAGTGGTCCCGCGTATTTTTCCATTTGGATTTGACTACTTCCTCTGTAAACAGAAATTTATAAAGAAAATGAAAAAAATTAAAACTTCTTTCAACTTTTTTACTTTCAAGATACGTTATCTTGGTCACTAGGTAATGTTAAAAATTCAAAGTAAAAAAGATTGTATTTTTTTTTTTTTTTTTTTTTTTTTTTTTTTTTTTTTAACGGGTACTAACAATATTAATTTTAGTACATATATTACAGTGAATATATATACCTCTGGCAAAAACTAGTGATTTTTTCCAGGAGGTAAGAAAAAAGTATCTAAGTGCCCGAAAATTGAGAAGAAAGAACAAGGGGGCGTCTTCAATTCAAAATTCAAAAGAAGGTAGAAGAAACCCTGAAAAATGTATTTGTATACTGAACTTTTTTTAGCTGCTTCTTAATTTTTTTTATTCCTTTCATTATATTTTGGAGAAGTGTACTGAGTGGTTTAGCAGCAAAAAAGTAAAACCCTCAAGAGGATATTTCCTCTGATTTTGTGACAATAAAAAAAAAAAAAAAAAAAAAAAAAAAAAAAAAGAAGAAGAAAGAGAAGGAAAGGTTTTACAAACGTGAAGATACCTACCTATTCACAGGAGGAACTCATTATAGGTAGGAAACAGAAAAGACTTCAAAAAAAAGAGAGGAAAAATGTGAAACATATCCCTCATTTTATGTTAAAATTAGACTATAATTTTGTTACTTAAGTTATTAATTAAAGAAAAACATTTTCATAGGGAGCAAGGATTTTTTTATGCTATTTTCAAAATCTTTTTCCATCTTTTCTATCCACAGGCTGACCGCTCTTTATCTTTCCGGGGTTTTTTTTTTTTTTTTTTTTTTTTTTTTTTTTTTTTTTAATTCAGCAGGTAAAAAAAACCTGAAATGTTTTAAACATGTTTAGTGATTACCAAAAAAATGAAAAAAATAAGGAAACAATTAAAAAAGCATGGGGCCATTATTTCTGCAGTCATCGCATGGAAATGCTGAATTTTCGCCTGATTCTCTTTTACCTCGACCTAAGCTCTGCAAATTGTCACTGACTTTCCGGCCAAGAATCAGGCTGAAATTTCCTGCCTTTTTTCTGAAACTAGTCACTCCGACCAAGAGCAGACGATGAAATCTTACGCACTGGGAAGGTTGAGGCTCCGTCCGACATCGGCCCATCCATCGTCGGTCCTCTGGCGATCGTGGTACAGCTTGTGGTGCACATTCCAGAGGTGAGGCCTTTTCTGCACCTCGGCTATGAGCGCGTTGACGGAGAACTCCATGCTGGACCGCGGGAAGGTAAACAAAGAAACAAAGAACGCAGCAGCTGGGAGCGACGCGACGCACGCCCGCCTCGACAGTGAATCAACGACTATTTTGAATTTCAACCGGCGCGACGCGCGACGACGGCGCTCCGACCCGCAGCGTCGCGTCGCCGCCGCCCGTCCGGCGCTGCCCTTTACATCGAAAATCCCTCCAATTTCCCCGGGGACACAACGTAATTAGAACGAACAGCGGCAACACTGCGTCCGCCACTGCCCGCCCGCGCCGCAGCTGCAGCTCGCTGTGACCCTGTTGCCAACCGTGACCAAAATCCCAGCTCCTTCATTTGGTCACAGTATCGAGCGATCCGCAACTATTCCTACACGACGGAGTGGTATTGCATACTCCGATAAATGAAGGAGTTTCATACTCGGGTTGACGATAACGTGATACATGAAGATTAAAATTTTCACGCACGTGGAATAAAGGAATTTATTAGCTCTAGCCCCATTTCGAGATCAACATTTGGACGTATTTCTGTCAAACGGAACTAAGCGCCATCGGGGTAGGAAGGTAGGGGGGCTTGGATTGGCGGCGGAACCGGGCGCCGGGCTCATTCGTTCCTATACTCGCAATGCTTTACCATGGTGCTTAGTTCCGTTTGACAGAACGCGCTATCCGGGATTCTAAATTCCTCAAAAACTCAAATTGGCGCTTAGTTCCGTTTGACAGAAATACGTCCAATTTTTACAATCCCCCGCCACCCTACCATATAAAAAATAAAGTGAAGCGCAAATTTCAGGGAACCACTCAATAACGTACCGGTGACTCCCATTTTCACGCAGGGTTTTCTCACTTCCTGAATTTTCCAATTCCCTTGACTGTTTTTTGTTATTTTTTGTTGCTTTCCTCTGACTTTCCCTGTCCCTCGGACAGGACTTCCACTCAAAGGCTGCTCCCGGACTTTTCTTGTGGGTTCCTCGACTTTTCCAGGTCTCTGGGCATGGATTCCCTGACTTTTGCAAACGTGTGAACCGGCGCACAGTGGATCGAATCAGTGAGAGAGGTCGGACATACAATTTATGACAAAAACTGCAGATTTTGCAGTTTATTTCGTCACATTTTAAATTTAAAGGAGTGGTTCTTGAAGAAAATTTCACGAGGAAACCAATGGAGCCACTTTTAGAACGTCAAAGATTTATATAAACGGAGTTATAAGCTTTCAAAGTTTCCAAATTTTGTCCGACCTCCCCTATTGACTCGATCCACCGTGCGGCGTTCCAATGCCCGCGGCGACGACGGGAACTCTCGTATTTGAGGGTGGATTTGGCAAGGATGGCGGTGGCCGCGACGGTGACGGGTGATGGTGTTCGCCCCGCTCCTATCCACCCCATCCAGTCGCCTCCTCCCCGCCCCTCCCGCCCGTCCTCGAGACCGCGCATCCGCCCTCCTCCGGGCGTTGCCTACGAGAATAGAGAGGCCGTAACTACGATTCTGTGACGTCACGCTAGTAGATGAAACTCGGCTGCGATTTAACATGTGTTCTTATGGGAGAACGCATGGCACATGTTCCTTTTGTGCTAATATCTTTTCAGGGGTTGATCTGATGCAAAAATTCATAAGAACCATTTTGAAAGAAGATAAAATTTCACATCAGAAAACTGCCTAGTTCATAAATTACATTGTCTGATAATTGAGGAAATAAAAGCTAAACACGACTAAATACCGAAAATCGTTACCCCTCTAAGATTCAAACGCGCCGCTCATGCAACTTCGGCCGATCGACGGCGGCTCTGATTGGTTAACACGGCGATTACTCTACTAGTTTGACGTCACGAAACCGAGTAGTTACGGCCTCTCCATTCTCGTAGGCAACGCTCCGGGTTCCTTGGTCTCGGCTTCGCCACCCGCCGGCCACCTCGCCAGCTTCGCGACGACGAGCTTCTTCCGGACAGGAGGGTCATTCGGGATCAGGGTGTCTACCAGTTATAAAAAACCATGATCGGGGACTTTAAGGGGTGTTTTTTCGAGAAAATCGTGGACTTTTCCCCCGAAATAGTGAGAGAAAGGGAGATGGCAGGGTGTCTAGTATTTTTTAATTTTGAAAAGTCCTGATATTTTCCTGATTTTTCCTGATATTTTATAAAAAGTTCCTGATATTTACCTGATTTTTCTCGACTCCTGGCACGGTAGGCAAAAGGTAGTAAGACTTTCTCCGCTAAGGAGATTCGCGCAAGAAAAGTTCCTGATAAAACGTCCGATTTTTCCGATTTTCCTGATTTTTTCCTGATCGGCCAAAATTCTTGATATTTTCCGGTTTTTCTCTGATGCTAGACACCCTGGATAGTTAGAGCGTTAAAAGGCGTATTTTGTACGACTAATTTTACAAGTCATGTTGAACCGATGAAAACATACAAAAAACCGAGCAACACTTTAATATTTCTATTCCTGGGTATACCGCGCCGCCGCGGCTGGCGGGAAAATTTGAAAATGCCGGTGTTTAGGACGATTTATCATTTTTTGTGGACTTTCGGGGATATCGGGGACACCCTTCCAAAATCGGGTATAATCGGGGACATAGGGGACTTTCGGAGACGGTAGACACCCTGGGAATGCAGAATGAAACTTAATGCACCCTTAGACCCGGTCCTATCACCTCTCTTTAGGTATACATCGACCTTTGGTTGGATTTTGATTGCCAATCTGAGTACCTGTCGCTTTGACTAGGAGGCACGGGCAAAGCTGAGGGGCACCATAAGGGGGGGAGGGGCTGTCCGTCTGCAGACTAGTGCCCCCTGCCCCTAACCAAGGAAGCTCTGCTTGGAAAAAAGTGCCCTATAAAGGACGAACGTCATATGAACCTTCATGCTTTGCCAGATTTCCTTTGATAAAACACGAATTTCCTGGTAAAATTATGAATACTTTACTTCCAATTTTAACTTCAAAAAGTCCTGAAAATTTCAAGATTTTCCTAAAAACTGAACATTTTATAGAATAAAGAATTTTTGCTTCTGAACCTCATAAATTTTCTGTAACGTTTTGAAAAACATGATGAATAATACCATCAATCTTGTTGATGCATTTCTCTAATGGACATACAGTCCAAGAAGAAGAAAAGGAATATCCATAATGAATGACATTGTGTGTCATATTTTTTAAAAGACAAAACTCAATCAATTTGTATCACAGAAAAAATGTTGAGCTGATGCAATTATTTTGTGTTGATCTGTGCTACTAACAGATAAAACTTTTTCTTGTGGCGCTTGCTACTAATTTATTCTGTTGAGCTTTATTCAACGCACCCACAGTTTTCTTTCTTCATTACAATACCCAATAAAGTTTTCACAGATTTCACATTGGATCTTTCACAAGATGAGGTCCAATTATTCAAAATCAAAACCAAATTTTGCTTCACGACAAAGATTTTAATTAACAAAAAATAAGAGGGATAACCAAAATATTGAAGCATACACTTACAGCTTGTCTTCAAAAATTGGGAAGTCTTCCTTTAAATTAGTTATCACATAATTTTTACCTATACTACCAGTATTCATAGAATAGGGACTTTTCATTTTAACTGATATCCCCAGAGGTAGCTGTTGGCTGAGTTGGAGAATCCAATTGTATCGTGACGGGACCATCATTAATTAGGCTAACATCCATCATTGCACCGAACTTGCCATCTAAAAAAAAAGAGGAAAAGAAAAAATTTGATTTGCTTATGACATTATTCTATTATTTGTTAAAGAATAAAGAGATCAATCATTCAATTACAAAATCCTTTTTACAATAAATGAATGAATTCGGAAAAATTACATTTTTCTTTCATCTACAATATGGTATACCTTGCTTACTGATGTGAGGTTCATGCAGGAACTTTGCTTTTAAATGTGACTGAAAAGTTAGTACCTACTTTCAAAAATCACTTATGATTCACAAATAGGTACACTCACCTTTGATTCGATCTGGTAAATATGCTGTCCTTAATGAAGATAGAAAATCTTCGTAAAAAGGCTGGGATTGAGTGGCAGGCATAGCATTATGAAAGTCTAATTTTGTTCCTTTGAGAGAATAATACAAGGTGAATTGACTCACACACAGTATTTCATGGCCAGAGTCAACCACGTTTTTCGACCATCTCTTTCCACCTTCATCTCCGAACAATTTCAGAGTCAGCAGTTTATTCACCCTAGATTAAAATTGGAATGCATTATGAATATTACGATAAAAATTTGAATGCATTACAAATAGTAAAATCAAAATTGGAATGTATTTTCATTTCATTACGGAACATGAGGCAGAAAGCGATAAACATCAAAGTAGAAATGCAACTTCTTTGGAGGACACTAAAGAAAAATTTTTGGTCAAAATTTAAAGATCCGATTTTCAGACTCAGCTTAGTAAAAAATTTTCGCCTGAAAATTTTGCCCCAAATAACTAAGGTCTTTGTCTTGTACACGATCTTGATAGCAGGGTTTCAAAATTTTCCCTCCTACTTAAATTTTTTAGGAGAATAATACCAAAGACATTTATCAAAATTCTTGGAAAATATTTTTAAAATGAACAAAAAAAGAAAGTAAACACACGCGCAAATTTTTATGCAATATCAATAAATTTTCCTTCTTTTGATAAGGACTCTCAAGATCAGAAAAAGCTCTAAAAGTTGAGGTTGTCGTGGAGGGGATCCCCATGCTACTCTGAAAGTTCACTTATCCAGTCAACCTTTTTTTGGACAGATGGGGAGCAAATACATTGGCAGGGTTGCCTTAGTTTCAGCTTTGGAGTCCCCAGAACAAAGTGACAACCTTACATATGTATTTACTCCATATACAGGGTGATCCAAAAGTCCCACACTAGCACCAGGTATCACCTCTGTAATTTTTGAACAAAGTGAAATAGAGACTTGAAATTTTGTGAGTGCTCCCAGGTCAAAGGAAATGATGAAACTCTTTAAAGGAACAAAAGTTTTAAAGGGACCACCCTTAAAAGGGTCAAGAACCTTGCGGATTGCACAAGTGGTCCAGGACTTTTGGATCACCCTGTATATGTCATGATAGTTTGTCTGGATATAGAGGTGGACCCTCACCGTAATGAAGGCGATCCCCTCCATTACAGCCACAACTTAGAGAGCTTTTTCGAGCTTGGGAGCTGGTTATAGAGAAAACCAGTGGCACCGTGTGCTCCTTAAAAAATTTTACAAACTGAAAAAGTACTTCGATCGCGAATCCCTGAGTCATGCGAGAGCTCCATTGACAAATTCTATTTTGACAAATTGACGAATTACTTGATTCACTTAATTTTTCAGAGAGACTTTTGGACTGCAAAAAATGGAAGTGAGAAAACATAAAAATGGCTTACTTACAGCCAATCGATATCTTTCTTAGTGTCCGATTTATGGATTCCGACTAGCACGCAAAGGCCTGGGCCTACAGAACTGATAAGCTCACCATCCACTAAAAACAGAATTTTACAAGTTTTTTTTAATAACAACTTACAAGATAAACTAGAAACTATGAATTTTCAACTTTTTTTTTTCTTGGACGATAACAATAACTCCTCTACCCAGGAGGGCAGTGAGAAAGTAAAAATATAGATTGTAATATGAGGAAATAAGTCAATGTAATAGTGAAAGGGAACAGAAATGTAGTACGTATGAGGAATAGTTCTCAAAATGTGAATTTTCCACAATATAAGGGACGTTAGTCCATGGAGAGAATACTGTCAGTAAGTAGAGCGATGTAAGTCTAGTATGGTCCAAAAACAAGCTTTCGATAGAAAACTTTCCTTCAGACTCTTAAGAATAAGTTGCGAGTTGTTTCATTCATTTTTGTGGCGAATAGAGGACGTAAAGTTGAATTGCAACCTGACAATTTAATGTCCTAAACATGGATACTTAGTTACACTTTTACACAGCTTCTTTTCAAAATTACATCTTTAGAACTGCAAACTTCAATCCATCATTGAACTCATTTGAAGTAACAGTTTGTGGTAATTTGTTTTTTTTTTTACCTGAGCATTTGCAGAGCTCTATTTTGAGTATATCTGGGCTAAGGTTGCTCCTGTAAAGTATTTCTCTCAACATTTACATGGAAAAGAAAAAAATTACTATAAAGTAAGTAATTAGTTGAATATTTTATTCTTGGTCCTTCTTGAGGTAATTTATCTCAAGTTTTTGGTACAATCAAACTGGTAAGCAATACCTACACCGCACTGATCTAGTCTAAAATTTTGGCAGATTTTGGCTCCATTGCCAAAAAGAGGACAACAGCCCCTGCACAAGAGCCTAGAGAATTGTTCTCAACCGAAATAATTCTTAAGTTCAGAGAGGAGGAAGCAGGATTCGTCTAATGAAAAACCATGCGTATGATACAGTAAGTGATTTACGCATTGGTGCGAAGTAATTCTTCATCCTGGTGCAAGACAGGATTTAAAAAGATCCCTACCTTTGACACTTGCTCCTTTCACTCGCTGTACAACAGCTCTCATTGCAGAAACACTGTTTCCTCTGGCAACACCTTCCACTTGGATGGTTGAGAATGCGTTAGCACAGTTTGTGGCAGAGATCTTGAGAAGAGTTCAAGATGAAACAGGCACAGTAGACCAGTTTAGATTAGATTAGAGATTAGATTTATTCAGTTTCATTGAGCAGGAACGTAGAATTACCTCTTTTGAAAATTGAAAATAAGAGAAAGACGGAGAAATTACAGAAAAGATCACAAGTTCACCGGGAGTCTTTCTTCTCAATGAAATTCAAGTGGATATCTATCTTCTGGGATTTTACACTCCACAGATTGCCAGCGTCTTGGCGGCCACACAATATGTGTTGCTTTAGCAGTAACCAAACCAAGAGACACAGGTCCAAAGGTATTTGAATCTACTGAATGGCCCACGTGATCTCCTTCGACCCAACAATGCCCATCTGGCACTCGGACCACAGGTTTTTTGAATCCTCTTGTTTTGATAAGATCACCTTCAAGTCCAACAATCCTTTTGATGATTTTCTGTTTTGGATTTCTCGGTGATATGACTGTCACTACTTCTCCTCTCGAAATATTGTTGAATCTGACAGCCCAAGAGCTCAGAAAAACATAATCAGTGACTAAATCAGGGTTTAACGCAGGCTGCATCGATATTCCATCGACCCTGGCGATATAACCAACTGAATCTAAAAGTGTTACACCAATTGGAATTCCCAATAAAAGTGTTTTCACGGTCCTGGATATTTTCATAAGTAATGTAAATGTCGAAGCAATATAAAAAACACAATTAACAGTGCACAGAAACGAAAAGTATAAAAACGGAGACCTGATAACGATAACAGAATAGCAGTAACCAAAAGCAAAACAGACAACCATAACCTACAACAAGAGCATCGCACATGGAAGTCATGTGCTGCTCTCTATCGGTATCTGTCGAAATGAAAAGAGTAAACAACCTGATCAGTGATTTCAGTGATAAAGGTAATTTACTGATAAGAGCGGCAAGTAACATTCAATGTGACTGTTGCTCGAACATCTTTTATTGTTTTTCAATTCTCTTTGCGATTATTTAGTTGCTAATGGCAATAATTTGAATTCGCTCTGCTCTTTCATTTTTCATTATTCGTTTAGTTACATATCTGACGTTCACTGTCACTGGTGTCCTCAACCAATGCATCCCAGTACTTGACCGAGGATTTTCTTGTTTTCAATCATAATGTATGAACTTTGTTGCATTATAATGTGCTTCATCACGATAGCATCTGGTAAACAAATACCCAAAGTTGGTAAGTCATTATTATTCATACTTACCCTCTAGGGTATCCAGGCACTATGATGTTGATTGTTCTGTCAATATTCATGCATCATTTAGGTACAGCTCACAGGATTTTTATACTTTTGAGGAATGATAATTCTCAAATTTTTCATGACTTGAGGGACATAATCCCCATCGGAATTTTTGACTTCCCATCAAGTGTCATGCGAAGACTCTCCTGAAAATACTCAACCGATGGGCTCGAAATTTACATTCAAACAGGTTGCTACTCTAATTGTCGTTAGGAGCTGTTCATATAAGAATGCAAAGCTAAGAGCCGGATGTTATTTTCCATACTTCCCCCTTGAAATCCATCAATGCTAGTCATGTCACAGGTATAACCCCTCCTCTCTCCTCCCCTCATAAGAAAGCTATTTTTTTTTGTAACATTCTGTTCGGCCCCTTTCCCTTGCAATTAGTGTTTTGTGAGAATTTTGGATAGAAAATAACCAACTCATGTTAATTCCCAGATTTTGAAGAAATTGATGCTATGTACTCATTCCAGCATTGCAAAAGTAACACAGCCTGGATGTGCCCCTCCTCCCCCCGAAGCGTCACATATTTTATGAATAGCCCCTTATGAACATTTTAACATATATTAACTTTCCGATCATGTTTTAATCATTAATGAAATCTTATTTCATTTGAATGAATGTATTAGATTTTCTTTTAGTAAATTCAACCGCATATTCAGCTCTGAAATTTTATAATCTTTTTCTTCCAGCCATAATTGGAGGTGGCATTGGAGGAACATCCACTGCTCACTTCTTGATTGATTTATTTGGAAGGAAAAATATCGACATTGATATTTATGAAGCAAACAAAATTGGAGGCCGTCTCGCAACTGCCAAGGTTGGTGACTTCGAATATGAGACAGGAGGCTCAGTGATTCACACGAGTAATAAATATATGGAAGATCTCATATCTACTTTAGGTAAGATATCGCTCTATTTCATTCACTGTTTTCAATGTCTAATTTCATGCAAAGGTAGACTGAAGAATAAGAAGAGTCTGTTGGTGTTTTTTTTTTTTTTTTTTTGGGGAAAAATCAGCTGGAGTCATCTTTTAAAGGCAGGGGGAGGAATAGGACCTTTAAATTAAGGCGACCCCATAGCACGTTTTAAAAGAATTGATAGTGGAATGATCAATTGATGAATTCTGGATTTTAGGACACTTTTTCAAAATCTCTGGACGTTGCATCAAACTGAAGCACCTAAGGTATTTTCACACAAGATGAAATGACTCTGAAAGAAAGTCCAAAAATAATAACTATCTCAAATCTTTTCGTCGCTCAATTTGCCTTATTCACAAAGGACGTGCTCGTAAAGTTATTTTAAAAAGTTTCTTGGTTAAATTTTGTGCTGAAATACCTGCTAGACACAGACTATAGTGTAATGTGACTGTGAAGTGTGATTTCTGGGAAAATGTTCTAAAATCCAGAAATGACCCATTAATCTTTCGACTTAGTATGGAATTTTGCTCGGAAGTGGTGAAGATCGCATAGGACAAACATCATTAATGCAAAATAATAAGGTAAGTGGTCACATGTCTTACACAATATTATCTTAAAATAAAGCCAAAAAACAGGGTGCCAAGTGTAAAAAAAAAACTAAACCAATTTACATAGAGAGAGTGAGTAAAAAAAAAAGTTACTTTAAAAATTGAGAAATATGAGAAATTTTCTGAGTATCTAAGGCAGGTAAAAAGAAAATAAATTGGTCTCTGGGTTTGCAAGGCATTTTAACAATTTAAAAATAAATCTGACACCATGCGTGTAAAAGACGAGGTCATAGATATTTATATTTTTAAATTGCGAATTACTGAGGCTTTAAAAGTTTCACCATTGACATTATTTTTGCGTGGAAGATCACAAATGCAGTCGTTCGCGCTAGCCCTTGAAATCGGGTGCCATGTTGATATGCATTTGCGTCTGTGCTCCAGGGGATGCTTTTACTATCCCTCTTCACAAAAATAGTGAACAGATCCACTTAGTTTAACAAATAATCCGTTTACCTTAAAGTTGTTGCAATTTACTGTAGTAATATTTTGCGCTGTTCTCTGAAAAAGATGCTCATCTTTATTCCTACAGTAAAAGTTGCAAAACTTTACAACGCCTAATAAGCGAGGGGAACCAAACGATAGATGTGACTCAGGTAGAGAAATCAACGTAACACCACAGTCCTTATTCCAAGAAGATACTCTCCGAAGCAGAAAAACTGATCGGATTTATCTTCCTCGGATGAAGCATCAACTCAGAAGCAGGGTTACTGACTTAACAAAACCCGTATGAGTCATCACAAAACGATGGAACGCAACGAAAGTTGCCGATTCAAAAAAGGAAGGCGAATCATTTGTCAAACGAAATTGAGAAAGAAATTTTGAAAAGGTTCTAATTTTAGCGTCGTGTTCTCACGACCCTTGTTAAAAAAAAAAAAAAAAAAGAAACAAAAACAAGTCCACGTGAAGCTAAAATTGTTTTAAAAAAAAATCAAAAGGTTCATTAAAAAATTATAAGTAAATTTTTTTTAAAAAAAGTGAATGAAAGCGGAGTTTGAAAAGCGGAAAATAAAAAATGAGTTCTTCTTCGTATTGTGTTATCACAATCCTTATTCGAGAATAAGTCCACGTAGAACGAAGCATGACTTTAAAATTTCCGACTTTTTCAATGGAAACATGAACGAAAAAGGCAAGTATGTAATATTACGTAATGGTTGAAGCATAAGGTAGCAATAAACGTTTTATTAACCGTTTTTGATTATGATAGGCCTAAGTATTTTATTGCCTATGAGACCATAGCGTTATCATTCGTTAGAAAAATACGTAACTCCTTTATCTCAGGTTATTTCCTTCGCTCTAAGCCTAAAATCATTAAGTTAATTTTATTTAGAGCATTTGACCGTTTAAAAATCTCTTTATCAGGATTACTGATCAATTTTAAATTGAAAACAGCGTAGTTTCGAAAGATTTTCATCTTATTACTTGCATAAGTCTTACATTTGATAATCAAATCATGTAGAACCAATCTTTTCGTCAATTTATTTAAACGATTGTTCTCATTTTTGAAATCTAAACTGAAATGATCAGACAAGAGAATGTATTTACGACCGACTCTAAAATACCTCGTAATTCTAGACATGTTGCAGACCAAGAGGGGGGGGATTTTACTAAATAAAAATGAATCATAATTCAAAGTTTCCTGTAACTGATTTTGATGTATCTACCAAAAGATAGATATCTAATTCATCAAAGAAATTTAGTAAAACAGGAAAAGTAAAAGACTAATTTTTTCAAAATTTCAAAAGCTTCATCGGCTTTGTCTAAAAAAAAGTTATATTTCTCATATTTCTTATTCGTAAGCTCTATCAGAGGCGCAGCAATATTAGAAAATTTATGAATAAAGGACCGGTAAAAATTAGCACTACCCAGAAAAGAACGAACGTCTTTTTGACATTTGGGAGTTTCATGCTTTAAAATAGCATCTATATTGTACTGTGAAGGAGCTAAGCCTTTTCTATTAATAAAATAACCAAGAAAATTGAGGTATTTGAACATTACGTGACATTTTTCAGTCTTGAAACGAAGATTAAGTTATTTCATTCGTTCATTACAAAAATTTCAAATAATTTTTTGAATAAAGTCATTGATTGAAATGATGAATCCATGATACAGTAAATCTGAAAATATTTTCTATAAAGCTTTGCTGAAAGCACTGGGTGAATTTTTAAAAGAAACCGAATAGACACGTAAAAGCACATGAGCATCACTAGCGTTTGCTTAAATTTTGCTGATAAAATATTCGCTAAGAAAGTCGAAAGTATGACAGTAAGTATTCCCTTATAATTCAGAAATAATATTATCGATCCTTGGTAAGGGGAATCGATTTGGGACAATTACTTTATTAACTTTTCTGAAATCTACTACTATTCTTTTATCTTTAGCGTTTAACTGTGCTAACGGTTTTTCAATGTGCGTCTCCCTTTGTAACTAAGAAAATTGGAAATGCATAGTCACTGAAAATATCATTGAAGCGTCCCTCAAATTATTCACTATGCTACGCAGATTATTTTATAGATAATTGGCAAATTATAGGGAAGACGACCGATAGAATTTTTTGATTCAGCTTTATTAGAGGCAAAAACAGACTCGGCATTGCATAACATTTCGCGCGCAAGAAATACTATGGATACCAGGATTCAAAACACATCAATATTCAATCTAATTTCGGAATTTTCAAAGAAATTTGACCTAGAAACATTACAACAATAGTTTCAGGCACTGAGAATCTTGAATTTAATGAAATACATTTATTTAAAGGCATGAAAGTAAAATTTTCATTGAAAAATTGGTCCTTATTCTTACAAAAAATATCACCACTTAGGGTGTCTACTAATTTCTGGAAATCAGTCTGTACTCATGCAGCTGAATCCAATTCAATGGCATTAAAAACCTTTATGGAAATACAATTAAAACCTTTAATAAAAGTCCCTTGTGGCGTACAATTGTCACTCAGTGAATTACTTGATTTACCGCCACTTACAAGAAAAGAATACCGACAGTTGTCACTCAGTGAATTACCTGAAGGTATCTTATTATTCTCCACACTATTGTCACTCAGTGAATTACTAGTTTTACTGGAGTTTAATTTAATATAATCCTTAGAGCAGTTGTCACTCAGTGAATTACCTGAACTCATGGGATTATTATGCATTATGGGACAGTTGTCACTCAGTGAATTACCTGAACCCTGCATGAATTATAGATTTATTGCGAAATTGTCACTCAGTGAATTACTTTCGCTTTCAACTTCGAAAAGTTGATTAAATAAATCATTTGCCTCTTTAAATTTAAGCAATTTATCACTATTGTCACTCAGTGAATTACTAGTGTAAATGCTAGAGGAATTATTAAGATGGAGCGCTCACTCTAATTATGGGATCTGAACGGAATTTAAATTTTCTGCCGTGCACTTAGCATTCTGATACGGTTACTTGATCAGGTGAAAATTTTCCTTCAAAGAAAACCCATTACTGTATTTCTAAGAATACTAATAAAAATATGGGACAGGTTTTTTCCATAAATTATATTTTCCTGCAAAAGGCAAGGAATTAAATGAATCGTTTTTGATTCATCAAAGAATTGCTGGCTCATAATAGAACTTTGAATTATATAAATCATTTACAGTTTAATACTGAAAAAAAAAAAAAATTTTGGTAGAATACATGAGGATTCACTACTAAATTTTTAAGCCCAATAATTGGCAGTTTCTCTTAAGAAGAGTGTTTGTGGCCATGATTTCGTCTATAGACAAAGAATCTAAAAGGTCTTAAAACTCAAAATCTGAAGTTAAAACAATTTTCCGAATGCAAACTATTTTTGTAGCTTCCGGCGTGAGCATTTGTGGATAAAAAAAGTTGAATTTGCAAATTGTGTACCGAGAAAAGGCGAATCAAAATTACTTTAAGCTTTTAATGAGTAAGATTTGGCAAGTTATATGGAGGAAAATTTGTAGAATCACTTGGATTTCGACTGTGAGAAGAAGTAGAAGTTTGAAAAGAACTTAAATTTACACGAAATCATGAGCACACAACAATAAAAAAAATCGACGCATATAATTTTAGTCAAAAAAAAAGTTGTTAAACTACACCTCGTGGATGTTGCAATGGCTGCCCAGAGACACAGCAATGCCCACAAACTGTAGTGGTTTAAAAATTTAATTAAAAAAAGTTTAAACACTCAACAAAAAGAAAAAAAAAAATTCCTGTGAGGGCACTGAATCACTGACAAATTAACAAGCATGAAATAAAAGATTAATCGCAATTTAAAAATCAAAGAAACAAAAATTCAGAATGAAATTCTAATTGTCATATTTCAAAATTAGAACGCCTTTAAATCCCTTCGATCGTGTTAAAATTAAAGCATGTTAAACAAAAATAGCATTGAAATAAAATTCAAAAAGCTGGAAAAAAAAAATAGAAAAATTAAAGGTTCTTCAACAAAACAAATTGAAGTCCAAGGTTTCGGCACCACTTGTGATGATGCGAAACTATTTAATTAAGAGAGAAAAATCAATGGTTCAAAAGGAGGGTTTCGGCACCACTTGTGATGGCCACCCCTATAAGGGAAAGGTCACCCTTCCTTCAAAGATGGACTCAAATTCTATAAGACGTAATTCTATGAAATTTAATATTTACTCTTATAAAAATCAAGTCGATCACTGGAGGAGCGGATAATAAGATGTATTTGACAAAATACCTCGTGATTCACCCTTGAAGTGAAAAACAAAGTATTTTGACGAATACAAATGCTGAAACAGTGTGGGAGAGCAGTATCAGAAAACTGATTGGAAATAAAAATTTAAAAATTTAAACATTCATGCTTTTTACGGGTATCACGATCGGGATTTCTTTCAAATTGAGAAAATACAAGGATATTGGCGTTTTACAAGATTTATTACTTGAGAAACTTTGAAAAGTTACTAATTTTGAAAAAAAGTGAAGAATTACGAATTTTGAAAATTGTGATTTGAAAACGTCTAATATGACAAGCTATCAAAAGAGTAAGAAAGGTCTTTCGACGATTCACCGAGATGTCCGGGGTTTTCCAAAGTCCACAAAAATCGTAAGTCCAAGAGTCCAGAAATCAAGAGAGAGAGATGTGGTCGAGCCGAGGCTCTCGACCAGAGTCCTGTTCTCGCTGAGCTGAGGCTCCTTCCAAGCCCACAGATCAAATCGATAAGTTTATCAAAAAAAAAAAAAAAAAATAATGAGCGCAATTTAGATAGAGAGTGAAGCTCCTTATCTAAATATCTCAAAGATCCATCGAGAACTCATACTTAAAATATGCATGAGTTTTAGGACATTAACCACTTCAAAATTGCCTCATAAGTTACAAAATAATTTTAAAGGAGGAAGAGTAAATGGAAACTGAAAATATTGTTCGGAATAAAATAGTAAATTCCAGGTTGTCTAAACTAGAAAAACTGGCAAAGTCAGGTAGAGAAAATGTATAAAAGTGGCTGCGTTCCGGATGGATCTGCAAAATTATGATTTTTCCAAAAATTCATGGTACTTGGATACTGATCCCTATAGATTTTTCTCCCGATGTGTAGTGTACTAACATTCTGTCTTGACCTGTCAAGCTGAGTAAAACAACAGTTATGAAAAAAATCACTGTATGACATTATAGCTGTTCAACATGCATCCTTTTGTTGAATTCCAAGTCAGAGGTGGACGGACACTTGTTGAGAACTGTTCCTTTTTTCCCTACATGATAAACATGCGTTTCCCTCTTCATGTCATGTAGAATTATTTGAAAGCACTTTTTTATAATTGATGTAAACCAACTGATTTGCAGGTTTAAGAAAGCGTTCACACTGCTCCAGTCAAGAAAATTTTGGGTTGTACGACGGTAGCAAATTTGTGTTCATGGAAAGCGATTGGTCCTGGGTGACAATGATAAAATTGGCATGGCGTTATGGATTCAGCCTATCAAAAATAACGGATAACATTGACACCATGCTTTCTCGATTTGCAAGGTCAGAAGTTGTTTCTCTCTCAATTTCATATTTCCAAAGAGCTGTTAATGTTTAAAATTAACTGTAAATGACTTTCAATTTAAGGGCCTACAGTAGTCCTTTTTCCTTCAGCTGTAAAACATAGCTTTTTGTTAGATGTCAGATGGCCAAGAGTGTCAAAATAGAGGATTTGATTTTTTATGGTTTCACAAACCTCTTTAGGACCATTTTTAATTTCTATTCGAGGTTTAGTAAAAAAGAATGCTGTTCTTAGCAGCAGATCTTGTCATTGTGTTTCATATGTTTGGCCTAATTCTGTGTTGCAGATGCAAAGCTACTTCAAAAGTGTGAGGTCACCAATGAGATCATTCCCATTAACAGATGATCATCGTAGTCTTAAACAAAGTATGTAGTTTACAATCGTAAACAATTTAAAAATACTCATCCACTAATAAAAACTAACTACCTGCTATCATTAATATATATAGGAGTGTAAGGAGGAGTTCATTAGCTAAATTAACTGTTACCTAGTTCAAAATGTATTTTTAAAATCTTTACAATTAAATTTATTCATTTCAGGATCTATGAGCTCCAGGCTAATCACAAAACTTTTACAACTGTTCATGATATGCTGCATGCAATGGACCCGTCATTTCCAGCAATGATGAAAAAAACTACATTCAATGGCTTTGTCAGAGATGGAATATCCCCAAAGATAATAGACGAACTGGTAATGGCAAGCTTACTCTGCAATTACGGTCAGGATACTAATGTTCATCAGTTTGTCGGTAAGTTTGTCAGCAAAAAAATTACTTTTCGGTCGCAAATTTCAGGGTCATCCTTAGTTTCTCTTTACTTCAAAATTTTGAATGTTTTTTTAAAAAAGTAGTGCCTTCAGATAAAATGCCACATCATGGTAGGATTGATTTTTTTAAAATGATCCAAGTATTTTTATCGATTTGGCTCTTAATTCTTGTGTAACTTTATGTTTCAAGGGTCTGTGTCTATGGCTGCCGTACAAGGTTCTCTCTTCTCTGTTTCTGGTGGCAACAAAGGAGTTGCAGAGAAGGTCATCTCACATCACAAACTTAATGTCATTCACTCCAAAGTACTAAAAGTCATCTATGAGAAGGATGTCCACAGATTTGGCGTTAATTATGTCGGGAGTGGCAAAGAGAGTTCAACAAAGGATTATGACTTCGTAGTTTTAGCTGCACCTTTAACCCATGACTTATCTAAACTCCAGTGTTTAAATCTGCCGGATGGTGCAAAAAAATGTTCGCAGAGAGGGACTTATCATAGAACCGTATCTACTATTGTTGAAGGGAAGGTAAATAGTAATTTTTTCGAATCAATGAAAGAGGATGAACTTCCAGTGGATATTTTACTGACTAACAAGTCTGTATTTTTCCGATCTTTTAGTAGAATCAAACCAGTTTCTACAAACAACTCAGGGAGCTGCGGCCCGCCTGTTTACAAGGTCTTTTCTCCAAAACCTTTGACTGACCAGGAATTAAAGGTTTTGTTCAAAGAGATCAAGTCGGTTCAAGTTTCAGACTGGTTGGCCTATCCTGAGTATGATGAAGCTTTTGCAGCTGACAATTTCGTTCTGTATGATAGGTTTTATTATTTGAATGCTATAGAATCAGCTGCAAGTGCTATGGAAATGAGTGCAATTTCTGCAAAAAATATCGCGTTATTGGTTCATGCGTCCTGGACTAAGGCTAAGCCTGTGGAACATCTGAATAACGGTCGTTTGAAGGATGAATTTCGGTGAAGATAATTTTATTGGGGTAGTTGCGTTACACAAAAAAAAACCTCTGGCGCAATATTTAGGTATTTCTGCTCAAAATTAGGTTGGATTTTCAGTGTTAATGAAAATCATCTTCTCAGCTAAATTTTGATTAGATGAGAAACTGTAAAAAGCATGTCTTATCATTGATGTCAGTAATTTCAGAAAATGAATTGAAAGAACAGAGGACAACAGTCTCATTGTAATATGATAACTGTTAACGTATCGAGGAAAAATCAGACCATTTGTTCTTTGTTGAGCACTTACCTTTTTTCAATTTCAATTTATTCTTGAAGTTACAAACTTGACAGAAAATTTTGGAAGAAAAAATTGAGGTAAGGGGAGGGCAGTAAAAAGAAGAAACAGTTTCTTCTTTGCTTGATTGCTGTAAAATATGTTTACTTGCAAAAAGCTGCGTTGGGAGAAGAAATAATGTCCACCTGTAACTGGTCTGGTCAAGCACAGTCTGTGATCCTATGTTATTTTTGGTAACAAAAAAAAAAAACAGTGGTGTATTTTTTCTTCCGAAAATACATTAAAAACGAAGTTACCTCTGAAAGTATTTAAAATTCTCACTTTTGATTTCATGCAATTTTCAAGGAGGAAATGTAGCACAGTTGAGTCACTGGTGAATTGGTCATGTTTGAACCAAATTCTATAAACGACTCAGATTCATAACAGAGGTAGCTGTTATTTTTTCCAGGAATGAAAGTATGAAATGTAATGAAAAATGAAACAAATAAACATTAGAAGTAAATATCAGTCAAATAATTTTTTACTTTGTAATACTCAAGACTTTTATTCGTCAAAGAGAAAACTCTCATCGTGAAACAAGCATCACTATATTTGTGCAATGTATATGCTCAAAATTAAAGTTAAGGTCAAAATGAATGTCAGGTCTTATCTAAAATTTTTTGTCTTTCAATAGTTTTAATACCTGCCATCTCTTATCAATTATGTTTGATTTTAACAAATATTAATTGGAACACTTGAAGCAATTGTAACAACCATTGTAGGATTCTCATCAAAAGACTGATTTTAAAATATTATTTTAGATTACTTGAGTATGTGCGTTTTGTTCCTCAAGCTTGTTTGATCATGCTAATATTTTTATGGGCTTAGTTTGTTTGTATTTTTTGACAATTAGAAGTAGATTTTTTAATCCTGTATCTTATTATTCTTTGTCTGATTTTTCATTTTTACACGAACTAGTACCTAGGTTTCTTTGGTAGCAGAGCCCATTTCACACCGTTCCTCTTTGCATCTGACAGAAAATTGAAAGAGAGTTGAACACATTAAAATTTGATAAAACTGCCGTTGCTGTCTGATATCGTCTAACAGAATTTGGGTGTCTCCATTAGCTCCAGGCTCACGAAGATACAGCGTTGGTTAATGTCGATTGAAAGACTTTATTTCTTCTTTCAAAAATTTTCATCAAATTGGCGCTGCCGATTGGATGGAAAGTTGAGGGTGATGTCACATTTAAGTTTCCGTTCAACTTTTCATCTGATCGTTGTGTTCTCGTGTCAGTATCACATGATTCAACTTTTCATTTCACATAAGAGGAAGAAAAGTTGAACCGTGTGAACTGGCCTCAGTCGCCTGATTGCCAAGCAGAAAATTAATAAGTATGACCGAAGGGCTTGGTGTGTAAGCATTACTATGGTATTAAATTGAGCAGGCGAGGCTAGCTCATTATTGTGATAATTTTTTTTTTTAAATGATTCGTGCATACATTAAAATTGTAAATAGCAATGATATGAATGGTAAAATAATAATTAGCGATGAATAAAATATTACACTTGAAATAAGAATGGTCTACCTGAAAGAAACGTTTAAAATTATTTTACTACAACATACCTTTCATGAACTGTATTTTTTGAAAAATTGTCGATCTAACTGTAAAATTACTCCAAAGATGAACAGATTTATTTTACAAAAATAAAACCGAGAACCATTGCAAAATTGACAAATTTTCATGATGTGTTGTTATTTAACTTCTTAAAGTAGGTACCTTCATTATTCTTTTTTAATTTTTTTTCTTTCTTTTATTTTTTTTTTCATGAGACTTCGATAGTAATCTATAGTGAAATCTCTAAACAGATCACTTGTTTGTTTTCGTTTTGAAAAAAACAAAATGATAAAAAAAGTGATAAAATATCAGGAATGGTCTTCTCAGTTGAACTTGATTTGAATGTTTTCCAATAGCATTTTTTCGGCATAATGTTTCGGAGTCACAGCAATTTTTTCTTAAGTTCTAAATATTTGCATCAATGGGCACTTAAGTACGATTCTAAACACTGAGCAATGAAAGATGAATTGGTCTGAAAAAAATTTAAAAGATGGCAAGTAAAACAAACAGAGATGTTTCATAGGGTATCTTTGGAGTGGGGAACTTCAAGCAGACACTCAGATCCAACAAAAGTCAAAATACTTTTTATTGATGGGTAAGGTTTTTTTACACTGCAAAATGTACATATTTTACAAAAAAGGAATCCAGTAAGAGGTCAAATCCATCTGGTATAAGTAAAATACATGAAAAAACTAAACAACGCACTGTCCAAGGTGCTTAAATGGGTTGGTATTTAAGAAGTCATGATTAAAATGTGTCAGAAAAATCCATGAAGTCAATAGAAAAAGATTGCATCAGAAAGAGGTATTGAAAAGAGCACATGCCATTCTGCATAGTACTACAAGCTCAATTCTACTGTAACCAAAGTTTTCTGATGAACTTACAAGTTTCCAAAAGTGATTAATGACTTGACATAATTGACAATACTGTTTAACAAGGTCAGAAATTGTTAGCAAATCCAAAAATGAAAATTTAATTTCTGAGAATTTTTCATCACTTGCATGGAAGGGAGCAAAGGGTTAAAATGTGACAAATGAATTTAGGTATGTAACACGTTAATTCTTCTCTTGGGAAACAAACTAACAAACGTGTTTCATGGTCTATGAAAAATTTCGTTGCATGATCTATTTGCTAAATTAAATGTATCTCTCTTCCATCCCAGAACTAGATTGATTGACAACTTATTTTACCGAGCTTTCTGATTCACTGTTCGATCTTGATCTCGATCTAGATTTAGATCTGGATACAGACCGGGATCCTGACTTAGACCTGGATCTAGATCTGGACTTAGAAATAGATCTAGACCTGGATCTAGATCTGGACTTGGACCTAGATCTAGATCTGGACTTGGACCTGGATCTAGACCTGGACTTGGACCTGGATCTAGACCTGGACTTGGACCTGGACCTAGACTTGGATCTTGATCTGGACCTAGACTTGGATCTTGATCTGGACCTAGACTTGGACCTTGATCTGGACCTGGACTTTGATCTTGATCTTGCAGATCCAGATCTATCCGACCTACCAGACCTGGCAGAAGTGGCTGATTTTGCATCATCATCATCTGATCCTTTTGACCTCGATCTCGATCTAGATTTAGATCTGGATACAGACCGGGATCTGGACTTAGACCTAGATCTGGACTTAGATCTTGATCTAGACTTCGATCTTGATCTGGACTTCGATCTTGATCTGGACTTCGATCTTGATCTGGACTTCGATCTTGATCTGGATCTTGATCCAGATCTATCTGACCTATTGGACCTAGCAGAGGTGACTGATTTAGCATCATCATCATCTGATCCTTTCTCTTCATCACTCTTATCATCTTTGCTCGCGTCCTTGTCTTTATCTTTTTCCCCTTCTTCATTCTTTTCTCCTTCCTTCTCTTCCTCCTCTTCTTCCTCTTCTTCTTCATCTTCTTCTTCCTCTTCTTCTCCGGGCGGTTCCAATTGTTTCTCTCGCATTCGGTGATTCTTAAACTCGGCTGCGTCAGTTGGTCTATGTTTGAGGACTAACCTTGTAAAGCTGAGAGCTTGACCTGGCTGACGTCTCTTAGTGAGTCGGACTCTGAAAAAATCAAAATTAGACTGTAGTCAGAGGATGTTTAATAATTTATTTATTAAAAGGCTTTTTTGTCATTATTCAGAAAATATCATTGTATTTAAACTCATTTCCCAAGGATTTTTGGCATACCTTTCTGAACTTTATTCAGAAAGTATGTAAAGAAAAGGAGAAAATTCAAAATAAAGAAATTCACTTGGCATTTGAACAGGGTTACAGCAATTTTGCTGTTTTCCATAGTACACACGTTGCCGAACTGGTGATAGTTACCATTTTTCTTTTTATGTGTTCTTAATATTTGATAATTTTAGGAAATTTTGTTAAGTTATTCCTCCGATCTAGAGTAAAAAATCTGTACACGATATTCTTGATCATTGCATGGTCATTTTTGACCATTTCCCCTTAAATCGTTTTTAAATGCTTCAAGTGTAAATCCTGTAAAATTTGATTGACATTGGAAAAATTTTAGAGGTTAAGCAATGAATTTGAAAAGTTTAAGCCTCACTCTATTTTGAAGCATTTTCAAGAATATGACATTTGAGGGCGAAAATGATCTTCACATACTGAAATTTTTGTTTTAATATCATCCTTTTCTAGTATGGTTTATTGTACAGGATTTGAATTTTACCTCATTATATAATTTATTATAATTGTAACATTAATAGTATCACAAAATGGAATGCTGTTATATGCAGTCCTTTTAGGAGAATAAAATGGGTAAGTGGATTATTTCTTTTTTTCCCCTTCTTCAGCAGAAACATATACTCAAAGCCTAAACAGCGAGGGATATGTTAAACAATTAAATTTTTTAGACTGCTATGCACTGTTTTAACACAAAAATATAATGAATATGTAGATATTATTGATCCTCTTTTTATCACATAATAAATCATTATTATACATCTTAATTATCTGTGCTATCTCAAATAATTTCAAACAAATTTCACCTGCAGCCAAAATCTAATTTTAAGGATAAAATTGCTCATTGTGCAAGCACATTATACATGGAGCTCAATCAATTAAAAGAATAGAAATAGGAGATCTGAGAGGTAAAGCACTGACCTGGTCTCTAATTCATCGTAAAATACACCATCTTCTCGCATAACGAACAAGTAATTCTCTTCATAGCCCTTTGAAGCTTTATTCTTGACATTCCAGTTGTAATCCCGAGCAATTTTGTACTCATATTCTTCATCATCAACATAGTCAACATTGTTTGCGAAGTCTCTCTTCCTCTTTTCTAGAGTCTCCTCAGTCGGTAAAAAGTAAGCGACAAACTGGTTACCTTCCTCATCCATCACACCCCTGAAAAAAATTGATATCAAATAATATGAGTAAAATCATCTGATTGAAATTGGACATATGTAAAAAATACACAATTTTGCTGCTAGCATGATAAGTTCAATTAATTGTTTCAGTTAATTATTCATCTTTCTCTTACCAAATTTGAAATAAACACTGGATGCAGCGAAAATTATCAATAAAATAAAGAGACTATAAAAGCAGAGCCCGATTGCAGTTTTAAGCGCTCAGCCGATAGGCAGGCGCTTCTTATTTTCATTTTGCCACCAGAGTTTGTCTATAGGGGAGCGCTCAAGCGATTGAATGGCTCACCAACTCAACAAAATATGGCCGACGAGATTCTCAGAATTTTCGTCTTGCTAGCTAATAATACCCCCTTCAACGTTATTAAATACGATTGATTCTCCGATTCAGGTATAAAGCCTCTTCATTATGCTATTTTAAAATAGTTGTTCAAATAAGCCGATATTCAGAATTTCTCCTTGAATTGGAATTTTTCACTGTTCTATCTACAAAAAACAAGCAGAAAAAAAATACAATCTTATCAGATTTTTAGAGACTCGAATTGGAGGAATTTTTTTGTAGTACTGAATTTTATATCTAATGGTTACAAATCGTACCGAATCATGGCTTGCGACATTTCTTCCTCTTGTTCTGCAGATGACCGACCGGGTCGAGCAGGGTCAGAGTCAAATAAAACTTGTGCGAATGGATACTTCCACATCTGAAAAGAAAGATACAATGACAATTAGTAACTAAGTACAATGAAATCTTACTTAAATTTATGGAACAAGATAGAGGTTTAACTGATGAGACAATTTCCAGAATTGGTAGATAGATCTAAAGATAACTGCAGGAATTCCAAGTATTGATCATTATTTTGAACACTACAAGAGGTTCTTTGGTTTGCCCCCTGCAGCACTTGAAACTTATTGCCAGACCACGAAAATGTAATTGAAGAGATAAAATTTTCCTTCCGATTCATAACTCTTTTAGCTAAAACTTAGCAGAGAACTAAGCATAAAAAAGTATACAATCTTCCTCAAATACCATTGAAAACTTCCTTTAGGAGGCATTTTTAAGTATTTCAGAGGCCACTGCAATAATGTTTCTCTCACAAGCCTGATTACGTCATGATCGCAGGATTTTAAAAAAGAAGAGGAGGAAACATTTACCTTGAAATCTGGAAAGACTTCAGTGATTGAAACAGGTGTAACATTTGGCTTGCTAGGATGGTGTGTAATAGGTTTCTTCACATCTTCAAAGGTTTTTTCGATGGCCTTAATTTGACTATCTCGATCCATGTACAGTACTTCATCCTGAAATCAAGAAGAAAAAAAACTGACTTATTAGGTCAAATTCAGGAAAAACCTAAGACCAGAAAATTTAACTGAAACTTTAGATTTGTTTACCATTCAACAATTGCAAAAATTGAAAAGTCCCAGTCTTTGGCACCCCTCAATGATTGGACCAGCAATGATCATATCTTGGCGCAAAAATAATCACTAACGGGAATCTTTGGTGCTTTAGTTGTGATTTTCAATCCATTTTAAATGGTAAATCAAAAGTGGTTTGAACTAAGAATTTAAACCCAAGCCCAGGAAATTTTTGTTTTCAAATACGTATTACTATAAGGAATATTGCTATGCACCTTAGGTGTAAGGAAAACTACGTGCTTGTATTGAAAGGGCGGGGGGACCAACAATCAAAGTACTAGACATGTTCAAAGGATCTTGAAAGTGCTTTCAAAAAAAAAGAAAATAAAAAAAAGAAAATGCTATTTCCTTGAAAAAGAATGTTTCAATAGCAGGACATAATTAGAAAGAGTAAAGAAGGGGGTGGGGGTTCGTCATCACATCTACAACAGAACAGACTGGTTGAGTACGCAGAAAGGATGACCAGAATTTCATTAACAGGGCAGTGGCAACCAATTTTAGCACACTTGTGGTAAAGTTTGCCAGACACAAAATTTAGTGAAAAAACTAAAACTAACCAAAAAATACTTTCTAAATGGGGAACAAGCTATTTCAAATCCGACCAAAGAAGAGCCATCAGTTGAATTGAAGCAGTAAGGTTATGCCTGAAGCTGAGATCAGCCAATCAGCATATGCTGTTTCTGCTGCCTGGCTGTGTTATTAGAGCCAACCGAAAATAATGTTTCATAAGGGTCCCATTTTTGGCATTTTCAAAAAGGGTTTTCTTGTCTTTAAAGTTAAAAAAAACCTGAAAATATTCCTAGGAGCTCAGTTCACTCAGTACTTTCAGAAAAAAAATGAGTGCCACTGAGCCATTCTGGTCAGCCATCATCTTGATGATCCCTGCCATTTCTTCCAAAAATTCATGGACCTTCAAAAATGTTTATCCTTTCGAAAAGAGGAGGATATTTGGGGGAATCAAGCCATTAGCGGGAAAGAAAACTGACCTTGAACGTTTTCTTAATACTAAATCCAACTTTTGCTTCGACTTTTTCCATTGTTTGGGGCTGGAATCTGGTTTGCTCGGTTGAGATGTACTCAGTCCTACGTAACCAAGAAACGCTCCTTGCATGATGTCTTGACCTGAAAATATATGGCAAGACAACATTTTAAATACGAAAAAAAGCAAAAAACTCCTTCTTACCAGTCCTATGCCTTGACTTCATGACATTTTAAAATTTAAGTTTATTCCGAAGATTTGTCAAGTTTTTATGGGAATTGGTGTCCACAAGCTTAGATGCATGCAGGCTATACAAAAGGGGTGTATTTTCTTAGAATCTTTCAGTGTATAGTTTGAATGTTTTCCTTCATTTTTTTCACTTATTTTCTTTTTGTTTTGTCTGATGTGCACTCAGTTATGTCTTTCAAATCTGGATATCAATTACTTTTCTGATTTCTTTTGATGAACTCTTTAGTTCAAGTTATTATGGGACGGTCATAATAAAGTATTTTTTAGAAATTTTCTTCAGACGATTCTATGTGATTAAGGGATGAAATCTGCCCCTAGACAGCACTGCTAGGCAGTTAGAAGCAATAATTATTATCATAATCTATAAATTAATGCAAGGAATTCATCCTTAACCAGTGGCACAAATACTGAACGGTGCCACGTAAAATTTGTAAAGATTCATCGAAAATATATGGAGTAAATTACTGGAACAGATGTCTGCAGGTGTAATTTCTTAAAAACATTTTCAACAAATATTTACGAATTTGACATCATACTGCTCAGTGTTCATGCGATCAGTTCTTGATATTAATGTATAGATTATGATAATTATTACTTCTCAAAAACTTGGACTGTGCAACAACACAACATGTGGTAGATTTTGTCCCTGCATCACTGAAAATCAATTTCAGCTCGCTCTACGTTTTAGCGCAGAGATTTATCTCAGGAAGCAGTCCTTTTTTAATATCTGTCTTGACAAGTATTAGCCATTTCTGTGGTCTAAAAAATGTCTACAATAAATACATTCAGCCATCTAAGAATTCTAATTTGAGCACAAGGTTTTTACCTCTTGGAATCCTGAGGGGTGAAGTTGTCTTCTTCCAACAGTTTCTCATCCTTTGGATCCAGCACTGCATTATAATCTATTGCATATGCATCTTTGTTGATAAGGTCAATGTTCACTCCTAAATCATGTTCTGTTAAAACTTCATATTTGTAGTTCTTTTCTAAGGACGTCTGTTTGTACTCAATGAATCTGTGAAAAAAATATGAGAGTTCTTAGCACTTGAGGGATATTTGCAGCCATATCTAGCTTTTTTGAAAGTGAAGCTGCGGAGCAAAGTTACCATATTCTGATCACAGTAAATTCTGCATAAGTATAATTTACGAGGATAACATTTTGAATAGTAGCAATCATTCAAAAGGAATGGGGACTGCACTGATGAATTTTTTTTTTTTTAAAAAAAACAGATGAACGAGGAAAGGTAAGGCTAGCACACTTCGAAAACATCAGTTGTTTTCCACTTTTCAGATAAAATGTTAGGTGAAAACAAATGGTTCAACCTGTGATGATAACTTATATGTGATACACTTTCAACAGCGACAAATAATTGGAAAAAAATAAATTTTTTTTTCACTTCATCTTCTAACCAAAACTTTCTGAATTCTGTAGTAGGTTGTTGCTTTTCAGTGCATGAGCCTCTGGAAAATGAAGCTTCTCTTTACAAAATAAGACTGCTTTCCTCTACAGGATCACAACAACTAATAATAAGAGACAGGGACTTATCATGTCGACAATGTAAGTCGGCTATCACATAACTCGGTTTGCGACGTCGCGGACTTCCTGTCATACTTCAGTTTTTAAAAGGAAAACTACTCAACAGCAATTCTTTAAAACTGCTGCGACTTTTCTTCTCTGGGCGAAGAAAATTCTGCAAAAATTTCAAGGAATGATGTCAATTTGCTCTCCTTTAAAAAAATAACATAGAGGTGTAGATTTTCAGACACCACTAAAAATATATGAGATTGCAGACTCATGCCGTCGATGTGCTCTTCTCAATAACAGATGAAACTATTTGTTTGAAAGGGAGTGGGGTATTTCCACCCTGTTTTCCCCCATTAGCCATATTATTACACCATAGAAAATAATCATGTACAGACTAACCATTTCAATAATGACATTCAAAAGTTTATAAAGATATACTTGCATTCTGTTGAAGTATATAAGCTGATTACTGTCTTACCTATTTGGATTAAAAGGGTATTGGATGAATTTCGTGTCAAATGGAATGTCTGGTAAAGTGTTGTTATATCTTACTCTACAGATGAAGTCCGACCTGAAAGCATAAAAATATAATTATTTCAATCGGTGAAGAATTTGAAAAATTGATGTGACATGTGAAAAGTTAGCATGATTTTCTTCATTTTCAATTATTTATGGTCAAAAAGTAGTAATACATACTTAAAATTTTTGACAATTTTTAAATTCACATGATTTAGACTTCCCTATTTTAAGCTGAAACTAGGGCACTGATTAAAGCAAAAAGTAAATACCGACATGGAGAAAATACTTTCAATAAATGGTGTTTATTATATATTTGGCGCCTATCACATGAGTGAGGAGAGTTAGTATAATAATAGAGACAAAAAGAATAAAATAAATGATGCTTTGAGTACATAATGATTTAAGAATACAAAATAGGATTATGAGTCAGTGGTGCAAAGTCTTCTCACAAGATAAAAAATTGAAAGATATTTTCATATGGTGCGACTGTTCATTCTGTGTTCAAATTCACTAGGTCATGTACTTACTGCAGACCAGTACTGCTCCCCTGTTTGTATGCCATTACTTTAGGATCGACACTGCTAATAAAGATCGAATCATACATTTGATGCGTTTTCAGAGTGCCAAAGAAGATTTGCCATCATTATTTTGGCACTGAAACTAAATACTTACTTACCTATATCAAGATGACAGATCTTCTAGTCTCGCTTTAAAAAAGGATTCAACTTGGTTGGCTAGGATTTTCTAAATTCTTGTTTTGTTTAAGTGTTCTTGTTACTTAGTTAGTATGTGGTACTATATACTTGAAAACATTCCAGGCATTTAATTGCAATAGACATGAAATCATTAAAGAAAACAGTCTAATGCGTGTGGAACATTCTTCAAGAGGTTTCAGAAATTGTTATAGGGTTTCTAGCCTCACTTTTTTGAATGCCCTCTAATTGGTTGCTCCTTGGTCAAGAAAAAGTAAAGAGACTAGTTTTGGGAAAAGTTCTTCAATCTTTTGTATAATAAACTGCATCTTAAACAAGTAAAAAGAGCAACATCCAATCCAAATCCAAAATCTGAAATCAATAAGATGGACACAGTGGCTAAGCCTAGTCCTCCAGCCATGAAACTTTCTACAGGAGCTGCTGCTACTATCACCAGCTTGTACTTGGTACTTCAGCTGATAGTAGTACTATAGTATAGATTCAGCAAATGGCTGCTAACACATGAGCAGTCCGACTGTTCAGTCCAAGACCAATCCACACAGGTCAGTCGTTCCCGAAGACGAGTTTAAGAACTCTACTGCGCAGTGACGTAGTGTTGAGTGCCTGCAATGTATTTCTTATGGGAGCACCCATTGTGACGTAGCATTGAGTGCTGCGAGTTAAGGCCGGGCGGGGGAGTGGATTTCAAAAAAGCTGCGCAATGACTGACCTGTGTGGATTGGTCTTGGTTCAGTCAATGACATTAACAGGCTAGATGAACTGTCAACATTGGCCCACCGCAGACTGTGTCGTCTCTGTCATAAGCAGACTATCAGACTGTATAATTTGGACTGCTCGTTTGATAGCTGGTAATTAGTCTCCCTCAGATCCCTGATTCCTAAAAAAAGTCCTTGCAATATCCTTACAGTCTAAATTAGAGAGGTGGGTGGATACTCTACGAATGAAAGTGAGCTTACCTTCTGTCGGCAGGTCTAACTGGCCTTTTTTCAGGCGTGGCACCATTTTTTATGGTCGGTGCCATGACACTTTAGTTGAAAAATACTTCAGAATTGGCCGATTTAGTTCAACTGCCACAAATCTGGAAGAAATAAAGCAATAAAACAAAAATAAATAGGCACAACGCGACGCTTTCCGCTACGCGGACAGTTTGGAGGTTAGAAATTCGTAAGAGTTGCCAGATTGCCTCAGGTTATTCAGATTCCATACGGTCCTAGTTTACGTCAGAACGGCGGGAAATTCAAAATTAAAGCAAATATCCTTTTTGGCATTGCGCTTCCGCGTCCGATCCGGTCAAAAAGAGTAGGATTGGCTATACTTAGCCAGAGCTGGAAAATTTCATGTTTGAACAAATTTTTTAAAATTTTTTTGGATGCATTCCGAAGGCCTTGGCCTTGACACACCTAAAACGGTGATTTTCGATTTTGAATTTTTAACAGCTTAGTTTTCAACATAAGTAAGTAAGTTTGAACTTATTAATCGTAATGCATTTCCTCGAACTCCTTCTTAGGTATAATTATCCTATCGGAACTTGGCTGATTTGAAAACGCCTTCAAATGCGGCGTGATACCTCACGCATTCCGGAGAGTTCGAATAGTTGTATCATTGCGCCGTAAGAACGTGACGGAAGATTACAATTGAAATGGCCTTCATACACGCTGGCCTTGTCGATTTCCTTTGACATTTTTGCAGTCGTGAATGCATAGCTTAAGTGCACTTCAGCTAGAATTGTATACAGGGTGTCTCACGAAAAAGGAGCCACCTTGAATACCTGCCGAACGCGTCGGAATTTCGAAAAACGGTAAAAGACGTGTTCGTTTATATCGAGGGGGACACCTTTTGGCGTATTTGACATTTTCCCAAGCTGCGGGAGGGGTGCGGGGCGGGGGGTGCCCCACCCGTAAGTTGAACTTTTCAAATGGTACCCTTACTTTTTTATTTCAGAAATCAATTCTACGCAAAAAAAGCCACCCTGTCCAAACCGAATGTAAATCGGACAATTTTTCAGTGATTGGCAGAGGTTGAAACATTTTTTTTATGCTCTTTTCAAAAATTTCCCGCGAATTGCCGTATCAAACCAAACTCTTCGCCAAAAAAATTCTTAAACATTTCACTTTTGATAAATAAAAAAAAAAAAAAAAAAAAAAAAAAAAAAAAAAAAAAAAAAAAAAAAAAAAAANAAAAAAAAAAAAAAAAAAAAAAAAACTGAGAAGAAACATTTACTAGATTTTTTTCAACGCTTTGACTGAGATTTTATGAGAGTCTACAAAGGTTGGTTTCCTTTCGTCCATCTTATCATTGATTCGTTTCTATCAGTTCAATCCACCAGTGATCCGATTCGATGATCCCGAAGCAATCATTGACGTAAGGCATATTTTCTGCAAGCTTTGGGTCCTGGCTTCTGTTTTACCATGTTTATAATGGAACGTAGATTGATTTAAATTTCTGACCGAACTGTTTTCTAACGCTTCAGTGAAATAAACCACAAATTTATTGAGTTGCATTAGCTCGTAAAATCAGTCGTTCTATTGATTTTGTGCTCCAATTTCTTGCGAAACTACAAACCTGATATCGAAACTTGGCCGTTTTGAAAACGCCTTCAAATACGGCGTGACACCTCACGCATTCCGGAGAGTTCGAATAGTTGTATCATTGCGCCGTAAGAACGTGACGGAAGATTACAATTGAAATGGCCTTCATACACGCTGGCCTTGTCGATTTCCTTTGACATTTTTGCAGTGGTTAATGCATAGCTGAAGTTCACTCCAGCTAGAATTGTATTTAGCAAATGGGTGGTTTTTATACGAGGATTAAAAATAAACAAATGGTATGGAATAAAACAAAAGAATATGAACTATGCAACACGATAATCCGGGTATCGGAACTTGGCTGATTTGAAAACGCCTTCAAATGCGGCGTGATACCTCACGCATTCCGGAGAGTTCAAATAGTTGTATCATTGCGCCGTAAGAATGTGACGAAAGATTAAAGCGGAAACAGCCTCCGTGCACGCTGGGCTTGTCGATTTCCTTTGAAATTTTTGCAGTCGTGGATGCATAGCTTAAGTGCAAAATTGTTTTCTAACGCTTCAGTAAAATAAACCACAAACAAGGAATGATGTCAATTTGTTCTCCTTTAAAAAAATAACATAGAGGCGGAGATTTTCAGACACCGCAAACGAGTTATGTGATTGCCGCCTTACACCGTCGATATGTAGATAATATAAGACGCAGGGAATAAAAGTTGATTACTGGAACTTATTAGTGAGTTCATACTTAGTTAATTGTTTGTTTACTTTCGGTAGTTCTTTCTTACTCCTCTACTTGTGCAAACTTGGTCGGCGCTTACTCAGAAAAACTACCCGCAGACGCGAGAAACTTGAAAAAGCGTGTTACAACCTACCCAGATTGCACGATATAGCCAGGGCCGGATTTACTTACTTGCCGCCCATGGGCCGCCTGTAATTTGCCGCCCCCTTCTCATTAGTTTTGAAACATTAATAAAAACCATCAAGTGAACGTGCCGGAGGGAGAGGGGTGCAGAAGACGCGTTTACTCGTGTTGGACACATTTTTTGGAAAAGCCCTGTCAACCTGCTGTCAACACTACCTACTAGCAAAAGTTCACGGAACTTGGCGCGAAAGTTAAGTTCCGTAAACGAATCTCTGTGTGGACAAGGCCTTCCATTTATATGAAATGAACGAAAAAGTATGAAAGAACAAACATAAATGTGGTTTAATAATTTTAACTTCCGCCGCTGCGACGCTGACCGCACTGTGTTTGGCGCAATGCGTGAAGTGTTCCCACAGTCTTGTATGCGCTAGGCCTTGCACGCCGACCGACCGCTGCTGCACGAACTGTGTTCGACGCAATGCATGAAGTATTCATGCCGTCTTGTAGGCGCTAATATATGTTACATGCCGATTGCCGCGCCGAGGGCTTCTCCTTTTCATCTCAAGTCCTCGTCATCATTTCTCCCTAAGTCGCGCCGTTCCAGGCCAAATTGCGTGTTTGGTTTCTCTTTTAATTCGACTAATTAAAGGTGCTGTCTCTTGTATCACTGAAAGACGACAAAATTAGAAATTACTATACTCTCAGGAAATGAGAGATTTTGTCACCTTTTCTCGTTTGTAATTTTTTTACTGAATCCGATTTTTCTTTACACCTACATTTAAAAAAATTACAAAATTTGCCGCCATGGGCCGCGGCCCGTGTGGCCACCCCCTAAATCCGGCCCTGGCTATAGAGCGGATTTCAGAAATTTTTGATGTGCCTAGCGTGATTTCCGAGCAAATTTAGCTCTGAAAAGTGTATTTAGTTGGCTGCATCTCTTGTCTGCAACAGACCCATTGCGAATTAGCGCTGAGAAATGTGATATTTTAACTACGTTTTTGGGTAACTTTCCGATTTTTTTCGACAAAAATACTTTGAAGGTAGATAAAGGACATCCCCTACAACTCATTCAATGCAGCTAACTCAAAACCAATTATATTTGGGAGGACTTGTCAGTCCCCCCTCCCGCCTAAAGCGTTACGTATTTAAGGACGGCCCCAAATTAGACGAGGGGTTGACTCATTGAGATAAGTCTTGCCCACTCTCCTATAAGCGGTGTATGAATGGCGACTGATTTTATCAGATGAGATGTCCGGTCCTAGCATCCGGTTAATGGCAACTTGATGCAAGTTGCGATGAGGAGAAACGGAGGATAATATGCGAAACGCAGGCGAAGAAGGAGCGACGCGATACCATCGAGGGGAAGGGCTTTCTTTATGAAGAATTTGTGCCCGGAACATCTGATGTGGTCACTGGAGCTGCAGTAGTGTATGGCGGATTGCGGGAAACGATTTTTCGCAGGAGCAACTAACCCGCTTGTAAAGCCTTCAAGTTTATGAACGGGGTCCTATACTGCCGTGCTAAGGAAGAACGCCGTGTGCGCCTTCAGACGTTGCCAAGTTTCCCTCGATAAATTCCGAATTCAATAGGAAAATTGTAAATATTTTTTCCCAAAATTTTCAGACAATTTTACACGCAATTAAATGTCTGAAAATTTCAATGAAAAATATGCATGAATGTCGTAAAAAAATATGCACGTTTTAATACGGGAAATTTGGCAACTCTCGAATGTCCATATACGGCGTTCTTCCTTAGCACGGCAGCACAGACCTCAGAAAGTAAGGAATGAGCCGACGAGACCCCAAAAGTATAGTATTCAAAAATTTAAATGGTGCCTGGCCAAGAGTGAAGGTCCTTGGCGACCAAAAGAGGTCCGCCCGCAGGATTTTTAAAAACCCTGAACTGGCTCTGCGTTTTATTGGAATCTTAAGTTGTAAAAAGCATACTAAATTAAAAAATATAAAAAACTAATATTCTGTATAATTTTGGCCATTGACTTTATTCTTGTGTTTAAGGTTTCAATGAAAATTCTAAGGGCAAAAACAAAACCAAGAAAAAAGGCTGTATGTAAGATTGGGGCTTTGAGTGTTCGCACTATACACCTGGTCATCGGTGCGGCTCACCTGCTCTTCAGGCCAGGGTCAAAGTTATCACGTCCTCTCCTTCATTTTAGCTCGTTGGTTCGACCCTCAAAGACATCTACTTGCAGCCTGCCATCGGACTTGGGTACTCAGGAAAGCTGCTGAAAAAAAGACGAAGTAGAGAGGGGCGGCTTAACATCTGATGAGAGGCGAGTGCCAATCAACCGAGAATAAATTCAGACTGCACTTCGGGCCAGGATGAGTGGCATGAAAGAAAAAAGTTAGAAATGAAAAAAAAGGTAGAAAAAATTCAACTGGCACACGGCGCGGATGCACGTTTGCCAAATTTCAAATTGAAAGTATTTGTTGATAGTCTCCCTCGGAGACTTCAACGCAGAATAGAAAAGTAATCAGGATCGTTTTACTATCGTCGTTCTAAAGTTTCACATGTCCTGTGCTCTAAGTAAATTGGTGTCCTTGATGGGAGAGAAGGGGGTAGGTCCTTCAAAGTAGACGGAAAGCACAGGGGCCCATCGTCCACCGGCGCACCCCAAAGAAAATTGAACGTAATATTGTCTATGAATGTGACGGGGTCAAAGGGCACTTGATCAGAGGAAAAAAATGTAATGCAGTAAAGAAAAAAGGGACCGTGAGGTGGATTCTAAAATACAGGACTGGGTTTAACA